TCAATTTGTTTTCTTGGCTGTTCACAATATTCTCGGAAGTCTTTTCCAACACCAAAATTCAACGTTGTCAATATTCTTCCTATCCTGCTTCCTAAAATTCAATATTTGCTTCCATATATTTTCTGTTGGGTTATATTTTCTGTTGGGTTTCTTGTAATTTTCTGTTATGCATTAACCCTCCGATATTACACACATGCTTCCAGGTTCGACTTATGATCACTCGTAGTCCTGGGACACATATATTCACCTTCATTCACTCGTTCACATACTCACAGCCCTGGAAAATTGCCATGCTGAAATCATTTTCAACTGAACACTGTGGCACAACTGGTTCTTTAGAATACACGGAGCAATACTTATTTGAGTTTTTCTATGCTCTGGTTGCTGACAGCTTTGAAGGTGAAAAATATGTAAGATACACCCAAAGTTTTCAGGAAGCAAAGTCTTTTTTGTCCAGTGAATCATACTTCATATGATCCGGAGACCAAATAGCATGTACCTGCCCTTTCACCCTGTCAGAAGATGATGAAACTGATAATTTAATGCACGTAGAGAGCACTGAACTGATTTGACCAAAGACAGAAAGCAAGACTTGTTTTGAAATTTAATGCTGAAATATATGTTCACTAGGATACATCAGTGTTTCTCAACCTCAAGTTTAAGATATGTGGACTTCATTTCCTAAGATTCCCCATCCAGCATATTAGATGGTGAATACTGGGAGTTGAGGTCCATACTTAATAAAGCTGCTGAGGTTGAGAAACACATGACAAATACATGATACAAGAGCAGAGATGTATGTTAGTGAGGGAGAAAGGCCAACATGGGGGAGGGGGAGAGAGAGATGATTTGGAAACTTGTTAGAGAAAGACACCACCTACACTTTAAGACATCTTTGCTGTGTGGGTGGAAGTTCTGAAATGAGTCTTCTCTAAAGGGTGGTTCTGGGGATACCTTTTATCATGAAGATAACAACAAAAGAAGGGAAACGAAATTCAGCAAAGACAATTGCTAAGGTTGCTTCAATCCTTCAAAGTCCCTTGTTTTATAGAAAAAGAAAAGGATTGTCTGCTCTTCCAAGCTCTAAGATTGAAAGTGGATTAGCCAAAGCAGACCAAATGATCAATTCATGTTTCCAATGCAAGCCAAAGACCAAATGGAACTTTTATTCTAGTCAATGATATTTTATAATTCACCAGCTGTTCCTGTTGTATTTTTTAAAAATATATTTGAACTATTTGGACACTTTGTCATACATCTGGTCTTGTTTACAACTTAATCAAGTCAGACTAGTTCAAAGCCCTGTAGGACATAACAAAGCCACATTTTAGGGTCTCTTCCCAGTTAGCAGCTTTTTCAGCCAATCTGATGTATGTACCTGTAGTGAAAAGTACACTTGGGCCACCATTCATACTTCACATGTCTTTTCCTCTACAATGATGAATGTTCACACAGGAAAACGTAAATCATAAAGCAAGCTCCAGAAGACATCCACCCTTTATTTAAGAGTTTTTCTGCATGATCACTTCCAGACAAAGAGCTGCATCACCAGGAATTTATTTATTAAGCTCAGACCCCCAACTCTTATTAGCTGCCATAAGATTCTTAGGCAGGCCTCTGCATCAGCTTGGATTTGCTGACTTTTAAGATGAAAAGTACAAAGTTAGAACCAGCTGGCCATGTCTTTTCCCAAAGTACTCCATTCCATCCCCCCTTGAAATAGGCTACATCCAGCTATTTTCAGGGAAGCCTCCTAAACACTGGAGATCCTTCACATTTGCTGATAATTACCCTTGTAATCTGTCCTGCAACTTTGGTTATATAAAAATCAGTTAATAATGAAGAGTTTGTTGATAATCATTTTGGCTCACTCTGTTTTAGCCCAGATTTCCTCTAAAAAGCTCAGTTTGATAAGCATGAGACCTTCTCAGAAAGATACCGTACTTTATGAGGTAGAATATGACCAAAGAGAATGACATTGGACTGATTATTGGTTTTACCAACCACAGTTTATTGAATATATTTCACATATACATTAAGATATAAACCATGTTTTACTAAACACAGTGTCTCAGTTTATGAAATCCTGGAACTGGGTGGAGCTGGGAGGGACCACATGTTGAGTAGCTCAATTCTCTTTAATGCGCAGGAAAATCGATTAAACCATCCTTGAGAGGTAGTTTGTCTAGTCTTAAAAACCAGAGGTAGAATGTTCTACTGTTATACAGATTTTACCATCAGGAAGTTTTCCCTTATATTCATATTCCTTATACGTACAGTAGATAGCTGCAACATATACTTATTATTCATGTGCTTCCCTAGGCCAAAGCCAAACAAAAGCTGAAGATCCAATATATGATTTTATGATATGAAAATTGACACATGCTTGCTAGGAACTTGGTCAGATGAAGTTGAGAATAATGTATGGAAAAAGAATATAATATGTTTTTGCCAGCTACCAAGAAGATACCTTTTAGCCAATCAGATTTATGGTCAGTCTTGGCATGGCTCACTTGGCACCCAGATGTTTTTTTATTAAATCTGAAAAAAACATTTATACAAAACAAAAGCCTAGGCTACAACCCTACACACCTGACTGCATTAAAGACTAACTGAGATTAATTGGTCTGATAATGTGTGGAAAAGCACCAAAGGCACGTAACAACTTCTACAAATCATAGTTTCATTAAAAAAAATGCTACTTCAATATCAAAAGGTAAAACATAGTAATATTGATTTAAATATATCAACATGTAGCATACTAGGTGTTTTATATTTTTTGAGTTATAGAGAAATATGCTCTATAAGTCTATAACATCTTAAAGGAAAAAAGCAAGAATTCAAATTATACTAAAGACATAGAACAGGCAAAGTGAGGGAGTGACCAAAATAAAGCAGGCAATCAGGACATGAGATTCTCCCTTGCTTTTATTAGACATCTATCTTTCCCTTTAATTTACCTTTTCTCTTCATTGATTCTGATGAGAAGGAAAAAAACCCTATGCCTGTTTGAGAACTGACATCATTTCCCCCCTGTTCTCGTAATGACTCTGGACATACCAAATCTGTGTAGATCCATAACTTCTCCCAGCACATCCATAGAATGCTCCCAGATTGCCTTTCTGGTCTCTTTTATACCACTCAATTAGAGAAGCTTGAATCTCTATAGTTTTAGGACAGTGTGCTTTTTTAAAGCAGAGAGTCAACTTTTCCCTTAAGGAGATCTAAAAATACCTGTGGCCCTTGTGATATCCCCTAGGCCTAGGAATTACAGAATTGCATCCTCAATACACACACACACACATATATACTGCTCAAAAAAATAAAGGGAACACATCCTATGAGAAATCCTATAGGATGTGTTCCCTTTATTTTTGTGAGCAGTATATATATATATATATATATATATTCAAAATTATCAGTCTATATATATATATAGACTATTGCAATTATGACAGTTAGTGTACAGGCTAAGGTACCAGGTTAGAAATTGGGAGAGCCTGAGTTCTGGTCCAAGCATAGGCATGAAGCCAGTTTGATAATCTTGGACCAAACACTCCTTCTTAGCTGACAAACTATACTGAAATCTTGCCAAGGAAACTTCAGGGACTTGTCCAGCCAGTCTCTAGGAGTCAACAATGAGGCACCTCTCCCACAAAATTGCTATTACAGGTAGTCATTGTTTTGTGACTGCCTCATTTAGCAACTATTCAGATAGAGTGCTGGTGAAAAAAATAACTATATGATCAGTCTTCATATTTCTGACCTTTACAGGTCTCTAAAACAAAGGAAAGCCAAGTCAGAAAAGCATAGTCACGATTGCATTAAGAAACAATTTCAGTTAACCATTGAGTTGATACGGTCCCAACTTTGGTCAATGAACAAGGACTATCTGTATAAGTGAATAAAAATGTGAGGTTATGTTTTAAAGTCCTTTGTTGACAGTAAATTCACCGAATGCAGTGAGGCTCCCTTTGAACAAACAGGTAAAGCATTGGAACAAAAACTGTATACTGTATTTTTTGATGGCTGTCATTCTGCAATAATAAATGTATTGATTTTAAGCCTGAAACACCATAACATTTACTTATTATTTTTATATTGCCTATTTATGGGCTGTTTTCCCCAGTGAGTGCCAGTTTGATGTAGTGGTTAAGGCATAAGACTAGAAATCAGGACACTGAGTTCTAGTCCTGCCTTAGAAACAAAGCCAGCTGGGTGTCCTCTGATTAGTCAGTTTCTTTTAGCTCTAGGAAGGACACAGTGGCAAACCACTTCTGAAAACCCTTGACAAGAAAACTGCAGGGACTTAGCCAGGCCCTCTTCAAAGATTGAACATGAATGGGGGGAAAAGTGCATTGCAAAATGTCAGCAAGCATCTTATATTTAATACAAAGGATTGATTTTTTGCTGCTTCTAATTTTAAACAGGCTAATTCACCCAGAGGGTGAAGTTTTTTAAATTTGTTAAGAAACAGGCACGGCATTTTATCTGTCTCTTGTGTGTGTGTATAAAAAATTACTATTTGTTTCCTTCTTCTGCAATAGTTCAATAAATTCAAATTTATTTAAGATAACAATAACAAAGCAATAGTAAAAAATATCAGGGGACCTTAGCAACAAAGAAATATTCCGTGGCATAGCTTAATAGCTGGAGTTCATTTAGTGCAAATCTATAAGTAATGACAAGGACGATGACTTTCTACATCCACATACAAATACATTAACATAGGAACTAAGGAAAGAACTAGAAAAAGCGCAAGACTAAACAAAGCCATCTTACATCTACACAAACGTGCGTACAGATGCAGTGTAAACATTTGCAAAGATCAGACATCGATTGTAGAGTGGTACAGTTCCTTTTTTTAACAGTTTACTTCCATATTTCGTTAAGCATTCAGTTAAACATTAGTTATATTTCCGATTCTCAGTTGAGCGGGCGAACCAAAGCCTGAATACAGTTCTACGGGACCGGGCATTAGAAAGACTGGTTCCCTTTTGCTTTCCTGCCACGTATATGGCAGTGTTCGCTTTACAACTGGAAGTGAAAATCGAGCGCCGCAAGCACCTTTTTTTCCTGCTGCCTTACGAAGGTATTCGGAGCTTTTAATAAACCAAAGGCTCAAGCTGTCCTCCTGATTGGCTGCTCTTCCTGGGACAAAGGCCAATCATAATAAGACTAGAGCGCCTGTGCGTCTGCGTGGGACGATTTGAATTTTTCTGAATGCTTCCTGCCAGTTACAATGGATGCCGTCTGCTCGGAGGCCACCATGGACCTCTCAATTCGCGCGCAGTGAGTAACTGGAAGGGCGAAGCGATCTCGCCTCCCACGGGTTTTTGGCCGAATGAATCTCTTCCATACTCGTTTTCATACTCCTGCGACGGTCAGCCAGGCTAGCAACATTTTGCCTCCCTAGTATTTTACGCAGACTCGAGGCAGGTTATAATTGTGATGGCGGCGAGGGAGTTATCTTTCTCATGGGAATTGCCCTCTGCAGGTTCATACGTGCTGTCTTTACATGCAGCATGCAAGTGAAAGGAAGTACTGAAGCACAGGGGATATACCGCAATTTCAGGATACAATATATATATGCAGCTATATAAACATGACATAAACTTTTTAAATATCTCCGTTCTTTCGTTTCGGTAAGATGAGCAGTGGTGGGAGCGCAACCCTGAACACATTTTTAGCTGAGGTACCAAGTTTTTGGTCATCCCTGGGGATAGTATTGCTTTGCTCTTCTTCTTAGTTGTGAGATAACGAGTTAGTTTGTTTTTTTGGGGGGGGGGGGAAGGAAGCCTGTAATAGTTTGGGTTTTGTTTACCTGGGCTTTGCCTTTTTTTCTTACTGTTATCTGTAGTTTCTTTTCCTGCAGTGCACACACACATAGAACATTATGGCATATAATAATTGTTTGCTTGTTAACATGTTAATATTGTCCTATTGAGCCAAAAGGTTATTTTAAGAAATAATATGTAATTTCATTTCAATAGCAACCTTGACTATAAAGTTGCCATTTGATTCTACATGGGGGGATTCTGATGTGGAAATAGATTTCACTAGTCACTAGTGGAAGTTGATTGATCAACTTCTTTTTTCAACTCCCTCATTTGAGGTTGTTTCTTTCTTTTTTGCTTTGGTCTTCATTACTTTCAAAGGAAGTGTACTGTTTTGTAGTCAGAAATCTTTTAGGAAATCGTAATTGAAGCTGGGTGTCTGTTATTTACGTAACTATGGCATTATTATCATTGACCAGGATTGTGTCTTTTCTTTTTCTGACTTTTGTATTTAACAGCCTGCTATGCAGGGTTTCTTTAATACAGCAGTTATGATCTAAAACAAATTTAAGGGGCTGCAATCTTATATGTACTTCAAGTCAGCTGTGCGCTGTGCAGCATATTGTACAGTATAGAAAAACTTAGATTTGGGCTGGTACATTCTGACATTGATAATAAATGCAACACCCCCACTCTACAGGAAATTTGTTTTAGAAGAGCCATTCACTGCAGATTAGCTTACTACCACTTTAGTTTCCTCTGTTTTTTTTAGAAGGATGAAAATAATTAGGTTTAATTATTCTGTGAAAAGGCTTGGTGATGGAGACAACCCTAAGTTTACTTAAATTGGAAATAAATCTTATGAAAGTAGTAGGTTATAGAGAGGGCTTTAAAAGTGCTTTATGGAAACTACACTTAAATTTTCACATATGCAACCATTCATCCTAAAACATGTCCTTTCTATCAGCAGAACTTTTACATGTATTTTATTACTTTTTAATTCATCATAAAAGGAAAAAGAAAACAAGCAGGTATAATCAATAAATATACACATAAAAAAAGAAAAATAGAAATAACTAAACCATAAAGAAAAGCACACACATACAAACACAAAGAAAGTTAATACTGTACGTATAAATATATATACAGAGATGCAAAAACCTAACCCCCTCAAATCCTGGTGTCTTATTTTCAAATAGCTCTTAGTATTTATTAGTTACTCACTCTTCTAAATAAAATTCATTCTAAATAAAATTCAGTCATTCATTCAGTTATTTTATGGCTCAGGATTTTATGTTCTTCTTTGTTTTTAGCTGTTTATAGTTGCTTTATAATTTTGTATTTTCTATATCTTTATATTGTTCACTTTTAGTAATTAAGTGGTGTATTCACTTCACATTGGTCTTGCTATATCGAAGTTTTAATTTTGTCTTATTTTTGTCCTGGACAACATAATTAAAGATTTGTTTTACTGTAGAGTAAACAGTAAAGCCAACCAGTTTCCATTGAGGGAAGTTAGCCCAGAGAAGGAAATATTAAAAAGGCAGAAAAATACATTTTTCTTCAAAAGGACTTTTTTTAAAACCAAACCTGGCCCCAAATCTATCTCTCTGCCCCAAGCAAGACTTTAGCCCCATACAAATGCCGATGTAAAACCATCAGAAAGTTGGAGCCAGAGCAATCAAGAAGACAAAGAGAAGATCTGCATACCCCACCCAAACTCTAGGAGTCATTAGCCCCATCACCTGGGAAGTAGGATATGATCATAGAATTTAACCACAGATATCAAGGCCTAGACAAACACTCAGAAACAGCCTCAAGGTTCATGCCACAGGAACAGGAAACTATTCCAAACAAGGCTAGAGAGGGTATAAAAAACCTACTGCCCATGTGCTCTCTCTCTCTTTTTCCTCTCTTCTGCTCCTTCCTGCAAGGACCATCTTTCTGCTTCTTCAATAAACTGTAACCTTCCCAAAGCAGTCTCCATGTTGCCTATTTATTCCCGGCTTGGATGAACCAGGATGAAGACTTACTTCTCACACCATAGTATGATATTGAGAAGAGTAATAAATGTGAAATTTGACATTGGCAAAATCATCATTAGTCAATTGAAAAAATAGCTTTATTTAGAACAGCTTACATCCTGTGATAATAGCTTTAACAACATATCCCAGGTCCTTGGGAGAGACTTGATAGGTGGACAAGAATGCCAAATTCAGTCTAAACCTCTGGTTGATTGTGCAGCCAATCATTATAATATATTAAACTTGCATGTTGCCTGACTGAATAACTCTGAGAGGCTCACAGCAATTAAGTAATTACAATCAAATCAATAAAATATAAAGAATACACATGCACACACATACATATATATAAAATCTCCATCATTTTCAAGGAGAACATAAGGAATTGCTTTGAAGTCCTAAACCTCATTGATAGGTCATCAGAGGAACTGTGGATTGAAAGTAAAGAATGGAAAGAGGCTGCTAAAGTGTGAAAAAAACAAGAAAGTAAAATGGATGTCAGAACAAAAGATGGAAATCACCAAGAAAAAAGAAGGCAAAGCCAATGAAGACAAAGATCTAGAAAGGAATTTAACAAAGAACTAGAGCTTTTAGAAGACACAAGCAGTATTACAGCAGCATCTGAAAAGACATCAGGGATGAAAACTGACATAGAAAAAAATCAGAAAAGACTTCCAAATAATCTCTGAATTCTGAAGGAGGTTCCAACCTCAATTTGGTATGCTAAAGAAAGCAACAGGCAGAGATAATCAGGAGTCTTATAGCACAAGGGTCCCCAACATCCTGGTCTGCGGACTGCTACCGGTCCAGGGTCCATTGGGAACTGAGCTGCGTAAGCAGCGGGCGAGCATGCAAAGCTTTATTTGTGCATGTATGGGATTAGATTGTGTGTGTGAAACCATCCCCTCTCCCCACCACTGCCTTTGCCTGTCCACAGAGCCAGAAAGGTTGGGGACTGCTGTTGTTGCATCTTTTCCATGTTGGAAGAAAAGTCTTCATCCTGGTTCATCCAAGCTGGGAATAAACATGGCAACTGCTTTGGGAAGAAGGTTGTAGTTTATTGGAGAGGAGAGCCAGACAGAAAGATGGCTCTGGCAGAAAAGAGAGGGAACACATGTAGGGAGTGGGTTTTTAATACCCTCTGAAGCCTTTTGTTTTGAGTTGTTTCCCGTTCCTGTGGCATGAACTTTGAACGGAGTCTGAGTGTGCTTTTCTGGGCCTTGGTATCTGTGGTTTAATCCTATTATGTCCCAAAGGTCATATTCTGCTTTCCTGGGGCTGGGCTAATGATTCTTAGAGTTTGAGTGGAGGTATGTAGATTTTAGGTCTTTGTCTTAATCTTCTAGCTCCAACTTTCCTGAATGGTCTGCATCTGCATTTCTGTAGAGCTGGTTTCTGCTTGGGGGAGGCAGACTTGGGGCTATTAAGAAAACTGGGCATGCTTTCCTGCCTCTTCAAGATCCTGAGGAAATATATTTTTTCTGCCCTTTTAATATTTCCTTCTCTGAGGGGCTGACTTCCCACATCCAATTATCCAATTTTGTTTAAAAATATAAGCTTTTGTGAGTTGTATTTCACTTCATCAGGTCCATAAAGTGGCTAGGTTAAGGATTTAAATTCAGTCAGGGAGAAGGAAGGTGAAATTAAATTAGAGTTTTTGGGTAAACCATAGCTCTGTGTTCACAGAAGAAAAATTATGCTTTTAAAGAAAAGAACACCACCCCATGTAGGACATTTCATAAAGTTATGGGAGTTCTTTGCTCCTCCTGCACTGGGTGCATTGAATATCTGCGGGCGAAGACATTATGAGAGAAGCTCTGTCTGGTTGCAAGTCCTAGGCCCTCTAGCACAGAGGTCACCAACCTTTTGGGCACCAGGGACCGGTTCTGTGGAGAGAGGTTTTTCCATGGACCGGAGTGTGCATGGTTTTGTGTGCTGCCTGCTTTGCTTGTTTGTGCAGACTGGTTGCTGGCATGCCGCGGCCCGGTACTGGTCCAAGGACCGGGAGTTGGAGACCCCAGCTCTAGCATAATAATGAGTCAAAATATCTAAGGGAACCCAAGAATGATTAAAAGCAAAAAGCATTATTTTGTTCTCAAGTGGCCTGCTGTGAGTTTAGATGTCAGTCCAATGGAACTACAGTAGAAAGAGCTGAAACCATAGTTGAGAGAAGAACCCATTAAATCTAAAATTTCTGAAGCAATTTGAACAACAAGAGCAGGACAAACTTCTAGTTGAGAAGAGTAGAATTCTTATGCAGAACTACAGAAAGCTCTTATGATTGCAATATTTGATTCAAAACAATGAAATATTTAGGTAGGGTACCAATAATTATGGTCATGCTAGTTTCATTTGCTTTATTATTTGTTGAATTTTATGCAAATTGGGATTTCTTAGGAAAAAGGTAAGGGACACCAATACTTTTGGCCTCATCTATATACAAGAGATAGCACTTGGTAGAGTAGCAGTGAAGACCTTAGAAAAGATACTCAGATGCCATAAAGGCTAAATCATACAGTCAGTAGTTTCTCCTATGATGGTCTATGGAAGCAAAAGTTGGAGTTCAAAGTAGCAGAATAGAAATAGTATTGACAGTTCTGAAATTTTGTGTTGGAGAAGACACCATAGCTAGCCAAAACAACAACAAAAAACGGATCATAGAACAAAGCAATCCAGAGCTCTCACTCAAGAAACAAATGACCAGGGCCAAATTATCATATTTTGGATGCATATATGAAAACCTATCTCTCTGAAGATGTCTATAAATTTGTAAAAGGTGAAAGGAAAAAGAAGCTGATCAACAGCATGGTGGATGAACTCAGTTACAGTGGTGATGCATGCACTTTTGGAATACTTGAAGGATCAGGTTAAGGACGGATTGTCACTAAGAAATAACACTAATGTGATGGCAAATACTGATTCATGCTTCAACAAATTCCAAATTTTCAGGACATAATTCAGCAAGATTTTTACAGAGTTGCTTTTCATTTCTTTTCCGAGTGTGATTTTTATTATTTTTTATCTTGCATTTGTCAATATTTTTATATTTTTGTGATAGTAAACCATCTTTGGATTCTGGTGGTATATTTATGTATTTGTATTTATCGTGTGATACATTCAAATCACATTTTGATTAAATACATTTTAATCGAGATGTAATCTGGTTGTGTGTATGTGTGTGTGTATGTATATATATATATATATATATATATATATATATATATATATATATATATGTATGTATGTATGTATGTATATGTATATGTGTGTGTGTGTGTGTGTGTGTATAAAATATATTTTATATTTTATAATTATAAAATTATATTTTATAATTTGTATAAAAATACGACTCCTGGGCATGTCTATGGTACAAATAAAATACGAACACCAGGAGAATATAATTATAAAAATATACTTTACTAAAAGCTGCCAAGCTTTCGTTTGGAAACTCCAAACATCACCAGGGCTAAGGAGCCAGTAAACAATGATGACTTAAATGGGTTTTGCCGGCATCTGCAATCGGCTCATGGACCGCGTCACCGGTCCCGTCCGGTTAATTAGTGTTCCAGATGTTTCTTTATTACTCTCCTTACGCTTCCTTCTATGGTTCTTCTGGATCGTTCCTTCCACTATCTCATTACTGGCATTCATCTCCTCTACCACCTCTTTATCCTTATTTCCTTCCATAGTACTGACCCTCCTCCCCTTTTTGTTTTCATTTTCCACCCTGGGGGCATCTGTTTCTCCTCTATCAGTGTTACAAGCTTCCCTGAGCTCACAGACGCTCCCCCCCCACACACGCTTTTCTCAATCCCTGCTCCACACCCTTTCTTCTCACTCCTCCACTGTCATAAGTAACTTTCATACGGGTGTTGCATATTTGGGCGTCTATGCCCTCCTCCTCCATCCTGGCAATCTTCGTGTCGACAGTTCTCCACCGTTCCATTTGTTTGCTGTGTGATCGGGTGCTTACTCCATCTCTCAATTCATCATCCCCCCTCCTCCCTATCGCATGCTCTTCCCCATCGCTGATAGGAACGGTATTCAGGCGGACACCAGGTCTCCAGATCTCTGCATTCTGATTCCCCGCGTTCTCACTCTCCTCTCCTGTGCTCGTCTTTGGGGGGACTTCAAAGTGTTCGTCCCGGTGGGGGCTGTATTGTTGGTGGGGGTATTCCTTGTCTGCAGAGGGTCCAGGCAGAACACCGTGTCTCTCCCTTTCACCGTATGCCTAGGCAATCGAGCCGTGCTTTCGTTCTTCTTCTCCCCCCTACCCACAGCCTCAGGCTGCAGACTCCTCATGCTGGATCTTCCACACTCTCCACAGTTGTTGTTAAGTTCCGGGGGTGGGGCTCTATCGTGGTGATATTGGGGAAGGGGGAGGTCTTCCATCGGTGGATGATTACGTGTGTTTGACAGTGGTGGCCTCCTCAGATGTTCATTAGAGCGGTATTGGTGTTGATTGGGCGAAACGGGGGTGCCCCTGGAGTGTCGAGGGTTAACCAAAGTTACATCTATCTGTTCAGGATGGAGGCCAAGTGTCTCGTCACATTTACAGCCGTACAAGCATTGTTCAGACCACTTATAATGTTAAAATCCCATTTTCTCAATGCTTGTTGCGCTGGATGTAAGTCAATGTGACGATTCACCGCATCTTTGTTGGAATACCACGCCTCTTTCAATAGCCGGCCTCCCTTAGTGGCATCCTCAGACATAACGCGAACATTCACAAAGTCAAACTGGTGGCCATGTTGTGCCATATGCATCCACAATTGAGAATGCTGCTCGCCCCTTCTTATAGCTAACTGATGTTCATGCAAGTGAGATCTTAAACGCTTAGCTGTTTCACCCACATAATTGCCATCGCAGTTCTTGCAATTGATTTTATAGATTACTGCTGATCTATCCATGGCAGGGAGTGGGTCCTTGGGGCGAATGACTTTGGACCGTAATGTCTGATTGGGCCTGTGGGCCACTTCTATTCCATGGGGGGCCAGCAATCTGGCTGTTGCTTCCGAGACATTATTAATATATGGCAAAGAGACACGCATTCTTTGTAATAATGGTTCCTCTCTCTTTTGGTTGTTCCGGGACTGGGGTGTAAGACCGTACTATCTGATAAACCTCAAAGGATACCCATTACGTTGACAAATCCGGAAAAAATATTGCCTTTCTTTCTTCTTAAACTCCTCAGTGCTGCAGTGGGAGTCCACGCGCTTAAACAATGCTTTAATGCAGCTAGCTTTATGAGATACGGGGTGGTTGCTCCTATAGTGGAGTATTCTGTCCGTGTGGGTGGGTTTACGAAACACCCCTGTAAGTAACGTCCCATCCAACTGGCGGTATATTGACACGTCCAGGAAGGCTAGGTGACCTTGTTTTTCTTCCTCCACTGTAAACTGGATGTCGGAGCAGATCGAGTTTAGTACTTTCATAAAGGTAGCTACATGTTGTTTTTTAACAACCGCAAACGTGTCATCCACGTACCGAACCCAAAATTTGGGTTGGTATAAGGCCATAGCGCTGTGTTCTAGCTGTTGGAGTACTATTTCCGCTATAGTGCTAGAAATGGGGGAGCCTATAGGTGTCCCTTTAACTTGTTCGAAGATGGTACCCTGGAAGGTGAAATAGGTGGTGAGACATATTTCCACTAATCGCAGGAGGTCATCTGTCTGAAGGGAGTCCTGGTGGTGGCTCCCTTCTGTATTCCTCAAGCACTCTCCCAGGGCTGAAATAGCTAAGTCCTGGGGGATGGAGGTGAAGAGGGAGGTAACGTCGAACGATACCATCCTCTCATCATCCTCTACACCCTAAGGGTCTTAATTCTGTTGAGGAATTCTTCTGCAGAATTGACTGTTGTGGGGCTACCTTCCACAAGGTGGCCCAGACGAGTGCTGAGCCACTTCGCTAATCCCGATGTAGGGGTACCTATAAATGACACGATAGGGCGAAGTGGAGTGCCTTCCTTGTGGATTTTTGGGAGCCCATAAAATCTAGCGAGCGCCATGTAGGTCTTTGGTTGTTCGGGTTTTCTCCCGCGTAAAATTGGAAGTGTCTTGGTGACGTTTCGACAAAGTCCCATTCGTCATCTTCAGGCTGGTGCTTTCAGCTTCGTGCTTCGAGGAGCAATGTGTGGTCTTAGCTGTTTCTTCCTTTTAACTGCCAGTGGGGATATGAACTGATTGGGTGGGAGCTTGGCTGTGTTCTGATTGGGTGGAGGTGGGTTCTGATTGGTTAGGGGCTTGGCTGTGCTCTGATTGGCTGGGGGGTTGGCTGTGCTCTGATTGGCTGGGGGGTTGGCTGTGCTCTGATTGGCTGGGGGAGTGTTCTGTTTGGTTGTGCTCAGGTTAGTCTGAGTTGCAAGGGGGTTTAAGATTTTGGGCTGCCTTGCTATTTTTGGCTTCGCGTTCGTGGTCGTGCCTCATCTTCATGGAGGGTGTCAGTTTGCTTCATGTATGAATTGGAGGGGTTTAAAGTGGCTAATGATGCAGCTGTGGTCTGGCTTCTGGTTTGTGGTCGTGCCTCATCATCGGTGTGGCTTTGGGTTTGCTTTTTGCGTGGATGCAAAAACTTCCTGCATATACTCCCTTGACTCAGCTGGCAAAGAGGGAGGAGAGCCTGTGGCTTGGTGGTTAAATCACCAATTTATATATGAGAAATAAAATGTCTACAGCCTTAGGAATATTATAACAATGCCATCTTAAAAAAATGAAATATGTGAGTTATAGTCATCAGTTAGCAGATTTCTCTTTCTCACTGACAGAATGAATAAGCATTATGGGAGCTGTAGTTCAGCATATCGGGAACCACATCTTATTGATTTTAGGGAAAGTTGTTTTTTCTGATATTTTTAAACTTTTGTACTGTAGTTATTACAAAAGCTGATATGACTTCGTTTTTTTCACAGAATGTTTGAAGCTCATATACAGAACTACGGTGGCAATGATCCACTTGATCCCTGGTACAGGTTGGTCTTTTCTTTGTCTTTATTCTTTAATATAGATCCTTAAATTACTATAAGATAGTAATTAACTCATTTTGGTTTTAGATATTTTCAGTGGGTAGAAGGAATGTCAGAAGCAGAAGGAAGAAAGCAAAATTGCCTGTCATCTTTACTGGAGAGGCTTGTGAAAACATTTCTAAGTGATAAGAGGTATCATCAGGACATGAGATTCATCGACTGCTGTGTCAAATTTGTAGGTATATAGGATGTAAACAATATTCTTAAAACTTTACCAAATAGTGATGAATAAGTAGTGGTATTGTTGATGTTAGAAGTAGATTTTTACAATTCTAGAATTAAGCTTTCTTAAGTTTTCAGTTTTTGTTTTGATCATGGTTGATGATTTCCACAAGCTTCTATTTTAGCTTCTCAAGCTCATGCATTCCTTTTATATATCTCGGCTGCATTCTCTTGTGTGAACTGAGATACAGGAGAATATTTATTTGACCATTTATGAAGATATTTTCTACCTCTATGTTAAATTAGGGACAAGTCCCATCCTATAACAAATGTTTGTTTAGTAGGCAAGATAAAGCAGACAAGATTGATCAGGGAGTGGCATAGGAACATGTTTCTTCCTCATTAAGAAAATTTCAGGAAATTCTAACTTAGTGTGATAGCTAAACATAATCAACGTTACTGAATTTTTGATCTGTTCTACTTCGAGTAGATGGACTGAACTCCATAGAACTATTTAGTCGTGACTAAACTAAATTCTATCGAATTTGTGGAAGTAACTAATTCTGGCTCCAAAGTCCAGTTATGAAAAATTACTTCATAACATTTATAGAATGATATTTTGAAGACTGGTGACTATTTTTTCTTCTGTTTTATTACACGAGTTTACCATAGTTGAGATAACAGCCTTAAAAATAGTGTGTTAATGAGGTTGTCTTGTTTTTTCCCCTAGGCTAACTTCATTGATAATCCAAGTCAGTTTTTTGATTACATGTACAGTCAAGGAGTTGGTAACAAATCATCTATTCTGTATATTTCTTGGGCACAACAACTTGGTGGACAAGGAAATGTGCCTCAGGCATGCGCTGTTATTCAGAGAGGTATCCAAAATGAAGCCCAGCCAATTGAGAAATTACATCAGCAATATCAGTACGTTTCTGTTGTATGGCCTGTGTTTGATAACTTATGTCTATTAAGCAAATTGAGCATAATGATCATTTTATCTGCAGGATCTAATCAAAGGATATTCTGTCTTAAAAAAAACACTGAGTTGCCATTATTTGCTTTAATTTTCTCCTGAATTATGATTTCTTGCTCCATAAAATTGAAGGCAAAATGTAGGTGGTCCAGCAAGGAAATAGTGTGTTATAGCCAGCCAACAACACTGTCTTTGCTAAATCTATTTAGAACATATCTTAGAGATGTTAGCAAACATTATTGCCATGTAATTGTAGTTAACTAGAGCCATACAGACTTCTTAGCCATTATCATTTGGAGAACTCCAAACTGGATGACACTATTTTAGATAAAATAGGCGAGGCAAGGGCATTTAGCAGCTTAGAGGTAAAGGTAATCCTCGCCTATCAACCAATTGTTCAGCCACCATTCAGTTATGACACTGCTGAAAAAATAACTTTAAGGCCCATTTGCAACCTTTACCCTGTCCCTCAATCATGTGCTTGCCATTACAGTCAATACTTACACTGTGCTTTACTTGTGGGTTTTTTTTCTTTTTTCCCCCCGCCACTCGCTCTTCGATTAGTAGTTGCAAGTCCAGGAGTTGCAACTCCTTCTCGAAGAACAAGTGGCTGTCATAGCTAGGAGGGTTTTTGCACAGCTTTGGTTTGTGTGCCCCAAGCCCACCCGACTCATACTAGCAGAAGAGGCCTGCTGCAGATCCTGTCAGTAGGATCCAAGAATTAGAAAGTTAAATAGAAATTTTAAACTAAAAAGGAGAGAAAATGATTAACGAGTAAGTATCTTTGACTCAGGAGATAAAAAATAGGTGTGTGCTGTGAGTTCAAACCACTGTGTTACCTAGTAAGCATGCTACAAAACACAATTGCAAATAGAAGGAGCTTAGATACTGTTCTTTTACTGTTCATCTTATGATGGGAAGATTTAAAATAGTTCAACATCTCAGAATGATTGGTGTATTGAGTACATTTTCTGTTCAGTATGTTGATTTCCTTTATTGAAAAACATGTAGGAGATTAACCAGCATTTTCAATGTGAATAGCGTTGGAAACTATGACTGGTTGTTTAACAACTGTCCAAATTTACGATGACCTTGGAAAGCACTTCTGACCATCATAATATATTGTGCTCCCCTCTCCCTGCAGTCACATGACCGCATTACAGGCACTTGGCAACTGGTTGAATTTATGACTTGTTGCAGTGTCCCATAGACAAAACTACAATGTGTGATAGTTTTTGATGGTTTCTGGGGAAAAAAATGCTACTTGGGGGAATGGATTTGCTTAACAGCTCTGTGATTTGCTTAATGACCATCATAAAAACAGTAAAAAAAAATCAGGTCTGGTCATGTTGGTCCTTTGACTTATGATCATGATGACTTATAACCAAAATTTGAATCCCAATTAATGGTCATAAGTCAAGTTACCTGTATTTGTAAGCTGTCTTTTAACACTCTTCTAGTTCTTAAATTAAATCTTGTTTAATACAGAAAAAAATTAGTTTCTTTTCTTAGATTTCTAGCATTGGTTAATACATTTTCACATTAATTCTAGGTTGTTACAGAATAGCTTGCCCCAGAATGAAATTTCAACTCCAGGTGGGTCTGATTCCATAAATGTATTCCATGTAATATAATAACTTGATTTTTTTAAAAAAAAATCTTGATATTTCTTCATCATTCAGGAAACCATGCTTCCTTCAAGAGTGGTACCAAATTGTGATATTTTAAAAATGGGTGTGTGTTTGTGTGTGCGCTCCCCAGCTTTCCTTGGACTTTGAGATTTCTAAAAATGGAGTATTGCATTCAGAGGCCTTGAGTGATCTCTTGTAAGGGAAGAAAATGTTTGTATAATGATATCAAAAACTTGATATATACAAATACCTCAGCAACACATGGCTGCTTCCTTCTCCAAAAATCCACTCTGATTGCTTTATAACAGTTTGACTATGTTTTTGAAACTCTATATCTGAAAAATATTATCAAATGCACCTGCTTTCATGTGGATTGTGCACTCAGAAATCATAGAAGTTCATTAGCTTTTTAATTGGCAAGTGAACATTACACTTAAGCATTATGTTTGCATATTGGTCGAATCCAGCATTTGTATGTATAAAGTGCGTCTCCTATGCGTGAAGTAGGTAGGGCTGTGCACAGTATTGCTGATAGGCTTTGAAGGCCAATAAGGATTATAGAAAACAAGAGATAAGAGAAAAGGTGGAAGGAATTTATGAGCATTAGATTGGGGATTAGCATGGTAGCCATGGGGGGTGGCGGTGGGGAATGCACTGGCCAGATACCTGAAGGATTGTCATAAAGAACAAAACAAGATTTGTTTCTGTGTCCAAGAAGGCAAAACTTGACCTAATACAGTAGCATGAAGTTAACAGAATAAGATATTTCAATGTTAGGAAAAAAAATCTTGATAATTATTTTGCCCTGTTATTGAGATCTATAAATGAAGAAACCTGATAATACTTCAAGATGCTTTACTATGGATTTCAGACATTGAGCTAAGTGATCTAAACCTCTTGCAAGGTCACTACTCTGATGCTGGGGATTAAAACCAAGTATGAAAACTGGACCAGGACCAGATATTTTGAGCTGATAGGAAAGTATATCTAAATAAGAGTATGCCAAAAGAAAGGGGAACAAATGGGAGTTGGACAGAAAGAAAAAAATCAATTTTGTGGAAGTTTAATGTATGAGATTAAAGATGAGATTTAATATATAAGATGCATTGCGTTCATAGAAGGTAACTTTTCTTCCTTCAGTATTGCAATACAGTGCAGAGAAGGCTGCCTGGGAAAGCGGGAGAGCGTTTAAGAAAGGCTTTAGGGCTAGGCAGACTTTTTAGACTGGTAAACTTGCCTATGGGATAGTATCCTTTTGCATCATTCCACCCATTATTATAATGCAAGAATTATATGTAGAGAGACATTATATTGTGTCCACTTTATTTATCTTCTATTCCAGAGCTCGCAGACCGGAGAAAAGGAGAGCAGCTTCAAAATTGGTGCACGGGGCCACACACACTGGCGCGGCACTAGCGGCCCTGTTTGCGCATATGGCATACGAATAGCTGTACACCCCCCCCTGCAACGGCTAGCGGCCCCGTTTGCACATGTGCAAACGGGCTGCGCAACCCATCCGAGCTAGCTGCCCCATTTGCTCATGCACAAATGGGCCGCGGACACCTGTCCCACGTTAGCAGCCCTGTTCGCGCCCATGCACATGCACAAATGGGGTTGCAGCCACTAGCATGAGTGGGGGGGGAATGCACGCCCACGCTTGCACGGGGCCCACTGGCCAAGAGCCCAGGACCCATAGATTGGGGACTCCTATTAAATTTTATCCAATTCTTAGATTCTGTCTCTGCAGTTTTCTTGGCATACATTATACATTATTTCATACATTATACTTCTCAAAACTGATTTTTTTCTTTCTGTCCAACTCACATTCGTTCCCCTTTCTTTGGCATACTCTTAGTTTGATATACTTTCCTATCAGCTCAAAATATCTGTTTCTATCCAGTTCTCACACCTAATTTTAATCCCCAGCATCAGAGTGGTGACCTTGCAGGAAATTTAGTTCACTTAGCTCGATATCTGAAATTCACAATAAAGCATCTTGAAGTATTATCTGGCTTCTTCATTTATAGATCTCAACAACAGAGCAAAATAATAGTTACCAAGACTTTTTTCCCAACATTGTACTGAAATAGTTTATTCTATTAGCATGGAGCATGGAGTTAGCATAATAGCATGGAGTTATTTTATTAATTCCATGCTATAAGATCAGGTTTTGCCTACTTGGGGACAGAAGTGGTTTGCCATTGCCTCTTTTCTAGATAGAAAGTGACTGGCCCAAGATCATGCAGTGGGCTTTGTGACTTATTACCATTTTTCATACTTATGACCTTTGTATAGCATCCCCATGATCATGTGATCAAAATTAAGATGCTTGGCAACTGGTTCATGCTTATGAACATTGTTGTGTCCCAGGGTCATGTGATCACCTTTTGCAAACATTGACAAGCAAAATCAATGGGGAAGCCAGATTCACTTAACAACCATCTTACTAACTTATCAAGTGCAGTGATTCAATTAACAACTGTGGCAAGAAAAGTTGTAAAATAGGGCAAAATTCACTTAACAAATGTCTCCATTTAGCAACAAATTTTGGGCTCAATTGTCGTAAGTCGAGGACTACCTGTACATGGATGCAATGAGATTGCAATCTCTCCTTGTTTAAAAGGTTTAAAAATCTCTCTTGTGTTGATCTAACTTGAAAATGTGAACATAAATAAAAATAGATTCTTCTCTAAAATCTAGTTTAGCTTTCTGTAATCTTCCTTGGGGAATAGGCCCTAACCTGGCTCTCTGGATGCATTGGATAAGAACTGCCAACATCTTCAACCAAAATAACAAGCAGGCATGTCAAGTGTAGATGATAGGAATTGTAGTTAGAACATCTGGAAGGCCTTGCATAGGGTAAAACTGGTTTTGAAATTTCCAGTGTTTTGGTACAGTGTTACTTCCGATAATTGGTGCCCAACTTTACACATCTAACAGTATATTTTTCTGTAGTTGGTGTTTTGCAGCAACGTAACCCTCAGATGGCTAATCACTTAGCTTCTAGAAACGATTCAGCCTGTCCCTACCAGAGTCAGGTAACTAAAAATATAATCTGTTATTAAATATACCATGATATTAAAAAATCCAATTTATACATGCATTTTTCTTTGTTAATTGTACAGCAATAAATCAATATGTGATAAGTTTTATGTTTAAACAGTTATGATTGTGATGTTTTCTTTTTACATTTTAATGGCATTAAAATATGCCATTATTCAAATAACTACTGTTTGGAATTATCAGATGCTGTTAAGATCCAGCTTGCCAAAGCATTGCCAAATATAACTTCCCATTTGCATGTTTAAAAATGTCCACATCAAGAAAAAATATTGGCTGAACATTTATAGCTTTGCCCTTTCCAATGTCCTCACCACATCACAAGATGGCTCTTTGAAGCCTGCAGGCAGGTTGGGATGCTATGTTTTGGCCCCACGCAAGTAGCAATTGCCCACCCTTGGCCTAAAACTTCATTAACAATGTTTTCCTAAGTTTGAATATGCTGAAAAACCGTGGCTCTTTAAAAGAAACTGAAGTCATTTAAGAGGAAGGGAGAAGAATTGCAAGTCAAAAGACTTCAGCAACATTCCTTTAGACTTCATTTTAACACACATTGAAATCTCAAGTGCCCTACCAGAGAGCAAGACAAGGCTAAAGAATGCTGGGGCTTAAAAATTCAGGACGGCCACAGGGACTCTGACTCCTTGTGTTATGCTTGAATATGACCAATATGGTTGTGGTTTTTTTTGTGATGAAACCCTTGCAAATACATTGCTATTTCATCTTTCAGTAAATTCTACCTGCCTGCCACATTTCCTTACCATTTAGAGCAAGCTATTTGGTAGCACTTCCTTTCTTGATTTTTTAGAAACTCTGCACCTCCCCAACATCTATATATCAGATGTCTCTTAGAGATGATATGCAAGTATAGCTTTCTACAAGATGCTTCATTCACTTAGATTTAGAAAAAGTACCCAAAGATTATCTTCATTCTCTTTCCCTCTAATTTTCAAACAAACTTGAAGTCTTTGTTAGACAAGTACTCACTTTGAACTTTTATCTTATTTTTTAGAATCCAAACAGTTCTGAATTATACCCCACCACTTGTGAGGGACAAGAGAATATGTAAGTAATCAGTGTTTTAGGAACACAATATTCAATAATTATAGGTGAATTCATAATTTCACAATTAGTTCATTTGTCTAATCCAGATCTGGTATGTGTGAAGGGACCTTTTGCCCATATGTATGTATTGTTTGAATCTAGGGGAACAGTCCCAATGTTTTCACTGACTTTTAGCTGAGGAAAACAAAGGGGTCCAAATAAATTAAGGTTCTTTTTTAACTCTGAAAAAAGGGGTCCAAAGAAATTAAGGTTCTTATAGACACCTCTGAATAAGAGTTATTTTATTCGTTATTGCACCCATTTTGAATTATACCCCTCCCTCCAAATCTTACACCTGCTCAAGTTTTTAATCTTCCCTAAGAAGCATACTAAGTATATTGCCTGTACCATTTTTAATCATGAGAAAATTACTGGTCCAAATCAATAAATTTATTGTGTGAATGGGGTTTGGGGCCTTGATTTCCCATGGCTTATGTCCTGCGATCTAGCTACTGAATCTTTTAATAGCAAGAAGCATTTTTCAAAATATTTATATTACTTTATTGATTGGATAGAACATTGCTTGGGCTTAAGCATAATTGCTTGCTGTGTTTTTTCTGGTTCTGCTATAAAAGGCCCTAAATTCTTTTTTGTCCCTAGGGAAAAACCCAAGTACATCACCACCATTTCCAAGTCAGAAGTTGTACCAATACCATCAAGTCATGCTGCCTTTGAGCAGAAGGCAATGTACGTCAAAACACTTCTTGATTGTGAAGGTTCTGAGCTGTGTTTTGAAGAAGTGAGAGCTAAAGTATATTTGAAGAAGGCAGAATGTTTGAAAAGGCAAAAGGAATTAGGTAATTACTTCAGTTTAACCTAGTTTCATGAGTTCAAAAAATGGAACATAATACTTTAATGCTTCTACATGTGCTAAGCCAAGATCAGATTTAAATGGCTTTTGTGGAAATAAGGTTTCAGTCAGTGCTGTATGGTAGTTCTTGACTTACAGGCATTTGTTTAGTAACCATTCAAAGTTACAACGGCACTGAAAAAAAGTGACTTATAACTGTTTTTCACACTTATGATTGTTGCAGCAGCCCCATAGTTACATGATCAAAATTAGGGCACTTAGCAACCAGCGTGTCTATATGATAGTTGCATTGTCTTGAGGTCATGTGATCACCATTTGTAACTTTCCCAGCCAGCTTCCAAGAAACAAAATCAATTGGGGGAAGCCAGATTTGCTTAATTGACCACATGATGCACTTATCAACTGCAGTAATTCACTTAACCAGTGTGGCAAGCAAAAGAGGTTGTAAAATGGAGCAAACTCATTGAACAAATTTCTTGCTTAACAATAATAATTTTGGGCTCAATTGTGATAGTAAGCCGAGGAATACCTGTAGATGAGCAAGGCATTTCCTGATTTGATTTCCTTTTTCACTGCTTTTGTTTTCTATGCCTTGATTGTTGAGCAACTTAAGATACGAATATAAACCAGGAATAAGTGAAGATGCATTGGAAAACAAGTGATGAAATCAGTAGAGTAACACATCATAGCTTTGTTCCTAAAAACAAGCCATGGAAATTTCTCAGACTGTTCATTTCTCACTTACTCAAGACACTCATAAATAACATTATGACTTAGGTTATCTGCAGTCAAGTCTTACCAATTCTAGTGAGAATAAAGTCATCAGTAATTGATTTCAGTAGGGTGTAAATGCGAGTAAATTAGCCCAAATCTATCCTGCATGCATTCATACCCTTTTAACAGTGATAGGCTAAGATCTCATGCCACACACAAGGGAGATGACATTCTGGTCTGTGAAAGGTAGCACAAATATAAAATCATACATACTTGTCCCCCAAATATGCCAGATATGGCAGTCTGCGACAGCTACCTTATGGTCTGTTACATTCCTGAATTTGGCACTGCCAATTATCAGTGCTCAAAAGTCTTCAGCATTCAACTTTATTAGAACAAACGCGTATTCAAAAACTGCATCTGAATGTTATGGTTGGAGATAGCTTGGTCAGCATAGTGCAATGGAGTTTTTACTGAATTCCACAGTAAAGTTAAACAATATTTTGCCCCTATTTTTGTACACAAAATAAGTAAGGAAATGGAACTATTTCCTTTTGTAATTAGGAAAAAAAAATCTAGTTTTTAGCTAAACTATCAGCTCTGTTTCTCAGAGAATGTGTAACCTATATTTTTCCTTGTTGAAGTCTTTTCTTTATATAGGAGAATGTTCTGTGCTGTCACAGTAACACAGCAATCAGGATTACTGCTCCAGATGCAGTGCAGTGTAGATTTATTGTGTTGAAGGCATTGGTCATGTATTTTGTCATTCCTAAAACCTGTTTTTATGGCTTTACCCATGGATAAATATGTTGCTGCAGATGGACAAATGGGTGGATGGGTGGAAAATTAATAAACTGACACATTTGAGGTATTGATAACAAGTGTTATTTGACATTCTGTTTTATTTTCCTGCCTTGATGGGATGATGAGGGTCAGAGTTACTAAAAATATATCAGCTTTTAATGTTAAAGGAGAGGGAGAGAATTATTTTAACAATATAGGTAATGTATCGGTTTTGATACTTTCAGAGACTGAAGACAACGAGTTAATGAAAAAGAAAGAAAGTGACCTCCTTGAGCTACAAAAACTGCAGCAGAAATTGGACCAGCTCTCCCAATCATCATCTTCGTGCCAGAAAGATGTATTACAGCCAATTGCTCAACAGTCCTTGCTAAGCTCAACAGGGGTATATTTGCAATGTGATTTATTAATATGCATGTGGGGGTGTTATAAATCGGTCTTCTCCAGCTGGTACTTCCCAGGTTTGGACTACAGTTCTTATCATCCATAAATAACTTGGATGAACAAGAGCTCCCAGCCCTTCTCATTATTGGCCATAGTGGCAAAGGCTGCTGTGAGATGCAATCCAGCAATATCTGGACAAAATGCTCGTGGAATACTTTGATTGAAAAAAGACCTTGCCCTAGTATCTACCTATATCCCTCTATGAAGAATGATCAAGAATTTCTACTTCATAATATCCATTCATAAGTAGAGTTTTAACTGTAAGGGACTTGAACACATTTTCAGAAGTTCTTCTAGAACTATCTAACTCCAAATCTATATATGTACTTTATCTGTACAAAGTAATGTTCCTGCTATTTAGTGAACATATGCAACTACAGTAGTTCCTCTAGATAAAATACTATTTTACTGAATAATACTACCTTTCGAAGATATTCCTAACTGTTTAAGTAGAAAAGCTGGCTTAGAATCTTGGATCTTCTTTATCAAATAGTTCTTTTTATGAATGAAATAAGGCTGTTCCTTTAATCCAATAAAATCAGTAGGGATTACTATTTGAATAGTAATTTAATTATAATGTGTGCCGAAAAAAGATTTAAAATTGCTTTTTCTAATGTAACTTTAAATTTATTATTTTTATAATATAATGAAACACTTTTCCAAGCTACACCTTCAATATAGGAAGGAATTAACATTTGAATTAATAAAACCTTTTTCAATCTCTTTCAATTTTAATGCAACTTTCCTCAATTTGGGGGGTCTACAGATTTGTTTGAGTGTTGTGAAAGTAGAATTGGTTGGAGTTATAGTACAACATAGCAAGTAAGTTGTAAAATATTGATAAAGTATGTTATGCATGTAAGTATAGTTAGTGTTTCTAAAAAATAAAGTGTTGCAGATAAGTTACCAACATTTCTCTATGAGTATATTAGAGCAGGGATCTCCAACCTCTGGGCTGTGGACGGTTACTGGGCCATGGACTGTTGGGAACCAGGCTGCCGAAGAGACGGGGGAGCACATGAAGCTTCATTTACGTATGCATGGGATTTAGGTTGCAATTGCAAAACCATTCCCCTGCTGCTGCTGAAGCTGCTGCCGCCACTGGTCCATAGAATCAAAAAGGTTGGGGATCCCTGCATTAGAGCATGGAAATCAGTAAACGATTAAGTATACAGATGGCAAGAAATACACTTAAAAATACAAGTATACAAATTTATATTTTGTTCTTAATTTGATAAGGGTGATCAGTGTGTACAAGTGAGAACTTCACAGTGTTGGCCAGAATGGATAGCTTCTTCTGTAACTCAGAGTGCTCCGAACGTGGGAACAGAACATCAAAGTTTATCAGGAGATGCTTTAACTTCACAGCCTATTGGAAATCACCCACAAAGATCTGCTTTCAAGGATATTGGAGTGTCTTCAACTTCTTTGGCAATGATGAGCTATGTGGCCGATATTGATGAAACTCTTGGGCAACAGTCAGTATCTGATCCTCCCATGACAGCTGTAAGTGAGAAAGCTGCATTTGAAACTCACCCTGATTTTGAAGAGTGTACAGATAGTCTGCATAGACTTCAAGTCAGCAGTAATTCTGTCCAGCCACCTCAGAAGTATTCTACTATCTTCCATAATTGCCATGATGGAGAGATGTAAGTAAAAGTTAGATTTCAGGGTTTTTTTTATCCAAGAATGAACCCTGTGGATAAATGGGAACCAGATTTATTACATCTTATGATTGATGTATTGGTTGAATTCATATATCATTTGAACATATCACATGGTTTGATTAATTTTTGTTATATATAGATCTAGCTATTGGTATTTGTAGTTTATAACTTAGGTTACTAGTGAACCAGATCACCATAACTTGTTCAACAAACCATGGTTAAACAAGCCATAATTTAATATGTGCAGTGCTGTTACTGGGGATATCTATATAAACATAAATTAATGAGCTGGGATAGGAATGAACTGTTGATCTCTGATTTTTGTATTCCTAAGATCTTAATTTGTCAAAATTAGTATTAATAACAATCAGTCTGATGCACGTGAACCTGTTCTGCACTATATGCCACTATATGCGCTAGGAGATGTATATGAATAAGATTTACTCTTTGAATAATTATGAGGATATTTGAAATCCAATTTTAAGCACAGTGTTAAAATATTGAAATATTAAATTTAAGACTTCTGAACTGGCATGTAGACATTTGTTTGTTTAAACCATAGGCCACCTGACTCCTAAACAATTTTGGGTAGCTTGCAACTAACTAAAACTAAAAGAAAAGCAGCCAGCTAGAAGAGTACAATACTAAACAACAAAACCCCAAAACCAATTGGGTCAAAATAAAACAAGCAAAACAAAAAGAGGACACCACCTTGTCCCCAAGGCCAAAAATTCTTTTAGTGCCAACAGATGATTAACAGGTCTTCTAGAGTTTGTATCCCAAGGTGCATTCTTGATAAAAGTCAATCTGTGTAGTGGGATTGGATATTTCTACATTTTATGTAATGCAAAATTACAACCACTCCCACCATCTATAATAATATTTTACATGATTTTTCTGGGCAGGCACATAGATCCTTCAAATCGGACAGAGCAGCATTCCATGGAAATGAGAGACGGTAATATATTCTCTGGCTGTCTTCTTAATATTCTGTAAGTGCTCTAATGGGTTACTAATCCATACTTAAGGAGATTGTACAAGGTATAATTGTCTCTGTATTAGTCTTTTGCAGCCTGTAGTCTGAGATCTTAAAATGATCAAGTTCTTTGAAGCACAGTGTCATGGGGTTAGAAGGGATCTTACAAAACTTACAGTCCAAACCTCTGCCCAAAGCAGAAATCTTTATAACATCTCAGGCAAAAAAACTACCCAACCTTTGTCTGAGGATGCATATCAAGGATGAAACCTGGATTCCAGAAGGCAGGCTGTTTCGCTTTTTATTTATTTAAGAAACATACATGACCATATCTCATATTCTAAGCAGTTTAAAGCAACCAATAAAAACAAGGCCCCAGACCAATAATTCTATTAGTCTCCTTATTCAGTCCCCATTCTAACCCAGCACTTGAAGGAGAAGAGCCAGGTCTGGAAAACTAAAAGGGTAGGAACCCCATGGATCTCAGGTAAGAGCCTATCTAATGTGCTGAGGCAGTTACAGAAAAGGCATATCTTCAAGGTCCCAAGAGATGATGGCATTTAAGGGAAGGGTCCACCTACCCTATGTGACCTAGTGGGATGGAAAGATGAATAACTCAGATCTATGGGATGTAGAGCTTTAAAGATGATAACCAGTATGTCGAATTATGATGGAAATTCTGGTCACCATTATGGTTGTAAGTTGAGGACCATTTGTACAACTTAAATACTTCATCAGTTTTGGGAGCTATCTTTTTTTACAAAAGGGGATGAGGTATCAATCTAAAATTCAAAGAAATTTTTTAAAACTCTTTTTTCCTTTGTTATTGTTGTATTAAATATGCATTAGGTATAATAATAATCTGTAGCAGTTCCTATAAATTTAAACCTCTGTGTGCTTCTGTCAAATTCTCATATTGCCTTTTTGGTACCAGATAACAGAAATACGTCAGGCTTTTTTGATCAACGTCATATGACTCTAAATGCATCAAGCATAATACAAGCAACCCCATCTAAAGTACAGCCTTCTCCTACTGTTCACACAAAAGAAGCCTTGGGTAAGTATAAAGCCTGTTTTTTTTTAAAAAACAACAACAACTGAGGAACATTTATTTTTATAGATTCTTATATTTAGTTGTATAGACTCTTTATTGATAAGTATACTTGAAAAAACCCTTTCAGGTGAATATGTAGCTGCTTTACAATGCACACAATGGGATATTCAGGGAAAGAATTCTGGAAATGGTGATTAGGTAGATTAGAAAGGGCACATATGTTTATAAAGTTTTATACAATAGTTTCAGTAAAAGATGACCGTACTTCATTGCAATATCCATAAATACAATTTGTGCCTGTGAGCAACTCATTCATAATTCACGAGTAATATCAAGTCTTCAATTTACAGAATAATTGGGCCATAAATTTATCTTTCCAATGTTGAAGGACTAGTCTCACTAGACTCATAGCAGTAAAATGACATGGAAAATCCACTTTTGCTATCCAGCAGTTTCCTAATATTACTAGTATGTCCATCTAATGTATATATTTCAAAAGAAAAAGAACGTCCAAAAATATTAAACCTTGTCTCAAAGTCTAATGTAAACAATTCTTCACAGAATTTAACAATATTAGAATATACATGTTTGTTTTACTTTTTTTCTGTTTAATTAAAAGCAAACATTAAAAATAATTAGAAATGCAATTTCTTTAACCCCAAAAGCTCGCTTTCTTTCTTTCTTTCTTTCTTTCTTTCTTTCTTTCTTTCTTTCTTTCTTTCTTTCTTTCTTTCTTTCTTCCTTCCTTCCTTCCTTCCTTCCTTCCTTCCTTCCTTCCTTCCTTCCTTCCTTCCTTCCTTCCTTCCTTCCTTCCTTCCTTCCTTCCTTTCTTTTATCAGAAAATGTAGCTAAGCATTTTGTTCTCCTACTCCGTATTTACTAACATCTGTTAGCCATTACTGAGTTGCAAATGAAAGGGTAGATTGGAAATGATAATTTTGTGTGTAGTTTGTTAGTGTTCCATGCTAACATACTAAGTAAATTTACTAAAGATGCCAATCTTTATGTATATACATATAGTTTCAAAATATATCTTGATTGAACTAACTAATAAGGAAACTGATTAGCCAACTAATAAAAAGCACACCTACAGTCCATAAATACATTTAAATAACCACGACAAATTTTAATAAAAATGTGGGTTAATTAACCAGTTTTTATAAAAAATAACCATATATTTACCACATGAAAAATATGGTCTGTATTTTCAGCTGGAAAAATAGGTTTAGCTGGCAACCTATTTTTACCTTGCACGTTACTTCCCTGTAGATTGCAATTAAGACAGTTAAAATTCCCTAAAATAGAAATGTCACTATAAAATGAAATGGTGTGTCTAAAGAGGAAGACTTTGTTTCCTGAAAGTGAAAAGAATGGGGCTGACAAGAATACGTTCCATCGAGTAGAAGCGATTAATTACAATTTTATGTTAACTCCTTGAATCAAGTAATAATCTATATCAGTGTTGGCAAACCTTTTAGAGACCGAGTGCCCAAAACCCACCCCGCCTACTCCCACCCCCGCCCCGCCAGGCCACCCACCAGCTCCATGGCCCGCCACAGATCGCTCAGGCGGCCCTGCAGCACTGTCATGGTGGCCATGTCCTCCACCCGCACCCCGTAGCATCATCTGCATGCAATGGGGTGCAAGGCCGGAGTCTTGTCCCTGCTGCCCAGCTGCCACGTGCTTGGCTGCGCTGCTTCATGCAAGCCACCTCCAGGGGCGACTCACCTCCAGGGGGGCTGCTGATGAGGTGGGGGCTGGGGGGAGATGGGGGCTAGGGCGACAGCGCATGTGCCCACAGAGAGGCCCACGCGTGCCATAGGTTCGCCACCACTGATCTATATTATGCAGGAAAATCTGGAGTTAAATGATTTATATGTAGTCATTTGTCTCTTCATTTCTCTTATCTCTTACTGTACTTTATTTTAGTACTGGCAGTACTCACAACTATTTATTTAACAATAGTACAGAATTACAATGGGCTCAGACTGTCGCAAAACATTGTACCAACACTCCAACGTGATTGCACTCCGGGTGTTTGGCAACCTGTTCACACTTACAACAGATTACCAAGCACCCCAGAATCATGTGATCACAATCACATTGTGGTTTAGGGCAACATATGAGCTCAGCCTGCATGTAAACCTCCTGAGAACTATTAGGATTAAAACGCAAGCGTCGATTTTATGAATTCAAACCAAAAGGCCAAAATACCACCAATGGTTTTGCCTTCCTAAGTGTTCTTAGATTTTTTTTTTTTTTTACTTTACCTGTCCTTTACTTTGAATTTTTCTTTGACTTACCAAGGTTTCATCATGGATATGTTTCAAGTGACTTCTCTAAAAGATACTACTATACTTTCAGAAAATGAGGAAGAAGATGTTGAGGCTTTCTTTAGAAACAAAGGTAAATGTCATTACCTACAAATGATAAATAGGTTTATCTTCTCATTTGTCTTCCTCAGTTTGGGAATCTCCAGATGGGTTGGGACTATAGGTTCCATTATGCTGGCAGCATGGCTACTATGTGATACTGGAGAGACCTCAACATAAAGTTGGAGCCCCAAGTTCTGCAAATTCTCAGGAATTTGTCTTGGATTATAAGATTTGTTAGGCAGACATAACTAAACTAATCTCTGCCAAAGTGATTTCAAGATGCTAAAGCTGAGGTGAGGGACCTAAAACAATAGATGGGAGTTCTTTTTTTTCCTGCCTCATTGTTAAAGTATAAATTTATTCTGAGCAGTTTAAGGAGTTCCCTTGTGAGCTACAGAACAGATCCAATAAAGATACATCTCATATTCTTTATATTAGCAAAAGTGAGGATTAATTTTAGGTATAGCTGAGGATTTTTAATTAGTAGCAGTCAGATACCATAATATTACCAAGGGTATGTTTTTGTCTGTTTAGTTTCTTGTAGTGACAAACCTTTGGGATATAGAGAGAAATAAAAAAAATGCCTATGATGAGAAAGTTATATATCTAACTTAATCAAAATATCTGTTTATGTTTATATTTTGACATGAAGGATATTTATTTAGTTGCTGATTTCTTGTGCTTATATGCCATTCCATTCATATGCAATGGATTAGCTAACATTCCTTCATGCTCTACCAAAATTAAAAGCAATGAAAAATAAAACAAGAATTGGACAAAAGGATCAAGAACAACAATCAAAAACAACCCAATATTTCCACTGAAGGAAAAAATCAATTCTAATCGGACTCTTAAAGGCCTGATCTTAATGTTTTTTTAAAAAAACTTAATTGGATGAGAGGGACAACCTGAACAGGGAAATGCTATTGTAGAGCAGGAAACAATAACAAGGAAGGTCATCCTTCAGGGTACCTGATAGAAGCAGTTCTTAGAAGTAGAGTTCTGGTGGATGTCCTCCATTCCAGATCTTAGGGAGCATGCAAGTACTAATGGAAGAAAGTGGTCTTGAATATATCAGGCCCTGAATCATGTGAGGCATGGATATCCAACCATTTTGCTTGCCTGGGTTACACTGAATGAAGAGGAATTAGCCTGGGTCGCATATAAAATATATAATATAGTTAATGTATATGAATAATAAACTTCCTTTATTTTTTATTATATCTTGTGGGGTCATATTACTAGCTGTCTAGGACCCATGCGACCCTTGGACATGCTTGATATAGGGCTTTAAAGATCACAACAAACATTTGGATCCACTGGGAGTAGCTGAGGTCAGGGAGTTTTACACAATTAGAATTTTTGTACCAATTCGGATAATTCTTGTATCAGGAGATTCTCAGTTACCTATGTGACTTCTACTGCAGCTTGGTTTACAACTTGTAGACCACTTGGAAGCTTCAGTGGGTTCAGCAGGCAATAGCTCCAGCAGTTACAGGATATATACATTCTGCCTGTGTAACACTTCAGCCAGAGGCAGGAAAAATGTAAGCCTATCACATCTTTCCTTTTCTGTTCTCCTTTTAGATCCAGGTGAGGCTGTCAGCATTAAGCCTAGTGTTCCTGCTACATTACCTGCTTTTACAATTTTTGAAGATGAAAATATGGAGTAAGTTGAAAATTGTCAGATAGCCTTGTAAAAAGTCAGTCTGCAATTGCCACAAAGAATACTCTTTGTAATTGAGATTAGTTTGTATCAGATTGCCCTGTAAGCCTATTTGTAAATTCTGCAATGAAAACTGTTACTAGCACAGCCAGTATCCATGTTGTTGAATGAAGATTCCCATTTCTCATTAATCATTTTTATCAGTCCCCTTTTTCTTCACGTTCTTGCATCACAAGCTATGGAAAAAGTCATATTTTGATTCTTGAAAGAGCTAATGTGTACTTGTCCTATAGTGTGTGTATTGTTACAGCTAGCTGATTTTGGCTGATCTTGAAAAAGCTATGGAAGGGCAAACAGTGATTGGATGGGAAATCCCACCTAACTACTTAGGAAACTGTGAGAATGTAGACTAGACTGAGAAGCTAAAAAAGAAAATCTTGAAAACAATATTCTTGTAATCAAGAATTTTGATTACAATTTCCCTGTAATCACCAGTTATTTCCACAGGAATTTTAGGCAACTTGGGCAATCTGGGGAGCCCTCCAGATGTTTTTGGGCAGCTCTTGTGATCTCTTACCTTTGGCTTGTGATGGTATATGAGAGTCCAAAACATCTTGAGGATTTGCATATTACCTATTCTTGATCTTATTAGATTCTGTTATAGCAGATCTGATCTCTGGAAAATAATTGCTCTCATGGACAGTTAAATCTACTGTATGTACCGTCTATGCCGGCGTATAAGACGACTTTCGGAAGCGCTAAACTCGGCGCAAAAGATGGGGGTCGTCTTATACACCGAGTCATCTGGGAAATACTGGGAGTTTCCGGCGTATAAGACGACGTTCTAGGAAGGCGACCCAGCGATAAAGACGGGGGTCGTCTTATACACCGGGTCGCTTAATACGCCAGCATATACGGTAAAATGTTTATTTGAAGAATGACTCTGAATGTTCTTCCTGTGATTTTTAGGGTCGTGCAGTCAGTTCCAAAGTCAACATCTATCAGAGTATTTGGCGAACGTCCCACAGGCACTCTGGCTGTTTCTAAACCAAGAGTAAGCAAATCGCATTTTAATATTTTTGGTTTATATATTTAATCAAACAAATCAGAATTAGAAAAATAAAATATTGAAAAGAATAACAAAAAGGAAAAAATGCAAAACATAAATTTTTATATGTGTGTGTTTGTGTACACATATACATGTATAAACACACAAACACATATTCAGCTAGCCTTCAACTTACAACCGTAATTGGAATTGATATATTGGTTGTATGTCATGATAGTCATCAGTTGAGGTACCTCCATGACTGGGCCCAATTTATTACTATTTATTACTATTTGTTAAGCAAATCACATGTTTATATTCCAAATCTATTCTCTTGAATGGAAACCAGCAAAAAATGCCAGAACCAGAAAAGAATGTCATAGCAGTCACATGACTGGGGTGATGCAACCAGTTGCAGATGTGAACTGGTTGCCAAGTGCCCAAATTGTAATCATGGGCTAATTGGGCTCATAAATTCGTCTTTCCAATTTGAAGAACTAATCCTGTGGCAATAAAAAAAACATGGAGAATCCATTTCTAAGTCCAATAATTCATTTGTTCAATTTCTATAGCCACCCAACTCAACCAAGTGATTCTGGGCAGCTTACAATTTTAAAATTAAAAACAACTAAAACAATTTAAAAAGCATTAAAACAATAAAAACTTTCACAAAACAAGTACAAAAGTCTGCTATGATGAGTTATCAACTACTGGTAAAGCCAAGTAACAGAGTTCTTAACACATTCTGAACCCCAGGCTGAGATACATAGCCAGGTTTTTAAAGCTTTGTGAAAAGCCAACAGTGTTGGGGGTCATTCTAATCTCCAATTACCGTGTAGTAAGTATATAGTTCAAAAGAAGGTGTGCATTTATAAATATTAAACTCCAAATCAGGTCAATATAAGTAGTACTTCTTTCTAGGACATGATCATTTTAGGATATTACATATATCCTATATATATTTTAATGAAGCACTCTGGTACATCTCATTCATTTTTTTATATAAACAATACAATTCAATAAGTCCAAAATGTATCAAATAGAGTCCTTGGGAGTTTGGTTGTTTTCTTGCAGATGTTTCATTACCCAATTAGATAACATCAGTGCTTAAAAGGAGTAGTTTCCTCTCTATTTGATCTCTGCATATCTAGCTGTTGATTGCTGGCAAGGAGGTGTCTTGGTTTTTTGTTTATTTTTTGACTTTTTGATTGTCTTTTGAATGGTGTGTAGATGTTGTTTATTTCTATGTGCCCATTGATGGCTGATTTGTTTGAGTGCCAGGCTTCCAGGAATTTTCCAGTGCTTTTGCACTTAGGATGTTTACAGTTTCCCAGTTGAAATTAAGATTAAGTCTTTCCATGTATTGTGAAATTAAGGAATATTCATTATGTCTTTTGACTGTTAGTTGGTGTTCGTGGTTGTGCTCTGTTAGTCTTCTGCTTATTTGTCCTACATAGCGGTTGCTACAATCCTAACATTGTATGTTGTACATGACTCCTGCTTTTGGGGGGGGGGGGGCTGCTGGCTTTTTTGGTTTACTTAGGATGGTTTGAAGGGCTTTAGTTGATTTGTGTGCTACAGTGATGCCATGTGGTTGTAATGGTCTGTGGTTGTTTCTCAGATGTTTGATGTACGGCAATATTATCCTATATCATATAATCCACAATCTGAGATTTAACCAGGTTTTTGGTATTAAGGTGAAAATCTTACTCCATTGTTCTGACAGAATTGAGGTCTCCAATTTCTTATTCCAGTATTTCTCAACCTTAGCCATGTTAAGATGAGTTGACTTCAACTCTAGAATTCCCCAGCCAGCGACAAAAATTCAAGAAGAAAGGAGAAAAAGAAATAGATAGTTTTGATTTCTTTTGCAGCAAATATAAGCACACTTATAAAATTATCTTTTATGATTACAAAAGAAAACTCACTCTCTTATATTGTCCATTTTTTTTCTAATCATCAAAACTGCAAATCATAAATTTTTAAAGTTAATGCAAAAAGTCTACAAGGGGTTTCTAGTCAGATATTGTTTTTTCTTTTAGCAAAGAAATTAATTTAGCCATCTTTGCAAGTTCCATCATCTTCACCAACCATTCATTTCTCTGCTCTATCAAAGTTTTCCACTTCTGACCATATAGTAGTCTTGCTGCATACCTACATACATACATGCACACAATATAAAATAAGCCATCTTGAGTGTTTAAAGAAAAGGAAAAAAATTGATGATAATGATTATGATGATGATTTTGGTTTTCCCCTTTAGGATGAAAGCCAGCCAACAGAGGGCCTGACCAGTGACTATACAATATGGGCTAATCCATGTAACCAAACTTTTGCTCCAAGTCTGAAAAGCCCAGGAGATTTCGTTCAAGCTGCTCACCTTCTCTCCTCTACACCGTTCAATACCATTTCAGGGCCTTTAGTCCAAGAGATGCAAGCTAAAGGTAAAATGTTGCATCAGGAAGTACATTTGCTATAATGTGGGAAAATAAATAATTGTAATGCTTTCCTTAGATAAAGTGGATGAAGAGGTAATCCACATAGTGTCTGAGAATAGTTTACGGGTAGTCCTTGACTTACAACCATTCATTTAGCAACAATACTGAAAACAGTGACTTGTGACCAGTCCTTGCACTTATGAGTGTCATGGCATCCGTGAAGTCACGTGATCAAAATTGGGGCATTTGGCAATTGGCATGCATTTACAACAGTTGAGCATTCCAGGGTCACATGATGGTGATTTGCCACTTTTCCAGCTGGCATCTGGCAAGAACAGTCAGTGAGGGGAGCTGGATTCACTTAATGGCCATGTGATTTGCTTAATGACCAAAAAGGCAAAATCGGATGTGACTCACTTAATGATCACCGAGTGATGGAATCTCTGTTTCTACTAGTAATTATAGTACTATTTGGCTTGGTTTTAAATTTATCAGTAGCCAAGTTTTGGTTTTTTTTAATTGTTAGATTATTGTTTTGTACAAGTAATCCTTGGTTAAGAAGAGTAAGTGGGACTGGGTTTTTCATCGCTAAACAATGTGGTTATAAAGCACAACGTCTAGGAGCGGGAGGACCTGCAAGTGGTTGTTGCTAATGGTGGGAGGGTATGTAGGTGGCTATTGTGGCACTGCATAAATGCAACCAGGCAGGTACATGCTACAAAGTTTGTGATTATCGGGGTCTCATACTCCATAACCAAGTTCCTAAGGACAAAAAGTGGCAGAAGTGGGAGTGATTTGCAAGAGCGACATGTAACCTTCCCTGCTGGCTTCCCCATTGCCTTGGCTTATGGGAAGCCAGTAGGAAAAGTTGCAAATGGTGATCAAATAACTTGAGACACTGTAACCATTCTAAGTGCAGGACAGTTGTCAGGCGCCTGGATCACGATCATGTGACTATGGAGGTGCTGGGATGGCCAGAACTTTGAAGTCTGGTCATTAAGAATCACTTGTTCAATGCCACTGTAACTTAGAACAGTTGCTGAATATGGTTGTTGACCGAGGACTTTCTATATTGTATTTGCAAGTCATCTCAAATATTTTAGAGAGGAAAGATCAAGGTAGAAAATACTTAAATAATGATTTCTTGCTTCTTAGCAGGGAGTGGGCCTTCTGGCATCCGAGTACCTAGGAATAGGAATTTCATTGGCTCTGGAAGTTTATGTTGGTTGTCTCCAGTCTGGTCCCTCTCCAGATGTATGGACAACTCCAAAGAATTCTCCAATCAGTATAGCCATTGCTGAATTTTTTTTAGAATTGAAACTCAGATATCTGAAGGGTGGTGCTCTTTTCTGTTTTCTCTCTTTTGGGGGGGAGTTAGCTCTCCAGATTTTAATAATGCCTATCATTAAGGATTTTTTTTTGTACTTTCCCGATTAGTGTTTGTAACTTGACTATTTTTATTCTCTTACAAAGTCATTGAGAATCCTTGGGATGAAAGTTTAATCTTCCAGCTTCTGTCCAGGCTGCCAAAACCAATAAGTGCTTATCCCAATACTTTCCAGTGGGCAACGAATCTTCCACTTGTCAGACCAAAAACCGTTGTCAAATTAGGTAGGTCCCATTACATGTTTAGTGTTATTTTTTTCAGAGCTTTGAAACTTTAAAAAAGTTGTACTTAATGGTTTTATTGGGCATATTTCAGTATAAAAGGGAAACTGGGACTCTGCATTGTATTTGTGTTCATTAAAGCAATACATTTTATGGAAGTTTTTTATTGTCATAAAGTCAACATGCCAACTGTTTTGGTTGTGTTCATCCATGATTCTAAGACAAAATTTGTTTTAATAATGATAAAAATTCTTGCCAAAGCAAAAGAATTTAAATTGTGAAATATAAGAAGGAAATTATGCAATTGAAAATGATACTTTTTTCTTTTTTTAATGGAATATACTACCTTGACTATAGTGGTTGAGAATTATACAAGGCAAAAGACAGCAGGTTACTCTAGTAAATTGATAAACTATAAAAGTAGTCCAGAGTTTCAGCTGACTCATTTAAAAACTGACTAGAAGTTATTTAAACTATCAGTTCAAGGGAAGAATCTGCTAAAATGGAAATATGTTCCAATTCATTTTTCCACTTGAGGGAGGAATAGTGAGAAGAAGGGGCCTAACCTTATTGCATGATCTTTATATGGTTTTCCATTATATGCAAACTCAGAATGTGCAGTTGTTTGTAGGGCAAGTGACATGCTTAAAGAAATAATAGGAATTAAATTCTATGGGGCTGCTTTGTGGGAAGAATAACTATTGATAACCCACTCATTCTGTTCTCATAACTCTGTGTATTTGGCTGAATTCCCAGAATTAGAGGCAACATACTTGTCAACACTAGTTGTTGGTGATCTTGAAAAAGAAGGAACCATCCTTCTCCAGTGCCTGGATCCTGCTTCTGCACTTCCTGCATTTCTGTCTGATGTGCTTCAGCACTTGTTTTTCACTGAAAATTTTAGAGCTGCGATTGCAGATCAATTTGAGACAAACCCTATTTATTTGGAAATGGGTAATTTGGGCTATAATCCCAAGATTGTTCTACATGCTTATCTCTTCCTTGTCCTCATTCAGCATCCACATCCTTCCACATTGATTGCTTACTTGGAGAAGGAGCTTTTGCACAAGTGTATCAAGCTTCTGCCCTTGATATGGACAATTCTAAGAATAATCAGAAAGTAATACTGAAGGTATATTTGACTCTTAACTTCCAGAATCTTGTTTAAAATTAATTAATCCATCTACTTTACCAGTAAAAACAATGTTTTTTTTTAAATTTCTGATCTCCATAATCTCTCCTATCCATTGCTTAGTTGATGTCAGATTAGAATTTAGCAGTGGAGAAATGGGTGCCTGGACAAGCTGGATATGTATGACTCTGCAGATTGTATCTAATCTATAGAGCCAGAGATGTTCTATATGTGCCTTAGAAATATACTATGGCATTGACACACTCTACGTTTTATGTAGTGTGGAGGTTGGTGTGTTTCTGGCAGGATCAACAATTAAAAGATTTAAAACATGTTCTAACATAATTTGGGAGAGGTAGTCAGTGTATCCTCTTGATATTTTGTAGTGCCTTTCAAATTCCAGGTAGCGTTATGGCCAATAGAAAATGTCAGATTTTGGTTTAAACTAATAACATTAAAAATCTTTCTAGATGGCTCCTGGCTCCTGTGCATTTAAGCAAAGCAGAACTGTTTATTGTCTTTATAGGTACAGAAACCTGCAAGCCCCTGGGAATTCTATATAGCAGCTCAGCTGATTGAAAGGCTGAAGCCAAGTATGCATCACCTTTGCATCCAATTCTATGGTGCTCACTTCTTTCAAAATGGAAGTATTCTAATAGGGGAGCTTTACAGTTATGGAACTTTACTGGTAAATGTGGCTTTGATCTGTATGTATATTCTTGTACAAATGTCATCACAGCCTGAAAGACTAGAAAATGAGGTGGGGTTGTAGTTACAGAAACATTGTTGGGGGGCGGGAAGGGTTAGAAACAAGTCAAGAAGGGAGCTATGACCACACAATTGAAGGACCACCCCCTTTTTTTACCTGCATTGCAACCATGTTGATCTTTTAGATGAATATGTTATGACTTGCAAGTAGAATTAGTTATCCTTAACAGAAAATATTTGGCCAAAATAAAATGGTTTAGCCATTTAGAAAGCATTGTTTTGCTGAATGTATATATGAAATCTTTCTAGCAGGGTATAATTTTGTAAACCAGTTGGTGCATTTTTTCCTCCAAGGTCTAAGTGGAATTTGCTATTTGATAACCATACAGCTGATGTTCTGATGATTTTTTTTTTTACATCTCAAAAAACTGGCATGTATAGACTTTCTATATCCACTATACACGGGATTTCAGGCATATTCATTTGTCCACATGATCATCTGCTTTCTCATCCGTCTCCTGTAGAACACCATAAATATATACAAAAAACTAACAGAGAAGGTGATGCCCCAAGCTCTGGTTATCTACTTCACCATAAAAATCCTGCACATGGTAGAAGAGCTTCACAAGGGTGGAATAATTCATGGTGACATTAAACCTGACAACTTTATATTTGGTGAAAGGCAAGTATCTCACTTGTGAACGTTTGAGATCTTTTCCTGTTAATCTGATTTGGTGCATTGCTTAATAGTAATCATTGTTAATTGCTTTTAAACAAGGTTTTTGGACAATGACACATGTGATATTGATGGTACATCTCATGGTCTGACAATTATTGACTTTGGTCAAAGCATAGACATGACCCTATTTCCCGAAGGAACCGCTTTCACAGGAAAGTGTGAAACATCTGGGTTTCAGTGTATTGAAATGATTACAGGCAAGCCATGGAATTACCAGGTATGGATTACATGTATGATTTTCATATTATGCTATCTAGCCCGTTACTAGTAATTACAGACTTTGCTGATCATGGAGGAAAATTTAATTCAGAGATGTAAGTTTTGATTCAGAGGTTACTAATTTTTCTTTAGTACACCTGTTACACAGAAGTTACTAGCGTAATTATCAATGTACCTAAGATTCTGCATTCAGATCCTTTCAGGCTTGAAGCTCCCTGCTTCATTTGGTCCAGAGAGCATCAAGAATAAAGCTGGGAAAGGACACTGTTTGCAATCGGATTCTACTCGTGGGAGGATGGGATTAAAAGCAGATATTTTTAAACAACTGAAACTAAATGTTTTTATAATGTTTTTATTTCTTAGACTGATTATTTTGGAATTGCTGCAACAGTGTACTGCATGTTATTTGGCACATATATGAAAGTAAAAAATGAGCAAGGAATCTGGAAACCTGATAGTACCTTTAGGAGGTTCGTCTATAATTACTTTACTTCAATAATAACTTCCCAGAGTTTTCTCTACTTTAGAATTTTTCCTTGCATGTTACAGAAGATGCTATCAACCTTTGTCATAATCAAAGTTGGAAAACACAGGATTTGTGGACAGTTTCTATTTGTATTCTTCAAATCTTGTGCAAGAGTATGCAATTTATTTTTGAAATGAAGAATGAATTTGCTCTAAGGATATTCTCCAATAAATGGAGACAGCCAGTGCAAAATATAAATATGTTCCTTAGATACCACTAATATTATATCCCCCAGATACATAATTATTTTTGTTACATTAAAAACTCTGCTCTACAGAGTGACTTTAAGGCACTTTTAATAAAACCTGGTTATGCTTGTAAAAATACTTTAAAGAAAGTAACATTAGGATTTTTAGTTGCATTACAGCTCGTTATGACAGCTAATAGAATAAATGCAAAAATGTTGATTGGTACATTTATTTTTCATGTAAAGGTCTCAAGGTTAGAAATACAGTGATTTTTTTTTTTAAAAAAAACATTCTATAGCCATTCAGTGTGGAATATCATTGAAAATACAAAAAGGGATGGGAGTCTGAAAGAATAGAATGTATTCGTTTCTGAAACCTAGAAAAAAAATCTGAAGATAAACTGAAATGTTTTATTGTTGATCCAAAATCCCAGAGCTGGTATTGACCAGTAGGAAATCTGAATTGAGATTTGTTGTACAGCCTGTTTTGGATAAAGCTCTAGTCCATCTTCCAAAATAGTTAACACAGCTTTCCAGTTTTGATGCTGGTTCTGAGAAACATCTGGCTATATCTGCAGAAGGTTGATTTAGTTTTTACTTTTTCCCCCTTTTCCCTTAGGATTCCCAATGGAGAGGTTTGGATTGATTTCTTTGTCACTTTGCTGAACATACAAGATTGCAACCACTTGCCTTCTTTGGGAGCTTTACGGACATCGCTGAGAGACTTATTTTTAAAAACTTACTCCAATAAAATAATAGTTCTGCGTAACAGGCTTGCAGTGTTGCTTGTTGAAAACAAACGATCACGGAAGTAAATGCTGGACTCTTTTGAAACAACTAAAAGGTTTTGAGATTGTTTGATCAAGTCTTCATGAAGTTTCATCTTGTTTCGTCAAGCGGCAGTTTAATTTTGGTTTGACTTACAAAGGTTGGCACTGCACTGCTGGTGTTTAAATAGTGCACTATTAATGATTTGATTTCACAAACAGCTTCCATTTGCTAACACTTCTAAAAAATATTAACATTAGAGATGAACCCTCTTTTTGGAACTGGACAGAAGAAAAATAGGGAAGAGGGAGTGGAGTGTTGCGAAAAAAAATTGACATGGAGTCTGAAGCTTGAGAACAAATATTGAGATGGATGAAGAAATCAGCATTTGTGGAACTTACATCTAAATATCTGAATGCGCCTGTATTTTTTTCCCTATGGGTACTTTATAAACAATAAAATGTACTTTCAAAGGAAAATTGTCCAGTCAAATCCATTCATTTTAATTTTTCAGGTAAAAGAATAGAATAATAGTAAATAACAGAAGGCATCAAGTGTAATATTGACACCATATCTTGAGTTAAAAGTATAACTATATTGTAATTAAAGCTATAACTTAGCCATTAAGTACTGACAATGTATCAAGTTTCCTATATCTGAAGCTCTTCTACTATAGTAGGTTTCCAATAAGACTATGATGGGAATTGTAATCTCTGGACAGTTTCTTATATAAATATATAAAAGCAGAAACCAAACTGTCTTATAGTTACGACCATACCCTTTTATCACAATTCCTTATCCCCAAAAGTAAAAACTTCCCCTCTGGTCCCTTTGCCATTGCTATCTCAGACAGCAAACTAAGCCCACCCAAACCCCCAAACAAAAATATGTATCTTGTATGTTTCCAGAGGTTCAGTAATATATAGGTAGTCCTCGCTTACTGATTGTTCATTCAGCAACTTTTTGAACTTAAGATGGTGCTGAAAAAGGAGATTTACAACTGGCCCTTCAACTTGTGATTGTGTCCATGTGATCACATAATTGCCATTTGCAACCTTTATGGCTTCTGACAAGCAAAATTGATGAAGCTGGCAAGCTGTGATCATGTGACCTTGAGCTTATTGACTGGAAGAGTTATCTAACCACAGCTGAAACTGACATAAGACGGTCATGGTCACATGATGTTTAAAATATGTGTTGCTTAGTGATAGTTGATGGTCCCAGCTGCAGTTAAAGTGACAAATACCTGTATACTTATAAGCTGAAGGGAAAAAAATCAAGATTTTGAGAATTATAGCAGGGGAACAAGCTATTATCCACTGGGTACTTTGGAAAGCTTCTGTCAGCAACCAAACAATGACTTGAGGTGAAAGTAGTTCATCTAAAACAGACATGCCAAACTCATGACGTCATGCAACGTATTGGGACTGTTTTGCCAGTGCCGGCAATGGGTTGGGTGTAGCTTCTGTGTGACACGTCCGGCCCATGGGCCGGCAGTTTGACACCCCTGATCTAAAACATCTGACAGATACTACATTGCTACATGGAGGGGTATAGAATACATCAGTTGAGGGCAAACCCCCAAACTAGCGATGGGGAAGAAGGACTTGATTTGCTCAGATCAGTAACCGTTTAGATTAAAATTGTTTCACTCTGGTTGACAAGGATTTTCCAGAATGGAAATGAGCTTTATTCTGTGCAGAGCATGGCTTCTAGAATTCTTTCCAACATCTTAATAGCTGTTCCATCTAGGCGAAAAGAGAGAAGTGGGTTTAAGCCAACAGTTCCTTCTCTATCTCTCTCATACAGACTCACTGGTGGATTCTTTTTCTTGAAGCCATTTTTGAAGAACACCAGATCTGAATTTTGAATAGTGGCAAATTTAGTTCCATTGTGATCTCAGAGCTGAGCTCAAGCTCAGAGTCTTGAGCTTCTTGTATAAAGAATTTCTTTGGAATTTCTTTCCCAGCCATTAAATGGCTAATTACCTCTCCCTCTCCCAGATTATAGAGTACAATACAGCACATACAATAATGTGATAAACTACTTTCTAATAAGTACTATACCCAGAAACTTAACTAAAGATACATAAGGCCAAAAACATTCCTGACAATAGATATCATTATATCCCAACTTTCAATTGAATCATTCTTATGCGTCTTATACTTCAACTCTATGCAAAAAAAAATGACTCATTTTAGTACATTTGAACATGTGTATCTTAAGCATCTCCATTTAATTTCCACCCAAATCTGATTTTTTTAAAGTCAAGCATACAAATACTTATTTTTCAACCTAACATTTAATGTTTTCGTATATTTAAATTTTGATACTGTACACAATTTGAATCAGGAATTACACTGTAACATTCAGATACTGTGGAAAGTTCAAGACTGATCTGTTTTAAAAAAAATCTGGTCAAGTGTCTTCCCTTTTCTTAATTTCCATCTCTGGATGGATGGAATGTAAGAAACAGCACTATACATTAGACAAGGGAAAGAGCAGGAGCAGTGAGGCAGTGTCAGCCCCTTAACTATGTGAATGAGTGCTTGATATTTAGGACTTGGATACTATTATATTTAAACTGACCGTGGTAAAATAATTCAGGCATGGATCCCTTTCTTCAGTCAAGTGCATCCATGCACTCTGCTTTCAGAAAAGAGATAGGATCTACAGTGTAAGTAAAGACAAAGGTTTAGCCTACCACAACTTTCGATGGAGGTGGATGAATGAGGAATAATAGTAAGTAGCATTGGATCCGCTGCCTTTATTACTGGATGTCTCCCTGATATTTCTTGATAATGTGGCTAACTCTCCCCCCCCCCCCCCGGATTGTAGTGAACAGAGCTGCATTCAGTAATATAACTTTCAATATTACGTATCCAAGCAGTATATTAAGCATGTAGGAGAATTCAAAATATTTTGAGCATATCCAATATGCTTTCCATTTATAAGAAATACTGCATTTATCTATTATATACTGTATATATTAAAGCTTTGAGTACTTGATTCATTGGAGGGAAGAACTTGAATACAGCACCAATAATCTTTCAGTTGCAAGTAACAGAAAGGACCAGTGATAGCTTAAAGCTGGTACCTAGTGAGCTAGAGAACAATTAAAATAGGAGACTTGCTTCAAAAAGATTCCAGTTATTTCCACTCATTCTCCATGTTATGCAGCCCGGTCAAAAGCTGGGTTCCCTGGGTACGTCTCATCTGGGGACAGATTTAAGATCTCATCAAGAGAAGGTCCTTCTTCTGGAGCTATCTCTGATTCAAACATGCGTTGGAGTAAGGCATCCACAGTCCTGTATCCTGGGGCCAAAAACGAATCAATTAGCTGAACCTCAGCAGGTACAGATGTATATGAAAACACAAACTACTGATTCCCACTTAACTTGACCCACAGATATGAGCATGGAATTCATTTTTGTTTGGTTGATTGTGCAAAGCTACATTGTAGACTAGAATAGCCTATGCTGTCAATACCACGACTGTTCTTTGTACCCAACACTAGAAGCCTTAAATATAACCACCACAGTATCAGAGAGGATAGGGGATATCTACCATTTGGTTTTGGCTGGATCAGCCTTTCTGATCTCTTCCTTTTGTGAAGAAGGTGGACGCTGCAACTTACATTCCCATTTACACTAAACCAGGGGTAGGGAACCTTGGCTCTTTTATGACTTGTGGACTTCAACTCCCAGAATTCCTGAGTCAGCATGGCTGGTTCAGGAATTCTGGATATTGAAGTCCACAAGTCATAAAAGAGCCATTGAACCTTGGCTTTTTTACCTCTGCACTAAACCTAGGGTTTAAAGTTTGAATCCTTAGTATTAACAAAGTACATCAAATAAAAAAGGGGTAAAAAAAGGAAGAGCAAGAGTGTAGAAAGTTCAAAAGACCGCAGCCACAAAAAAAACCATTGATCTATATGTAAGTGAAATTGCTCTTTTAAGACAGTATGGGTAGAATAAAAGTTGCTTATGGCTGTATTAAATTTTACTATCTAAGTCTAAGAAATTTACCATAAAGCAAGGAAGAGACAGTTGTAAGTCAGCATAACAAAAACACTATCTTTTCCTATATCTTGAAAAGCAGAAAATTGAGACACTATACAGAGAACATTTGACATTACTTACATAGATTTTTCCAGCTTACTCTCATCTAGAAATTCCCTGAGTTTTCAACAATCAAGACTCTTGGCTGAACTAAGGATTATAGGAATTTTCCAAATTGTCTGGAGCAATGTAATTAAGGAAATAGATTTAAGTTTTTCCCCTTAGGCCCATAATATGTTACAACATACACAGCATGATGATTTGCTCCTAACAGTAGTTATTATTTCTCCATGACCACAATAAATGCAAGTTCTCTGACAGTGCACTTACTTCTGGAGGCAATTTTAAACATCAACCCCTTAGGTTTCTTCTTCACTGCCATTCCTTCTTCACTTCCAAGATCATTTTCAATGGTTTCAAGGTTGTCTATCAATCTACCATCAAAAAGGTCATCCCTAAAAACAGAACCCATCTATTTAATACACACATACATTTTTAAAAATGACCTTTTAAAAAGTGTCTCTTTGATTTCAAGTTCTTTCATATGCATGCATCATGGATACCTCTGCAGGGGGCAAACAAGTGAAGGAGGGAGAAAGATATATGTGTCATGCTGACAAATGATATAATTTGTGTGATGCCATGCATGTGACATCATCATAGCGTCTACTGAAATCTTATGCCAAGAATCGTTTAGCAGCTAACACAAATAGCATAAAATAAGGCTATGCTCACAAAAAGTGCTAAACATAATATTGTTTCTTTGGTTTGGTTAAATATATTACATAAATCTAGTCATTTAAAAAATACATCATAGTTTATTACTACAAGCATGTTATGAATACAACAGTTGATGTTTATTCCATAAAACAATAGCCAAATGTACCACGCTTTAGAATGATATGTGAACCAGGGTCCATTTAAGAAGAAGTAAATATGCAGAGCTTAGAAATAATTTTGCTGCCTTATTCTGTACTAACTTTGGTTCCCACATAGTCTAAAAAAGCTCCCAAATAGAATTGATAATACTGACTCCATCTAGACTAATCCAAAGCAGGTGTTTTATTTGTTGGAGGACTGCTTTTTCTAGGTAAAGCCTCAGCTGATAAACTGCCTGAAGCTGGTTTTTAAAAAGGAAGGTTTATGACTATCTAGTACAGGGGTGTCGAACGGGCCGGTTTCATCATACTGAAGCTGCACCCACCCCATTGCCAGCAATGGCAAAACCGGCCCGATACGTTGCACGATGTCACACAACGTCACAAGTTTGGCATGTCTGGTCTAGTGACATCTATAATTTCATAGAAAGCACTATATCCAGCAATACACAAGCAGTATACCTGGCCTTGCAGGGAGACTGTTGCTCTGCCGAAAGCCACTTACATGTCACATTGCAGACAGGAGATTACCCAAACTCAAAGTTTCCATAACATGATATAGCCTCCACAATCTCTACTAGCCATTTTGCTAAGGCTACCAGTTCCTGGTAGCTTTTGCCATCTAGTGATCAGTTGTAATTTTTGCAGCCAAAATCTGGTAGCCCTATATTTTGCAGCAGGCTTGCTCTTACGATACTAGTGCAAAATAATATTGCTATTGTAGTGATGTCTAGCTAGTGAACTTCTCTTAGGAAACTAGTTGCCCATTCTGGGAATAGAATGCTAGATAGGAAAGTCTTAGTTTCATAACATTTTAAAAAGTTGTTTTAATTTTTACAGATTATAACAGAACATTTTAGATAAAAAGATGGGACAAATGGTTGGGCCCAGAGTAAACATTCTACCAAAACTGTTATGTCCCGAGCCTTTGCAAACGGCTCGGGCGTTTGCAGGCAGTCCCGGGCAGGTGCAAAGCTGCCCGGGACCAGACAGGCTGTCGCCAGCGCCAGACAGGCTACTAGACAAACAAGCTGTGTGGCTGTGGTCACAAGCACATGAGGCTTGCTTTAAAGAAGTCAAGGCCTTGCTCACTTCTAACAGTGTTCTTGCACATTTCAACGAGTCTCTTCCTGTGTGCATCGCTTGTGATGCATCCCCCTACGGGGTTGGAGCTGTCCTGAGTCACCTCAGGTCTGATGGAACTCAGGTTCCTATTGCATACTACTCCAGAACACTGTCTTCTGCCGAGCGCAACTACGCTCAGATAGACAGGGAGGCTCTGGCTGTTGTTGCTGGAATTAAAAAATTCCACGATTTTCTATATGGCAGGCATTTCACGGTCTTCACTGACCATAAGCCTCTGCTGGGACTGTTTACCACACGTAAGCAGACTCCCCACATCATTTCCCCTAGAATGCTTAGGTGGTCTATTTTCTTGTCTGCATATGATTTTTCATTACTCCACAAGCCTGGGAAAGAAATGGGCCATGCTGATGGCCTCAGTAGGTTGCCTCTGCCAGTAGTAGAAGCTGACCCCGCGCCAGCTGTCAACATTCTATCAATCCAAGCCTTGCCCGAGCTCCCTCTTAGTGCCAGGGATGTTACCGCTGAAACGGGTACAGATCACACACTTTCACGTGTCCGCTCCTGGGTCCTGTCCGGGTGGCCTGAGCACTGCCCTAGTCCTGAGTTTCAGAGTTTCTGGTCCAAAAGAAACGAACTGTCCCTTTCTCAGGGTTGTCTGCTTTGGGGAAACAGAGTTGTCATTCCCACCTCAATGAGGACTAGGGTCTTAGAATCCCTCCACGAGGGTCATCCTGGCATTGTTCGTATGAAGGCTCTTGCACGAAGCCACTTGTGGTGGCCTGGCTTAGATAAAGATATTGAAGCTAAGGTACACGCATGCCACCTGTGCCAACGATCTCGCCCAGAGATGCCCCAAGCTCCTGTGCATAGATGGGAGGAAACACAGTCCCCATGGTCTAGGGTGCACATTGACTACGCTGGGCCCTTTCAGGGCCAGTTCTTCTTGGTCCTTGTTGACAGCCATTCAAAATGGCTTGAGGTTGTGCCTGTCTCATCCACCACCACTGCAAAGACTATTCAGGTACTGAGGGGGATTTTTGCTGCACACGGGCTGCCAGATGTCATTGTGTCCGACAACGGCCCTCAATTCACCTCCTCCGAATTCCAAGCTTTCTTACAGGCAAACCTGATTCGTCATGCCACGTCTGCGCCTTTTCACCCGTCCACCAACGGTATGGCTGAACGCATGGTGCGCATCGCAAAGGACGCCTTGAAGAGACTCACCTACGGGGACTGGCATCACAGGTTGGCTGACTTTCTCCTTTCTTATCGCACCACACCGTCCACTTCTACAGGGAGAAGTCCAGCTGAACTTCGTTGGGGGCGCCAACTTACTACTAGACTTGACCGGTTGCATCCGGACAGACTGCCTTCATCTACCTCACATCCTAGGGCACCTAGACAACTACTTGTGGGTGCCCCGGTTTGGGCTCGCAATTACGGGCCTGGTCATACATGGGTCCCCGCTTCTGTGTCCAGGATCACAGGTCCTCTCTCCTACGAGGTTGCCCTGGACGACGGTCGTGTCCTACGTCGGCACATCGACCAACTTCGCTCTAGGCGAGACTTTTCTGCTGAGACTCCTGGGTCTTTTCCAGGGGGGGAGGGGGACCCTTTGGAGCAAAGGGAAGGGCAAGAGCTACTGCCCATCTCCACTGAGGGAGCCACAAACGGCTCGTCCCAAGATTCCGCAATTGCTCCGAAAAGGAAGTCATGGAGCTTACCCACACAACAGGCACTCACGCCTACTCCAGCCAGGGAGTCACCTCGGGGGCATACTCACTTTCCACATACGTCACACAGCACTCCAGTCACGGAGGATACCCGGGGGCATCCCAACAAATCATTCCCCGCAAGAGAGCTGGCACACAATTCCCAAGGTTGGCCTGACCTTACCCCAAATCCTACAGGGGGTCAAACATACACAGAGCTAGTCGAGGAACCAAGTCCCGACTACAACAACCCTAGCACAAATCAGGGAACACCTGAGTTTTGGGAAAGTACAGAAACCCACACGAGCCCGAACACAGAATGGGGTTCAGGGAATGGACAGCCTCCTGACAGGTCTTGGACTGACCTAGGAGGTCCTACAGAGACGCCCAGCAGCGGCTATCACTTCAAGGGGCCCGAGGGTCTACAGCTAGGCAGGTCAACCAGGTCACAAAGCAACAGAAGCCCTGGCCTGACGAGCCCGGTGGGCAAGCGAGCAGGCCAGGCATTGGGGCACAGTCCTTGGAAGACACCAGGGCACAATAGAGAGAAAAGGCTCACGCCTCCCTCCAGTCAGGGGACTTATGCCAGTAATCCAGAGCTAAGAAGGTCACAGAGAGCAAAGAAATCTCCCAAGTACCTAGAAGACTACATAACATTGCTGGCAAAGCAAAAGCCAGTAAACAGTGGGAACATTGGGGAGCAAAATGTCATATAAAATAAATGTTGTATGTTGGTAGTAGTTTTAGCCCGGGGGAAAGGGGTGTTATGTCCCGAGCCTTGCAAACGGCTCGGGCGTTTGCAGGCAGTCCCGGGCAGGTGCAAAGCTGCCCGGGACCAGACAGGCTGTCGCCAGCGCCGTGCGCATGCGCGGGTGCTGGCGCGGGAAAAGTAACCCATTTACCCGGGAGTTGCCTATATAAGAGGCTGCGAGGCGTTTGGGCGAGGCTGAAGCCATCTTCCTGTAAGCTGAACGCTGAATAAAAGAAACTGAGAACTCCAGCTGCTTCTCGTGTCTGCTTTCCCGCCAAGGACGCAACAAAAACCACTTCATAAATCATCTGCTTTGGGCAATAAAAATCATCTTCTTTGGGCAATAAAAAAGTATTTTTATTTACTTACTCTTGTACCCCTATACCAAGTTCTTGAATCTTCTTCTCAATGGCAGTTTCAACTTCACTCTTCTCAATAGAATACTCCACAAAGAAAGCTTCCAGAATGAATGCTACAAAGATGCTGGAAATCAAACATGTCACATGGCACAATGCATTTTAAATGCCACAAATCAATATCTTCCTGGTTTGATACAATTTCTTTATGAGGGAATTCACACAGACGTGAATTATCATTGGACAAAAAGGCAGGTTTCTCCAACCTACTATTTTCAGATATGTGAAACACCATCAAGCAACACCTGCCTATCCCACACCCTTGGGAAGGACTCCATAGGTTGGTAAAATGCCAAGTCCCGTGTAAACATTGTGTGACCAACCCTAATTTAGCACTAGAATGAGCAAAAATAGGGTTAGGTAAAAGGTAACTTCTTATAATCTGCTATTAGCATGGTTTACTGAAATCTGAACAGCCCTCACAGTGGATGAGAATGGGAGAATAGGTTTGCAAAGCCTTTATCTGTGCTTACTCAGCAAGAGGTTACTATATTTAGTTAGGTGTTTTTTTTACAGGATTAGTCACTGTATTGCAACCTCAATACATTACATCAGGGGTTCTCAACCTTGGCAACTTTAAGCAAAGCTGGCTGAGGAATTCTGGGAATTGAAGTCCACAAGTCTTAAAGTTGCCAAGGTTGAGAACCCCTGCATTACATAATCCCTCAATTCTTTACAAGAATGTAGTTCCAAAATATGGAAAATAAAAATTTATGTAAATGGGTTAAATTTTACATACGGATTTATCCTATTTTGGCAAACAATAAACCTGGCAGATAATACATGGATAGGAATAATTCTTCTGTAGTAACTTCATGGTGTATCACAAAAAGGATGTTGTTTCCTCCATTATGCTAATCAATCAGAGTTTGGGAATAATTTTTTGTATCAAAAGTTCATGACCTAATATGGAAGGATGACTATAACAGACAACACAACATTCATTTATGGTTGTATTTGAATTTGGAAGACAGAAAACCAGATCAAGTCTCTGTGACCTCCCAGAAATATTGGCTACTCTTCTCCAAATATCAAACTACTAACTAATATTCTCATGACCATACTCCCTACCCCTGCTTGCAAATAAACCAGACAACATATTTACTTCCAAGTAGCTATAAACATAGGTCCAGAACTTCAATACTTGGAGTACACTGTGAAAATGAATAAGAATCTCCCCTAGAAAACAATAGCCTATCTTTAAGAGAGGGTAGGTAGTCTTCCATTTAGCATATAGTTGTATATGCTAAATATATAAAAGTTATATGATCTACTTAGCATATAACTGTGACAAATTTGGGTGGTCTATAAATTCCATAAATGAATACAATTTAAAATTTCTGAAAAATATGCATGCAGAAATAAAACTTTCCAATGTTATGACTATAAAGAGGTAGACTTACTTAATAATCATAATCACCACAACAATGTGAAAGATGATGAAAAACAGCTTTGCACTCTCATGAGTCACAAGGGCAAATCCATTGGCAAGAAGTACAATATTAAGGAGAACAAGGAAAGTAGCTAGTATGTGCATTTCACAGTTATATAAATCTATCAAGACTTATTTTGATCAAAAGCATAATTCTAGAGAAACTACATTCTCACAGGACAAGGGATGATCAAACAATGATTCTGAATGCCTTTCATTATCCTGTTCTCTAACAACAACTTTCAGACCCCTTCTGTGAAAGCAGCCTTCTGAGCTTTATCACAAGCTTCTGTTCACTATCTTCAAAAGCTGCCTTATAATAAAAAAGCTGGGAATTCCAGGGAGAGCTTAAAAGAAAAAACACATGTGCACCTACATGTATAGATATAACACACACACACACTTTTTGCCAAACATTCTGGTTCAGGGAATAAAAACTGCATAAACTGATTTGATGAAAACATCAAAGTGCTTCTTTTGGAAGCTTCTTTCACAGATGTACCTACTATGTTTGACAATTCAAGCCTTGCTTTTTCTCAAAGCTGTATATTTACCTCTGTAGTTTGCAATGATGGTCAAAAAAGGATATCATGCCACTGGTTGACAATAGTTAGTTCCATAAGGACAATAAAAGAAGACACAATGTTGTTGAAGTTATTCCTGCAATATTTGGCTCGTGCAAATGTAGTTCCACTCAAAGCAGGATTTCCACAGTACATGGCTTGCGGTGAGGTGGTGTTTCCAGCAAAGAATTGGATTTTCCCATGGAAGATTTCCATCCCAATAATGGAAAATACATAATATACCACCTGACAAAAATAACATATCTACTTGTTTGTTTCTTATATTAGCTTTTAAGTTTATATTAAAGGCAAAGTGTATTGAACAGGAGAGGTAGTTCTTTATTATTGTCACTAACTATCACTAACAATTTTAGAGCGGGATTTAGAATTTTGAGAAAGCATACCATGGGCACTCTTGCAAAACAAGAATTCACAACCAGAACTTGGTTATAAATAGTCACAGAGACCACTGTATTAGGATGTCCCAAATCACTCATTCTAATCATCCCTTCAGAATGCTCCCTCCATTTTTGCTGCTGTTGTTTTTTCCTTGAGTAGGCAGATTCCCAAACAAAACAGCCTGACACCATATTTAGTTTCCTAATGAAAATGCCATTCACTCCATTTACTGTGGATAGGTTTCTTCAAAAAATGAAAATAAATTTGTGTATGTTCAAACTGTGATCTTATGCTGGGTGCACTCTCTCTAATTCCAGCATCTCTGCCTCTATTGTTCTAGTAGATTTAAGAATCCTCCAAATACGATTTTGATGGGACATAAGGATATCACTTAAAATGGCGATTAAACTGGTTTCTGGTTTCACACAACACTGTATCACGCAATATAGTGAGTTTAATTTTGACTTAGCATGTTGTGGTCCAAACCTGTTTGTCAGTCATGGTTTATATCATGGCTTAATATGCTTTATGAATTCAACCAATTTTTATTCAGCAAGCTATACGCAAACCATGGTTACAATGACTATGAACTCGTTCAATAAAGTTTGTTTTCCTTTCCACCAATAAGTCTCAGAAGATTTTTTTTCAGATGAAGTTCTTACTTCCATGATAAATGAAGTATACTTTTCAGCCATAATTATGAATTACTCCTAAGTACAAGAGATGTCACAATCCTTACCATTTTCTTCTGGCATATTATAATGGCAGATTATAATAATTGATTTTAAAATAATTGATTTTAATTTAAAAGAGGAACTACTCTTGATACAATATAATGCTATGCATATCTACTCAGCAATCAATCTCTACATGATCAAGCACTCCTAGGTAATTATAAATACTTGCTCAATTTTAACTTAAAAGCATCTTGTCTTCCCTATCTCTACCTCTAAAAAGAAAGTTGTTCAGTACAATTTCCTGTAAAGCAAACACAATCATGGCAGAACATACTACTGGCAAGCAGGAGATATTAGGTTTAATCTCCAGATCTTTAAATAGAGCCAAGAACAGCAACTTCCAGAAGGATACTGAAAAGCTATAAGGACAATACATAAAAATCTTGACCTTTAGTCTATAGGCCATGAGCCAGTATTATTAAAAATGAGTCATACTGCAGATGGAGCTATGGTTGATTCAAGCAGATACATAAGCCAACACCTGTCACAGTTTTTATTTGGCAACATCTGTCATAATCAAGCAAGCAATAATGATGCACAGAGATTGTCTATTATTGAGAATATATTTATGTCTAATCAATTACTTTGGCTGGCAATGCTATCTAGGAAGTCAAAGATCTTTCTCCATCATTTGCTGTGGATCTTCCTTTAAATGGGAAACATTGGGGATTGAACCTAGGACCTGCTGAATGGATTGAATGAATTCTGCCTTTAAAACAAGGTTCTTTTTCAATTCCCAATGCCTTTACTTATATAGAAGCAAGGAAAAGTACAAAATTATGTACTGCTTACCAGAACTAATGCTCCAAAGGTTAGCATTGTAGGCACAATGTTTATTAGTGTATTCATAATAACACGGAACCTGGAAGGAAATACTGGATAAAAACACCATGGAAGAAGAAGTAAGATTTTTTTTTAAACAACTATTAACCAATTCAGTGAAAACTCTCACTAAGTTGCGGACATCACTTTTTCAACCTTTTTATCCATGTAATTGCTTTCATTCATTTACTATAGATTGTGCCATCTGCTGCCCTTCATCATTCAGTTGTGTTCACTAACACAAGTCACTAACTGAATTATCTTTCTCTATCCTCATATAGCTGCATTTGACTGCAACTCCCTTATTCCCAGCCATGATGCCAATTGATGGCTAGGAGTCACAATCCAACACATCTGCAGATAATCAGGATGGAGAAGGCCAATTCAGATTATTTATCCTCAACTGCACCCTACCTGTTCTAATCTGCAAACCTACAATACATGCGTTCTTTTAAAAAGCACTTACCTGTGGATGCTGTCGATAATTCTTATAAGCCTAAGAACTCGTAAGATAAACACAATGTCCAGTATTTGTTGGCTATTATATGCAGTCACTAAGGAAAAAAGAAATATGCCAAGTAGTTTACACAGTAATAAAAATGGTGCCTGATCCTCATCACTAGCTGTAGCTATCTACTTCACACAGAACAGCAGCACTCCATCTTCCATTAAAATTTCTGTATTTTCCTGAATGAACCACTGATTTTGACATTACTTGTAGTTAGGTTGTAGGTAAGTATTAGTGAAATTCATTTCTGGATACTCTGCTTAAATTAACTAGTAGAAAATCATCCTAAGAAGTTAAATCAGTGGTGGCGAACCTATGGCACACGTGCCAGAGGCGGCACTTGAAGCTACACGTGCCGTTGCCCCAGCCTTGCCTCCTCCTATGACCCCCTCACCAGCAGCCCCCCTGGAGGAGAGTTGCCCCCGAGCGTGGCCCACACAGCAGCGCAGCCACGGACATGGCAGTCAGGCAGCGTAGACAAGACTCTACCCTCACATCCCATCGCACAGTTGATGCTGCAGGGCGCGGGCAGAGGGCATGACCGCAATGGTGCTGCCGGGCTGCCTGGGCAATCTGCGATGGGCCCTGGAGGTGGTGAGTGGCCCTGCGGGCAGGTGGGATTGGGGCAAGGCAGGGGGTGGAGTGGGGGCGGGGCCAGTTTTGGGCACTCGGTCTCTAAAAGGTTCGCCATCACTGAGTTAAACTATCTAACCATGTTAAACTAAACTGGGCACTAGGCTTGAATTCAGTTTAGATGTAATAATTATATCACAATTGAAAGTCATAAGAATGAGAGCCCCTACTCTTGCTCTTCAGCTGTGAACAGCTTGAACTAATATATATATTTTAAACTATAGCTTCAGTGTGGTCTGAAATTAATCACCTGTGATTAACCTAATTTAATTCAATGAAACTAGATAATGGTAGTTAAGGATAGAAGACAAAATTTGAAACAAGCACAATGGGAAGAATTTGCAACAAAACAGGGACTTTCCAAATTCCTCCTCATTTTTGCTTCTAGAACAGAGAGAAAGAGAATAGCATTTAATGTACAGACAGTGGAAATTATGCTTGTTCCTGTTGTACCAGAATCTGGTCTGTACTGTGACTGAATGTAATCCATGAGAGTTTTCCCCCAACTCTCCAGTTTTGGAATTGCACTGTTTTTTTTTAAAAAAAAACAAATCTGATTCTTATTTGATTAAAAATCCCCACAGGTCTCTACTAAAACGGAGAAAGTGTGTTATTCTCATTTTTCTATAGAAGAGATACAAAGTTATAGGTATAACTCTAAAATAATTAGAGACATATATATATATATATAATATATATATAGTACCTGATTTAAGTATAGTGTTCAATACTGTTGCAATCAAAGCAGCAATAATGATAGAAGTATCAAACCTAGGAAAGATGGAAAGGTGGCTTATCAAATAGTCTGTTCTTCCTCTTTCACCTCCCAAATGCTGATTTATTTTTTAAAAAATCTCTCCATATTTTGAAATCTTTAATGTGAGACAAGCATTAAGTGCCAGTCAGATCTTCCATTAATCAGTAAGAGAGCAGTTGTTGATTTTTAATAGGCATTTTAATATATGTTTTCTAGCATATGTCTAGGAGCCTTCATGTGATATGTTCTCCAGTGAATGGAGGTGGAACTGGTTTGCTCATCATAAAAAGACCAAGATTGAGGATTACTTACCAGTTCCAAAATTGGTTTCTTGCAAAAATAGTCCTGGGTTCAAAGACATATAATTTCAGGAGTATTTCAATTATATACAAACATAGAAACACCCACTCTGCATAGGAAATATAAGGATTCTTCTCATCCAGTGCAATGAAGACTGCATTAATTAGTATGATAATATCATATATCCAAATGAATGCTCTGCAGAAAAATGAAATACAGATCAACATGGTATATTGTCTACCAGGAGTTTACATGTCATAAAATACATTTTGAACATTAAAGCAGCTGCTAGATGTGCCACCCACATGGGCAAGTAGAAATAATATACTTAGGAGACTTCCAGTCCTGTGCAGCAGTGCACCAGTTGAGGGGTTTGGGGCTCCGTACCCTTTGGCTGAGTTTCTCTCTGTTAGGGGATCCTAAATGGGCCAGAAGCCACCCCAAAGAGGTGGCAAAGAAGGAAGGACGTCCCAGGGACCACGGAGAGACAGCAGTCGACCCAATCAGTCCAGGAGAAGCCTTCCAGAAACCAACAGGAGAAAAGCTAGCCTAACTTCAGAGTCTAGCTCACGCTGCAAGGAACCGAAGTCAAAAGCACTATTTTAAGCTGATTGTAAACAGCGCATTTGAATCAATTTTCTCTATCCTACTTATCAACTTTCCTGAAGAAAAAAAAATCCCAAGAAACAAAAAACCTCTGAAAGTGAAGGAGGGGGATTTTTGCCCCACCCTTTTACTAACAGAAGAGGCGAATTAAACCTTTTATGGAGGACTAAAACGTTTTGAAATGAAATGGCTACAAAACCTAAATTTGGATAAGTTTGAAATTACTGAATGGTTAAGATTCTCATTTTAAAGGCAATTTATTTTCAAAATTTGAAAAATAACCCGGTGCTGACATCTAGTGGTGGATGGAGACTATGACAGCTATGGTCTTCATGCAGGACTTTGCAAAATCTGGAAAAAACTAATTTCTACTTGTGACCTTCAAAGCTCTAACAATAGAGAACAGCTGTGACAAAAAAGAAAACAATCTGGGCTGCAGACAAAGTAAGACTTAAAAACTTCAGTAAACAAAAAAAAACTTATTTGAACTTTCTGGATTATACGTATCTATTTAACTCTGACCTCAAAGCTATTGGCAGAGAAAAGAAAATTTGGATTCTTGGTCATCATGGAAAATCAGAGATTTATAGAAAGAACTTATCAAGAAAAAATAAATACTTTTCAGGAGGAGACATGATATATTGTGACTAATTCAAAATAACAATGATTTCAAACCATAAAGAAATCCAAAATAACTTTGAAAATATAAACCAACTCATCTCCAATTTAACTTTACAACAAAAAAATCCCAGGAAACAACAACAGAGAAGGAATAGATAAAACAGAAAACTGAATACAAATTTGAGCATAGACTTAAAGATGGAACCTAACAAAACAAAGAAGTATGATTTAACCCAAGTGGGGAAAAAATTACAAGAAATACTGGATTTGGAAAAGACAACTTATACTTTAACACCGCAAAACAAATTTGAGGATAAGAAAAAAGATTGGACAAAATAGACTGCAGAGATGCCAGGAAAAACACTAGAACTAGAGAGACAAAAAATAAGAGAAGCAGAGAGAAAAAGAAAGAGAAAGATTTTCAACAAAAATGAATGGGCAAATGGCTCTTACAAAGATATTATACGATTTTCCTTTTATATTTACAATAACACCTACAAGAATATGGAAAGATTTTTTTCATTCAGCAGAACATATTCATTAAGAAAGATACTGGGCAAAAGAAAAAAGCTTAAGTGAAAATTAAGAAAATAGACAATGGGGCCTATCAGAGAGAATATTTAAAAAGGAAAAACTTGTTCGAATATGGTTAAAGAAATAGAAAGATTTTGGATATGAATTTTATTGTAAGGGGGAAGAACCCCTCAAGTAACACAGTACTTTCTTTTTCTTCTTTCTTTTTATTTTATTTCTTGATATGAGTAATATAAAAGAGTTGGAATGGCTTATATAAAGGAAATGTTTTAGATATTTAAAGGTGATTGACTTTAAGAAAATTACAATGGATTAAAAAATGTTTTGAATAAGAGTTAAAAGACTAGAGGACTAGATTTATTAAATGGAATATTTAAAGATTAAATGTATTTTTAATTATGGTAAAAAAGAACAAAAACCTTTTGGAAATAAATATTTATTAGCTTATAGGAAATAGGGATTTTAAGTAGTATACTATCCTTTTATTTTTTTATTCTTATTCTTTTTTCTTTTTTTAGTCTTATTTATCCCTTAAGAAAGGTAAAAGTATTGGGTTGGCTTACATGAGAAAAAATAGACTTAAATATTTAAATGTAATTAACTTTGAGAAAATCTTAACCAGTCAGAATGTTTTGAATATTGTGGGCAAAACAAATGCAAACAAGAACTGTAAACAGGATCTATGATGAGACAACCAGAATGACTAGATAGAAAAGGAATATTATATTGATGTGATTATTATTTGTAGAAATATTAGAAAATTTTTATACTCAATCGTCATTCGCTAAAATAACAAGAATTGTATTAACTTAAGGTTGGTAAAAGAGAACATTATGGGAAAAAGAGGAAATCAAGTAAAGTTATTATGTGGATTATAGAAATCAACTGTTAGTGAATCTTTCTTAAATGTAAACCCAGACAACACACAGTTTACCAAATATTAAGGTGATTATGTTAAAAAATTAATAAAACATATACTGGGACTGTTGCAAGTCATTTCCTGAACATAGACATACCTGTGCTGGATCATACTGCGTAAGACCAGGCTGGGAGTAGAATTATATACCTGTGGAAACCAGATGTCTAAAGGGTGGATGTGGGCCTTCAATGTGATCACCTCTATATTCAAAAGATCAGCCAGACGTACAAAGGATTTTTTGTCTGTCATACACAAAAGAATGAAAGAATCCAATTAAGCAGCCATAATCAAAACTTTTTATTAAAATGATCACAATGTCATACAAAGAATAGCAACAATCTTTGCTCATTGCTCATAAGGCAGTGTTTCTCAACCTTGGCAGCTTTTAAGATGCGTAAACTTCAACTCCCAGAATTACCCTGTCAGCATAGGATATGCATCCACAGGTGGAGCAAGGGGGAAAAGAACAACTGGTGTGTGATGACATCATTAGGCAATCCCACAATCTATACATTTGCATCTCATATCACCACATCAATATGCCCCTGTGGTAATTGCACCTTGATTATCATCAGTTTGACATCATTATAGCTTGACAGAGAGACTGATGAGCATGCATGCTATGTTCATGAGAGACAATAATAGTTTGCAATAGTTTAGCTATGTGTTTTGCAGAATGTGCATGGAATGAATCACCCAGATTCTATGAAGATAATCCTGATCTGTATTAAAAATGTGTATTAGCTTTTTCTATGTTTAAATTTTAAACCAGAAGATAGTGTCAGAAAGTATTAGAATCAGAATGTAAACTTTTCATTAGTTTACTGTATAAGAGACCTTCAACTTGTCACCCATTTTTCTTTTGTGGGAAACAATTTAATGGGGAAAGGTGATCTCAGAATAGGTAGATCAGACTTTATCTATACATTCAATTATTTTCTGACACAAATGTGCAAGAGAGAATTCAGGATACAACTTGATCACATCTTGACTACATTTATTCTCATCAAACCATAAACAAATGATAACTAAAGTTGTGTCCAAATATGGGTAGTCTTTTTTTTCTTCAATATATATGGGCTAAGTTGGGCTTTGTTTCAGTAGAATTAAAGATGTATATTAAAAGCAATCTACAACTGGTTCTTGCTTTAAAAAAAATTCACCAAGGCAGGTGAAGACCATAGTCTTGGGGTAAGTATCCTCAATAATGCTGATATTCCTTTTGCATTCTCCATAATCTTTAGAGTCACATGGACTCAAGGAGCATATTTGATCAGCTTGCATCAGAATGTGAAGCAATCAATATATGCAAAGCATCTTTAACTGATACTCACCCACGTAGCCCTTCTGTTCTTCATCAGATACCCTTAAAAGGAGTTCTCGATGGGATGCACTGATTTGAGGTGCCACCAATTTTACCAGACTTTTCCACTGATCTTCTTGGATAACAAATTCATCTCTTTCTTTGACCTTTAGGAGGTTGAAGGCTTCTATCATTTTGTGATGTTTCATGTAAGCAAGCTTGCGGATCTCATTCTGGAAAACATGAATAGCTGTTAAAGAAGAAAAGTTATCATATAAGCTTATAGGGAAGCTCAGAAGAGAGTTTTGAAACTCAGGGACAATAATCTATAGGGAATCTACCATATCCCTTTCTCTCAAAGTCTCTGTAACAAAGACAGTTTTCTGTCTGTCCCTATTTCAGATATGCAAGCTGTGAATATTCACTCCAGTTCCTAAACAACATCGCCCATACATAAGAGAGAAATATCAACAGACTTGGAGCACCAAAGATTTGCAAAAATACCATTTACTTTTAAATTAGGGAAAACTCTGAAATAGACCAAAATTCTAAACGCACAGCTAAGGTGAAGTGGACAACATTTTTGTGGCTGGAATAATGCTTTCAAAAATGGTTTTCAAGTTCCATAGTTGTGGTACAGCAATTGCAATGGTGGGGCCAATGTTATTCAGTTCCTTTTTGTGGTGTTTTGAAAGGCTAAAATTGAGGCATTAAATTTATCACAGCCTTCATATACCGATTTTGTGGCTTATTTCCCTGCCCCACCCCTAAGTCACATTGCCAGATACAGCCACATTTCAGAGGTATAAACTGGAGAGGTTCAGGTGTGAACTCAGTAAACAGGCTTAAGGGCAGGGGCTACCTAGATGTAGAGTTTACCTTTAAGTGTTTCCTGTAGTTGTTGTACACAACTGCTAAAAAGACTGACATGAAAATGTAGGTGTTGATTATTACATATATTATGAAAAATAAACTGTACCACCAGCTGTAGTCATAAGCCGGCATCCTATAAGGAAGAAAGAAAATTTGCATTAAATATACTAAAGAGAAGGCCCTAGGGATTTCCAGAGGAAAAAAAGCAGATATTTGGTAAGAGATGAGAATGGTGAAAACATTTTTCCCATAACAGAATCACCTACTCTCAGGCTTTTTAATGGGGTTTATTTAGCTGTGTGATTCATTGCTTACTGGGATAAATGAACCCAGACAATTTTGGCTGATTTAAGATAAGAGGTAAACCATGTTTGCACCCAACCAGTCACATAGCTCTATACAGGTGAATGTCTTTTTCCAGTTTCATTATCCACAATTTTGTGCATCTAGTTGATAAATATAGCCGAGAAATTGTTGTCCGTGATGAAAAATTTCATGTATCCATGGTTTCTGATGCATGGTTCTGATCTGAAAAGAGTTCCACCTATAATCATAACTGTTGCGCAAAACTGAAGCAATAATCATGTATCTGCTCTCCACAGATAAATACCTACAATACACTCCCAAAAGTTGCCTAGGTAACTACTACTTCTTCCCAATGGCCACCCCTTCTAAAGCAAAATCTTTCTATATCTAATTTCCAAATGAAATACAGAGAGCCTGGAAACAGCAATTCACATTTATTACGTACTTATCTCGTTTCCCCATCCTCCAATTAAGCTAAGGATTCAGATTAGGGCTGGTTATTTTAGACTGCTCCACTGTGAAAATGGCAGGGGAAGGACAATGAATTCCTGCACATCATGTCACCTCCACCTAACAATTACTTCTAGTCTGAAGAAAAGAGAATTACCTACATGATGTCTGGGCTATTTGCTGTGGTCACCAGCACGTACATATCAAATATGACTTCAAGATAATTTGTAAAATAGGGCAAGCCTTCCAAGGTCTTCAAATTCCTTCAAACAAAAACAACCATGCATGTAGAAAAATGAGGGCTCGCAATCAAACAGAAGAACTTAAAACCAACTGTTTGAGTATTATTTACTATAAGACATTACTTCCCACCCATTCACCCCTACCCAAAAGCAATGGCAATAATGCTAACCTGAGCCCCCATACCTGTCTCCAAACAGCTTCAGAGCCATGAGAGAAAACATGAGGACACTGAACATGAACAGCAGAAAGACATAAGTGATCTCAGGCAGAGTGTTCCGGATGCTTCGAAAGGCTCGCCGGATCTGCCAAAAAGAGCATCCGTATTCTTCTATTACTTGTGTGATTATTTTTCCCTAAAGAATTAGATCCAGCTGCAAGATATCCAGTAACACATATTTTGCAACTGAATCCCCCTCTAATCTGGGGAAACAATCTTGGGACCAATCTCCAAAGTTGAGATTTTTCAGATAATTGAGAGGTCCTATATTCCAGGAAACAAATGAGATGAAGTACCATTCCCTACATCCTTGGAAATGTTTTTCCCTAAAGGATTACTAGAACCATATCACAAAAATTGATCCATCTTCAAGACTAGTTTAGTGGGTCACATTCACTCTATGCATGCAAAGGAGGGTCCCATCTATGCAAACAGAAGCTTCTTCAACACAAGTCAAATCTCCGTACCTACTGGCAGAGGACACAGCAATTTTGGATCCATGTTTTGTTTACATACTTGAAACTCAAAGCAGCCGTAATGGTTATTAACTGCAGCTTAATTAATTTGGTCCTGATTGTACATATACATGCATTAAGTAGAACCTTTTTGGAAGTAGCAAACCACAAGCCTTGTGCCCTTTTCAGTGTTCTGTAATACATAACAATTAAGCTTATTCAGTTTTCAAATTTTCTATAAAAAATTGCTCTCTTACAATTATTCTGCCTATAGAGGAGAGCCTTAATGCATGCAGCAATTATAAACACACAGATTTCTCTGCTATAGGCATTTGCACAGACACCAGGAGGCAGGATTATTTGGTGAAATCTAGCTTGTTCATAGGTCAACTGAAAATATGGATGCAGCTTTTTAAGGCAGACTTCAGTTTTTCATTAAACTAGAAAGGATGATGTTGCCATGGAAATGGGCATTTTGGGCATCACATCTCAGGTGCTTCAACAACTAAGCTTCATGCTCAGAGCAGTTTCAAATACAAAAGGAACAAGCAACACAGAGAAATCGTACTTCCTGTTCCATTATCTGTCAGGTACAGTTGACATGCAATTTTTTCCCCACTTGTCCTTCCTGGGGAAAGTACAACTTTTTTAAATCTATGTTTTTAGTAAAAGAAACACAGAATGATGCACAGGGAATAGGACCTGCACTTTCTGCAGCTGCCGCCACAATAGTGGTCTATACCTCTTCAAATTAGCTGCTCCCACCTCCACATGCAGAATTCTCAAAACCCTCACAGGTCAGTCCAGCATGTTCCCTGACTTTCAGGGGCTCAACAATACCTTATTTCATGTTTCAGCTTTCCCAAAGATAGGCCAGGTTAAGCCTGCCTATTTGCACAGGAGAGAGAGAGAGGAAGAAAAACAATTTCAAAAAGAGGATGAAAATATCCTCTAAAGCACACAATACACATAATAGCAACAACAGCAACATTGTTTACTAACTGTACAGTTAATATTAACTATATTTAAGACTGTCAAACAAGAAAGTACCCACTCTAGTTTCTTACCTGACGACTCTCTGCAAAGTTTATTAAGAAGATGGGTCTCAATGGCCTGGACCACCTAACACCACGAATGTTCAAGGCTCTAAGAGTGCCATAGATAATTAGGTCAATCAATGTCATCTAGGATTTGGAAAGAAGAGGAAAAAGTGACTTACATTTAAGCAAATAAATTTAAACAAACACTTAATGACAGGTAGGAGTCTCTTTTCCAGTAAGCTGAAAATAAAATCATGCTTGTGCATTTAGATTTCATACACAAGGTATCACTGTGTAAGAGTTGCGAATTTGACCTCATAAAATGGTAAATTTGGGTCCTATATGCCAGAGAGTATAGGCCAAAAGAGTTAATGTTTAGTTGCTGGGTATTTAGACTCAAAGCTGTATTGTCATTCTTCACGTCTTCTCCTTTCAAAAATGTGAGGAAATAGAATGAGATAAGGACTGTAAGTTAATTTACATGAAGATTCTGGAATCCAGAATGAGCAGGTTGCACTAATGATTCTCTACATGGTTAGATTAAAAACCTTTCACCATTATTGTACCAGGTCAACAGTTTAAAACAAGGGTTTGTATAAAGATTACAACAAAATGCATGAGAGGTTCACTCGAGACCTTATAAAACAATCTCCTTGCACATGCATGAATTCAGCCTAGATATTTTAGAAAAATTTGAGTTCCAGATAATGAAAAGTGATAAGCACTTTTGAATAAAGATTTATGCAACCAAGGTCAATCCAGCTTCAATCCACTACTGAAATTATCACTATTGGTTTCATTGCCATTAACAGAAACTTCTTTTGAAATGTAACATTTGCAAGTACAGTGTTTGTTAGACAAACACACTTCTTTCTTATCCTAAAGCACAGTAGTTACACATGCCTAATCATGCTAGCACAATACACAGTATTATGCACAGTACTATACGCATATACTATATACACAGTAGTTATATGTGCTGAATTGCAGCTGTTTAAGCAAGCAAGAACTGGTATACAAATTGCATCAAAAATTATAGCAAAAGAGCTCTTTTTTAGCTGTTATCCAATAATTTTAAGTAGTTGGTCTAGTTATCCATCACTAAGCCTCCCTAGTCCATAGGCAATGTTTGGAAATGATATGGATCAATTCACAAATATATGAATAATATTAGTGACACTAGTATTCCTTTAGTATAGGCAACATGGCAATACAGTCAAAAGATGTGATGGTCAACCCAGCTGTTACAGGCAGGTCCTAGATCTATTTTTATTTATTTAAAACATTTATATGGCCACCCGTCTGAAAACCAAATTTTAGGCAGGTCACAGCAGATCGTCTGGTAGAATTGTGCTATTAAAATTCAACAGCATGATCTGTGTCATTGTACACTGGATGACAAGCTTATATGTATTAACTTCCCAAAATCTCAAACCAAAATAGGCTGCCCACCATTTCTCCATGGTGATGCAAAATATCATAGAACAGCATGAATTTTCATCCATTTTCCATTACTGTGTTATGATTAAATTTATATCCCATTTTTCGTTAAGGAGCTCAAAACAGCACATGGGAGGGTGGCATGTTCTTCTGTAATTTTAATCACATAGCAGTTACAACTACGGATCAAGAGGGGACTTAACCCATCCAAAACTGACTGCAGCACCATCAGCATCCAAGCACAAAATCACTATATGATGCTATAGATCTTTCAGTATCAATCAGTGGACCCAAACATAGACACGCTTAAAACAAATTGAAGTCAATAACATTATTTGTTCATTTTGTACCATTTCTAAGTTTCCCAATTCCAACATAGCACCTTGGTTTCTACTGATTTCAAAAAATGATTTCATCTGAAACTGAGACAACCCTCTATTTGCAGAAGGCAAATGCTGTACAAGCTAAAACCCACCAAGACTGTTATCATGATGCAGATGTTCTTTGTATCTTTCCAGAATGTATTACGAGGTGTAACGTGTGCAAAATGGATGAGTCTTCCAAAGAAGACAAAAAGACATAAGACTTCAATTAGTGATGTCATCTATTGAAAAGAAGAATAGATAAATTCAGAAATAAACAATTTTTTTTTTTGTAAAAGTTTTAATGGTTTTTTTACATAACAACCTTAGTGCCTGATCTACAGCATGTTGTCTTGGTTCATAAATGTTTTAGAAAAGAATATACAATTAATAATAGTTAATAAACAATCAATAATAATTAATTTTTATATTTCCATAATTAGTATATCAATTAATAATATATTTCCTTGATCTTCTCTTCACCCAGTTGTATTCTCCTTCTACAACATTAAACAAATAAAATTTCTAATATTTGATATTTTCCATATTTAAATGATTAAATAAAAACATTTTTGTCTATATTTATACCAATAGTAGTGCCCATATATAGCATTTTTTTCTTATCAGCTTATGTTATTTTCTTAAGAGTCATCTTATTGATTCACCATGTATATTATTTTCATAAATCTTGTTTAAGCTCAATTTCTCCATAACATTCAAACAATTCTTGTCAATCATATTTTCCCAGTATTTAACATCTAAATATATAAATTCTCCATTTAAATGTATCATCCCAGTATTTTCATATTTCATATATTATAGATACTATACTACTTATCTATCATATCTATCCATAACATCTTTCTAGTCAATTTATATTTCACTTCTATTTGTAAAAATTAGTTAAATCACTATATATCTTTTTTTCAGAGTTCTTATTAAGCGTAATTTCCCCTCAATATTTCAATCATTCCTTAATCCTAAATCTTTTCAAACTTACTTTGTCTTTAAAATTCAAACTTTTCCTTCACTTACAACATCCTAATATTTTTACATTTTGTATTTTATAAAAAATACTATATTACTTATATTTCTTATCCAACTTATTCTAAGGTCCCTTTATGGCCAAAGTTATTTGTTTATTTAGCCATATTCAAACAATATATACTATATTATATTATATACTCATATAATATTCCATCTGGTAGGGTGAATCCAGTCTCTTCAGCCCGTCTCTAATCTTCTTCCTTTGCCAAATTGTTTTCCAAATTAATATTTTCAACTTGTCCAGTTCTTGTATTTTTGTAGTTATTGTTAGGAGTAGAGAAATAAACAAATACTAAATCCATGTCAAAGGAGGAAAATTGATTATCATAACAACCATGCTTAAGATTGCTTTAACACACACACTTCTCTGAAGTTCTTGGTGCTCTTTGAGCTTGATTGTTTGCTTGTAAACATTTTATTACCCCACTTGGTAACATCATCAGTGCAAGTGAATGTTCTCATAGAATAGCTTGCCCTGCCAGTTTTGGTGGGAGTATGGTTTCCTCTTTGGTTGCTTGATTAGAGTATTGTTTTCTTCTGATTATTTGTCTGATGCTGATCTCTACTTATCTGACTATTGGCTGCTAGAGGGAAGGCACTCTAGCCTTGTTTGCTTCCTAAATTTGTTATTGTGTCTTTTGAATGATGTGTAAACATGGTTTATTTCTATCTCTACACACACTGTTATACCTTCTAACTTTCAAGTGTTTCCTGTTATATGTAATTACATACTTACCAAGAAAGGAAGTAGGTATACAGCTGGCTCTTCAAATAGTGCAAGTGCCAGGTCTACAAAAATGAAGAAATAAGTACCTGCTTGCATGGCCCAATGGTTATAGAGATAATAAAGCCTGAGTAAAGAAAACATATGGAAATGATTGGAACATTGGTAAAAAATCCAAGTAGGTTCAAATAGGAATCCTTAGCTAGTTCTAACAATTAAAAAACTATAACTGCAGATATTGCAAAGACTATGAATTTGTTCTGCAACAGAATATGAGACATTGCTCTCAACATGTCATAAAAGTGAGTCCTTGATATTACTCTGAAGTCGTATCTAGGTAAATAAAAACATGTCCTTTCCAAATTTGGGAGAAAAAGTACAAGAAAAGCCAAGATTGCATACTGTATAAGATACCTATAAGAAATATTATGTAATTTCTGTCCCAGATTTCATGTTACTTCTGAAGGATTCTTAAGTCAAATAAAAGATCTTAATCCTATTATTCCAATACTCAGAATAAAACATCACCACAAACCATGATAAGAAAGAATGAAACTGTACATTTAAAAGTCTGGAACGATCTGGATGGAGGAGGTCTTCTCTGACCCTGCACATAACAGCAAATTATAGAGTATCTTCAATAGAATATGGCACTAGCCTTAGCTTAAGACCTCCACAAAGTCCTCCACTGTGAATAATTGAAAATAATAGGATCCAATTATCCATTAATATCTTATCCACTGTAGCTGAAACTCATTAGGATCTAAATTTGCACTGAAACACAGGACAAGCTATGGAGAACACACAACAAAACAGACATTAAGCAAGTTTCCTTGGGAAGGATATCTAAAGCTGCAGCAGCCCTGTTAAAGTGTTATTCATCCCTCTGACTTACAAAGATGGGTGCAATTAGGCCTTGAACAGTGACTTAGTTATGCTACCAAGTACATAGGCATATTTAATTTCTGGCATTTCTCAAACACTTCAAAACCCCAGAATCTTAGACCTTCACATTACTCAATCAAACTATACTGTATACAAACACACAGAGAGACTCAGAAAAAAGCCAGCAAGTAATTTCAGTGATTATTACTTTAACTTTACTTTAAAAGAGTAGCAACTACTTTTAACTACATTTGAACCCAAATGTGAAGGAAACTGAACTGAGACAATTAAAGCACCAAAAGTTAATTTCATTCAATATGAGTAATGCTTATTCAATTTATTGGAGAGCCAAACCTTTGGCTACATAGTTTGAAAAAAATATTTAGTGATGACTGAGTCTTAGAATGCTTATGCTTAATAATATATAGCTTTACACTACACTTCAGCATTGTTATAACCCTGGTTTTACCTGATCGCCTTTGATGAAGTCTTAAATGGGATGTTCCTATTATATTGGGCATCATAGACATATGCTGCTGCCAAGAGAAGGCTCTATCGATAAAATGAAGAAATAAAGTATATTCAATGTGGGTGAATTTTGAGTGCTGCATTCAATAGGTAGATTAGCTTCATAACAATCTTCTATGCATTTTTTGCCCCTTCAGAACCTGCTAAATTCAGCATTGCTTATTACTGGCTACTCTATGAAATGCAAGTTGTAATTCAGCAATTTCTGTAAAGCTATAAGTTCCTCACTTCTATCTTACAATAGCATTTCATTCTTTTGTTACTAGAAGGTAGTACGATTACAGCAGAGTATATTTCAGCCCCAGCCTTGCTATAATGATATGACGCAGTGATAGAAACATTTATTCACAATATAAATGTGGTGGCTATGTATGAGTGATGGCAGAGTTTATTTTCTATAAGAAAGTGTTGCTGAATATGTGACATTAATCCCACGTCCACATCATGAGTAGTAAACTTCATTAAATTCAACAGATCAGATTCATAATTCAACATTCACAGGACTGCATGATAAACTAACTTTAACTATGTCTTCTAAAGTTTACAGCATAAAAACACAAAGGATTTAGAGCCCTTTGTGATGTCTCTTGGAAATCAGTCTGAACATTTAAGACTGACATCCTGTCCTAATTCAGAGGGCTTGCAGCAAAACATTTAGTGATGGATGATTTGCAGTCCTATATATCAGCAAGCACTATGCAAGACAACAATAGTAGAGATTGCTTTACCTGCATGGTTTAGTTATTAAAATGTAATGGTTAACTTTTTTATTACTTAAGTAATGGTCTTGGGAAAAAAAACTCTGGCACAAAAGTTCTGACTGTTCAAAGAGGTCATCCTATTTAGAATGAGAGTACAAAGTAGAAGATGTAACTGAGCATAATTTTGTTTTATGCTTTTTTTCATCAATGCAATATGTGTGTGTGAGTGTGTGAAATATATTGGACAATGCAGCCATTCCAGAGACACCTGGTTTTACTTTAGCCCAGCAACCTGGGGGACTTTAAACCAGAAATTTGGATTTGGTCCAGCTGCTGCCTCAACTCAGCCTCACTGTCATACTCAGAAACTCCTTGAACCAGCAACTTCCAGAGAAGAGTGGACAATCTGTAACCCTCCAAATCTGGCTGAACTTTAACTCTCAGTACGAACCAATGTGAAGAATGCTGGGAATCAGAATTCAGCAACATCCAGTTCATTATAGAGCCGTGGTGGAGCAGTAGTTAGAATGTAAGATTGCAGGCTAAATCTGCTCACTGCCAGGAATTTCATCCTGACCAGCTAAAGGTTGACTCAGCCTTCCATTCTTCCAAGGTCAGTAAAACAAAGACCCAGATTGTTGGGGGCAATATGCTGACTCTCTAAACTGATTAGAGTGGGATGTAAAGCACTATGAATCAATATATAAGTCTAAGTGCTATTGCTATTACCGGTTCACTTACTAGTTTCTGAAGAAAGAGGTCTCTCTTGAATGCAGTGAAGAAAGTGTGAAACAAGAGCTGCAGATAATGTCTCATCTACTGTATGTGTAAAAACCCTGGGTTTTTTTTTTCACCAAAGAAAAAGAGAGCATGGGTGTCAAACTCGTCATGTCACATGATGTGTTGCGACGTATCGTGACTCTTTTTATTTTGCTGGAGCTGGGGTGGGCACAGCCTCCACATGATGCAACCAGCCCACAGGCCGGCAGTTTGACACCCCTGTCTTAGAGGAATGAAGGTACCTTATTCATTAACTAATCATACTCATTAGTCACTTGCCATCCTTAATGGAAACATATAGATTCCCTTCAAGATGAGCCCTTGTCACTGCAGAATGATGTAGCATCTTTCTATGAGCATGTAATACTGTAGAGGTCAACCCTCAGTTCTGCTACAGCTACAGTCTCTGAGAAAGATTCCAAAGCTATTGCAACAAAGCTCCATTTCAGATGTCCAGAAATAAGAACCGGGAGGAAAAATTCAAATGAATGCCACATTTGGCTTCTTTAGATTACAAAGACAGCTATTATTGCAGATTTTTTTTTAAAAAAAAATCCCTTTCTTTTAGAGCTGAGTTGGAAAACTCCCACCCACTATTTCTACTCTATTTTGGTTCTCATATAAAATGTCAAAGGCCTGCAGTTTAACTCATCAGACTGAATTCTCCCCCAACTTTGTCCTGACCTTCCGCTCAGATATCATTCCCACATTTGGATGTGTACCTGAAGCTACCCAAGCACCTAATACCACCTTAAGACAAGCAAACATTCATGCTATATCTCAAGCTTGATGACAGGGAACAGAGCATACCTGTGCTTTGTAAAACCTATTTTACCAGCAGTCAAGTGCTTGGAATACCTGTGAAATTCAGAACGATTGATAAAACCCATATCTTAAACTCCAAAGCAATCTCAAATTGTATGTCTGATTTAAACACTACTAAACTGACAAAAACCTTTAAAATAAGGAACAAAGTAACAGAATAAAAGAGTTGGAAGGGACCTTGGGAAGTCTTATAGTTCAATCCTCTGCTCAAGCAGGAAACCCTATACCATTTCAGACAAATGGTTGTCCAATCTCTTCTTAAAAATGTCCAGTTTTGGAACACCTACAACTTCTGGAGGCAAGTCTGTCAACATCAAGCTTGAGTATCCAAGTCAACCCACTGATTAATTGTTCTAACTATCAGGAAATTTCTCCCTAGTTCTAGGTTGGTTCACTCCTTGATTAAAACAACACATATTTTTTGGAGATCCAGTATATGTAAAATATTTGCTCATACTTTGGCTTTATTGGCCTCTTTTCATTTATAGCCTCATTGTCAAGAACAAATTACATTTAGAGGCTGTCTTTCATCAATGATGGAACTCAGAATGAGTTTGAGAAAATTGCAGGCATTAGTATTTGGGTGGTAAATTTCACTATAGTCAGAAGCAAGGGGACACAATTAACACTGTCTATGCAGCATCATCTTGGGTCTATGACAATTCGCCGTGGCCAACTCACTACGGCCAACTTGCTTCAATCAACTTGCTGTGGCCAATCACTGTGGGACAAAAGTTACACTAATATCAAAGAAATAGTGGAATAGAATCATTAAAAAAAGGATGCAAAAAGAGGGACAGAACAAAATGTGAATGACAAAAATTAAAATAAATATTTATTTTAAATAATTAAATTGAATTGTTAAACTGTCCCGCAGCAAATTGGCTGTGGCGAGTTGTCCCATTCCGCGTTGTCTTTTCTCCCTCTCCTTTACAATAGTTACTATTTAATTTGAAAAAAAAAACCCAGAAATATTAATCTATCACATACAACTGTCTTATTAAGTGAACTAATATTGCCTTCTTTGTGAGTTTCCAGTAATTCAGTAGGTAGCTGGCACAATGATGCCCATGTATATGAGTTTTTTTTTCCCCACTGGAACAATATAGGATTCAACCCAGGACCAAAACACTTCAACCTATGGGCCTTGCCTAACCAAGCAAGACAATGGTGAGCTAGCAACAGTCTGATATATTTGTCCATTCTATGTTCTTATTAGGGTCAGTTTGGTATGGGGGTTAAGACATCAGGGTAGAAATCTGAAGACCATGAGTTCTATTTCTGCCCTAGACACAAAAGACAGCTGCTGGCCAGTCATTCGCTCTCAGCCCTTGGAAAGAGGTAATAGAAAATCACTTCTGAAAAACCTTGCAAAGAAAACTGCAGGGATTCGTTCAGGCAGTCACTACGAGTCAACACAGATTTAAAGGCACCCCCAGAAAAAATTAAAAAATGTTACTATTATATTTTGCTATCATAACAATAAAACCCCACTAAATGTCCAGTCTGAATATGGGGCTTCAAATGGCCTGCATAACAATGTGACAAGAAAAAAAGCCAAGTGCAATTGGGTTTTGACTCTATTAAGAGAAGTGTAGTTTCCCAATCGCTGACTCTAACATGCATTTTATAAGAGTTGGTGGAACCCCACTTTGAGAATTGCATCTGAATGCCACTTTTTAAAAATGAATACAAACACGAAGTTCAGAGAAATGCAATGAGAATGTGCAAGAGATTGAAATACCATGTCCCGAAAGGTGTGTGTGATTTTGAAGTAAGGCAACCACAGGATATATAATATTCTGAACGGGTATCACAAAGAACTATCTGAGAACTCAAGACAGAGAAAAAACCTACACTATTGCATGAACTAAACTGATAACAGCATCCCATCTGCAATATGAAACAGTGCAGCCCATTCACATTCAACAAGCTTAGGCAAATGCCTACTGCAAAAGAATCACACCAGTCTCATCAGTCTTTCCTGTGATTAAAGGTAGTCAAATGCCTATTTGCTGTTTTATGGTTTGAAAAAGATCACACTTTTTTTTTAAAAAAAAAGGAGTCTGGAAAGAAAGTTATTTTCTGTGGTGTAAACAAATCAAACTGCTGAAGAAATGTTTAACAAAATCCAGTTTATTATAAGAAGGAAGCGTTCCTGTGATGGAGAGGCATTTTTGGCCTTTGTGGCAGCTTCTGCTTTCAATTAAGACATTTGCAACAACCAGCAAAATAATAAAAAAAATCTTAAAGTATTTTTAAGTTAAAAAAATAAATAGTAGCTGTGTTGGCTTACAGGGGAGGAAAAAGCCAGCAACTCATTTCAACTAGTCAAAATGCACAAGGCTATGGGTGTTTTTGAATTCATTAGAGATGTTCCTTTTTGGGCCATCTTCAGTCCGCAGTACACACCCCTGAAATGAAGGTGAATATACATATATCCCAGGATAATGCTGCAGGATGCAATCTGGGTCAGCCACCGAGGCCAGAGGTCAGTCTTCCAGGCCTTCGGACTCATGCTGAAGCCTATTTTCAGGGAACGTCTTTCTACCAAAATGTGTCTCACATCTTGGGAGACATACGTTCTGATAGACACATTCTGCTAGAGCAGTGGTGGAGAACCTATGGCACGCGTGCCAGAGGTGGCACTTAGAGCCCTCTCTGTGGGCACATGCGCCGTCACCCCAGCCCCGCCTCCCCCAACGACCCCCTCCTCACCAGCAGTGCCCCAGATGAGAGTCGCCCCCTGTTATGGCCCATGCAGAGAAGCGCAGCCAAGGACATGGCAGCCAGGCAGCAGGTACAAAACTCGGTCCCCACGCCCTGCAGCATCATCTGCTGCATGGCCATAGTGCTGCATGGCTGCCTGGGCGATCTGCCACGGCAGGCCGTGAAGATGGTAGGTGGCTTTGCAGGGGGCGGGGCAGAGTGGGTGGGACAGGAGGTGGGATGAAATGGGCAGGGCAGGGGGCAGAGCAGAGTGGGCGGGGCAGGGGGGCGGAGTGGTTTTTCAGAACTCGGTGTCTAAAAGGTTCGCCATCACTGTGCTAGAGGGAAGTTCCCAGAGGATGGACTTCAGCACAAGTCCAAAAGCTCAAAAAACTAAACCTCTGTCACGATGAGCGACCCAGATTGGATCCCACACAGTCCTGGAAGTCTATGATGAGGCAGGATCTATTACAAGCCTTAGAAGAATGGACTGTCAAAAGAGGCACCAAACCCAGGCCGTTTGCTTTCTTTACCTATGCCAGACCTCAATTCCCATCCTTCATAAACTGGCTGAGAAAGACAGGGCTCAAGGACAAACAAACCGGACCGTACAGAATAATAAGGGGAGGCTGCTTGGCGAGGAGCCTTGGTTTCAGCGTTGCTTTTACAATATTCGCCCCACCCAATCAAGGGCTCCGGCAGTCTCTACTTGAGCCAACGCGACCCAAGGAATGCATAGCAAATATCTCCTTCAGCTTGCAGAAAAGTAGTATAGAAATAAAGAGCAACAATGGAGCCCTCCAATCCAACACAGATCTCCCCTTCATCCCAGTTAGGGACAAACTTTTATTCGTCCGTAAGGACAAACTTTTCGCGGCATCACCGACGAACAAAAGATAGTTTTGCTCGCCTGACAACCGACGCGGAGGACGGCCGGCAACCGACAATCCCATCCCAAGTGAGAATCCACTTCAAAGGCGTCCGGGGATGCCAAAGAAACTGTACTATATACAACCTTCCGCTAACTGCTCTGAGCAAAAGGGACACTGCATAGTAGAGGAAAGTAGTTTACAAGGCAGGAGCGCATTTACAGGCGCGAAAATAGCACAGCCCCGGGGTGAGGAGGAAGGGTTGACAAGAACCTTCGGCCTAGAGTCGGGCTACCCGAGCAACGCAGAAGCTGCAGCCCCACGAACCTGCGCCCCCCGCACGACCACCCGTTAACAGCCACTCCGACGTGGACTACCTCCTCCTTCGCCGCGTCGCCCATGGCTGCTTTAGACGGGGCCGCGCCCGGCCTCCCCGACTGCAAGGCAACAGACGGCAGCGGCGTCGCCTGCGTCGGAGGAACCCCCGATTGACTTCGATCCAAAGGCTCCATCGCGGAGCAGCCTGGCCGAGAAGCTTTAATCCCCGGGCGCACGTGACTCGGGACGGCGGAAACAGCTCACAGCCTATTGCTGGGGAGCGGGATAAGGGGGAAAGGAGAGCGCGGCTGAGGGAATGTTGTACTCCGTGCAACTTGTGAGTGTTCGTGTAAGCCCTAAGGCAAAAAATTCTATTCCAAGTCAGACATTCTTTATATCAGGCGACTGACTTCCTTATCATCTTGATCTCCGAGGGATTGCCCTGGCGCGGGGATTAGGATTGTTTTTCGTCCTATAGCTATCATTGATAGTGAATTAGTTTTCTCTTCTTCAGAAGAAAAGTCGGCGGGTAGTCAACTACTCTGAAAAAAAACGTCACTGGGGACCACTGATTCCAGACTTCATGTATATAAACCATACTGGAGCGCCCCTTTTACCATTCACCAAAATAGTTAAAAGCCTCCGAGGGGACCAGAAATTGTAACATGAGGTTGAGATTATAGAGCCGATCACATAGAACGGCTTGCAGGGGCTGGACTGCAAGGGAATTTGAGAAAGGGAAGTGAAAAAGAGAAGTGTCAAATCTCTGTAAGCAATTAAACAGATTTTAAAAAATTGTGGTTGTATGTTTCAGTGTAACAGTTGACAGCTTTCCTCAAGCTGCAGCCTTTCAGCTGTATGGATTTCTCCTAATTTCCCTTCATTGTTTCCTGCATTAAGCCCACTCATTTAGGAGAGTGACCAGAAGATATGTACCTTTCATTCTTTCCTGGAATAGGAAAGGATGAGCTTCTTCATGCAAATGAAAAAAAAGTGTCAAGTACCACCTGTTGCTTTTTATTTTTATGGCATTACAGTAAAACTACTTCAAAGAGTTCTGATGGATCCGCTCAAGAGATCCATTCATTCAACATCCTGATCCCAAAAGTGGGATCAGCATCAGTGTTTTCAGTAGAGATAGTGACTTGTTGTTATGCCATCACACAAATTTGTGTCATTTGCTGATATGTTATTAGATGCATGATATTGTTGTGGATTCTGATGGATAGTTAGTGGTCTGTCTAACTGACATACTTCTGGCAAAGCAACAGACAAATTTTGCAGGCAATAACCCCCCCCCCTTAGCTACTTAGCTTCAGTTTGTTTTGCTTATTGCCTTAAACCTTGATTTAAAAAATTGTTTGAATAAACTAATGTCATCTATGTTTATATGATAGTAAGCAGTCATAAATAGTTACAAACCATCATGAGTGTTAAACCATGGACAAGTAAGTTATATTCTGTTTAAAAGTGATGGATATACAGCACAAACATACTTGGCAGAAGGCCACACATTACATTTCTGTTGTCTTCTATTTTAAGAGGGCCCAGAAAGAGGAATTCTAATATCTAGCATTAATTATACTAATCAATGTCACAGCTTTCTGTATTTCTTTCCAAATGACTACATTTCCCTTGTATCTAAGAGCCAAGGCATGATTGAAATGCAGGGTTTGCAAGTTCTCTTTTCATAGATATGAAAGGGATTTAGCATTACCTGTTGAATTTCTACTTAATATGGAGCCATTAATGGCACAAGAAACTGCCTGAGAACAACTACAGAAGTTGGTTGTAGGATAAAGGGATGACTACTAACTACTGGGAATGTATGCATGTATTTGTTTTAACATGCTAGATGCTGCATTATAGCAACATTCTCAGTTTATGTATCCTGTAATACTGTACATAATTGTGCTTACCATTCCCCATAGGCTCAGTATGAGCTCTTTTAAAAATGAATGTTAATTATTCAGTTATGAATAATTTATTTCCTATTTTGAACATCCTACCACTTAAAGGAAAAGATTCTTGCATCAGAAATTTTATTTATTATTAAATATAAATGCTACCCATCGTACACTGAAAAGCAACTCTGGGCAGCTGGGTAAAAATGTTATCAGAGTTATTTTACCTTTAACTCAGTCCTCAGATAAAAAGGTTCTTTAAAAGGCTTGCAAAATCCTGTAATAAGACTCTCTGCTTTTATGTCATTTGATATAATTAATCTAAATGAAGTGACAGAAAAGGAAAAAGGATTGTGAACAACAAGAGATAAAAGAAATTCAGTAACCAAGGCTTTGTACAAATTCCTTGTAATAACCAGATGGGAATACTTTAAAGAAGAGTCAAAAGTTGCTGAACCCTTTGCTGCTGGTTCTACTTTAGTCTATTCCTCTGGTAAAAGAGTTGCCTTCTCAGTAGAGCTGATGGGAATGACCCCGATTCCTCTTTCTAAGGCTACAGCAGACTTAGAGCAATTTACCAATATATTCTCTTTGAAGAAGTAATAGGCAGAGAGATAAAAAGTAGAGATGAAAAACATCATGTTAAAAAAGATACATCTTTTTATCTATCTACAAGAATGAAAATAGCATTCAGTACTATGAAAAGCATGGATAGCATTAGGCCTGAATGTAAATTACATTATGTATGTGAAGAGATAATTGAGACATGCTCTATCCTACATGTTTATGTACAAGTGTGAAAAGCAAAGATAATTCTGTAAGGCAGGGTCATCTGGCAGAGAGGTTAAAAAGTCAAGAGGGCAATCACAGTTTCTGGATTGAACCCTTGCCCCTATTTTAAAAGGCAGAAGAATGTGGCTATGATCATGGGGATGAGGCTGTCACCTTGATTTTTTTGATCCTACCCCTCCATGTACAGCCCTGCTATGGATGGTCTCTTTGTGGTTCAGTTACTTCCATTTCTTTGTTACCTGAAGAACATTGTTTTGTCTGGCACTAACTTGGTCTCTGAATTTTTGTAAGCTCATCTTTGTGTTTAGTAGAAAAAAATATCTAACCACTTTGTCCTCTCTCAGCCTCTCAATTCCCCATGCATTCTGGTACTTGGATTATATGCAATTCTCAACTACATTCAGATCCATGCTACATTAATATGGCTAAAATGTTTCAAATGTTGCACTGAGCATGCATTAGAGAGTCAGCCATTGATGGCGAACCTTTTAGAGACTGAGTGCCCCAAAATTGGCCCCGCCCCCGCTCCACCCCCTGCCCCACCCCACCTGCCTGCAGGGTCACTCACCATCTCCAGGGCCCGCCGCAGATTGCCCAGGCAGCCCGGCAGCACCATTGCGGCCATGCCCTCTGCCCGCGCCTCGCAGCATCAACTGTGTGCGATGGAGTGTGAGGGTAGAGTCTTGTCTACGCTGCCTGGCTGCCATGTCCTTGGCTGCACTGCTGTGTGGGCCACGCTCGGGGGCGACTCACCTCCAGGGGGGCTGCTGGTGAGGGGATCACAGGAGGCAAGGCTGGGGCAATGGCACGTGTGCCCACAGAGAGGGCTCCAAGTGCCGCCTCTGGTACGCGTGCCATAGGTTCACCACCACTGGCTTAGGCATTCAGGGAAGAGAAGGTAGGAGATGCAGTCTTTTCTTCAAATTTCTAAAACTAATCAACTAGGCTATATTTTAATGCACAGTGTCATAGAAATAACAATTTCCAAATATTTATTGTCTAATAGCTGCTCTCATTAACCATGCACAAGTAGGAAAACAACTAGTATTTATTTTGTTTGTAAACAATAACATTTGATCAAATGTGATGCCTTACAGCAAACAGGTTATGTGAAGAGCATCTAATGCTGGGGTGTCAAATCATGTGACATGTTGCAATGTATTGTGACTTTTTTTCCATTGCCGGCAATGGGGTGGGTGCGGTTTCATCATGATGCATCCGGCCCATAGGCCGGCAGTTTGACACCCCTGATCTAATGCAAAGTAACCTAAATTCATATACCAAACAATAAGCAAGTACTGTACAATTCCATCATTATAAGATGTAATAGTTTTTACTACTGATCTTTAGGTTTCAAGGTTCCTCCAAACTGCTATGAATTTACCTTTATATTTTCCAAAACTTGCTATTTAATATTTTCCTACTAATGCTGATACTATAACAGCAAGTGAGCAAAACTGGTGTTATGTATATAGGGGCAGAAATATTAGCGGTTGCCTTTGCCAACCTTACATATGTAGTTTTCTTAAATGTGAGCCCTACATTGGGATGTTATCCCAGGAAATTATTTCAGGACAGCTATGTTTATTTTTTATTTTTTAAACCCATATACATTTATAGCTTCCTTACACATGGTTGCACGCATAGGTGGTTGGCTGTTTTCAAAGACATAAGATAGCTGCAGAGTTGGAAATTTTTGGACGCTGTGGTTACTGCTTGGCTGCAGTTCCCTGTTTTATTTCTTTGCCATTAGTGGGACTTGGCTTTCTCAAAAAAGGAAATTTGACTTGCAGTGAGTATAATGTTAATTCTCCATGGAGTACTTTAGGAATGCTGAGGAAGCATTTTATCTGCATGAGACCAGAACAGAGGAGATACATAGGAATAGTACCAAAATGTTACTCACTTGTATTTAAAGAGAGTAGACCCCCCCTCTCCCTGATTACTGTAGATCATTCCTGATCTTATTCAACTGATCTAAGAATTATAGGGTTGAAGGCTAAAAATTAATACTCTTAAATGCATTTAGATAAGTTATCTATTGTGGTAGGGCAGGGGTAGGCAACCTCGGCTCTTTTATGACTCATGGACTTCAACTCCCAGAATTCCTGAGTCAGCATAGAATTCTGGGAGTTGAAGTCCATGAGTCATAAAAGAGCCAAGGTTGCCTACCCCTGTGGTAGGGAGAAAAACTATTATTGCAAGGTGAGGCCAAGTATCCCAGTACACCAAAATGTTTAGAAAAATTTAACAGCTTGGTTACAGGATCATTTACCCACAACTTACATAATAAGTTGTAAATCTAATTTTCTGAGTTTGCATGTCACATTGAACCATAAATTAACCACATGGATTGGATTTGCACAACACATTAGGCAAAATATGGTTGACTAGTCTCTAAACTCAACGAGGATTCACAATCTGAATTTAGTCTATTTATGTATTTAGGATTTCTATCAAATCCATCAAATTAAAATAAATTGCATAGAATTAGATTTATCTATAATACTGCAAATAAGATTTAGGAGAAAAGAAATAACTAGTCATAATGAGCATGGCCAGTTTGAATGGTATACTGGTTTTATCCAACTTGAGTCTATTTAGAAATGTTAGATTGACACAAAACATCTGTATGTCGTCAATCTGAGGAAAGTTGGTAGTCATAATTTGTAGGAAAAGGGTGCACATGTCAGCAGTATAAAACAGCTCTGACTGTAGAAGCAATTTCAATCTCTATGTCAACTCTACAAATGAGCATGTCTGCAGTTATTTTCTCTACTCATTTTTTGATTGCCACATAGAATTAGGGGGGGGGGGGGTTGCCCAGGTGCTCTGCTAGTCAAAATAATCTTTTGTCCTGTGGGAACCAAGGTCACCGACTGCTCCTGAGATTGCAGGCTGGGCGTTGCCTAAAAAGCCTGCCAAGAAGATGTATTGGGGAACATAGTTGCTTGCATAGTTTTAGGGGTGGGATTTTTTAACTTTGTATTGGGGAATTGTTAGGCGTGTCTCCAGACTTGGTTTCACTTTTGATATGCCAATACTTTGTAACTAATAAACATGTTCTTTGAGGAATTTGCAAGCCTCTGAGTTCTGCTTTATTCGTCTCTGTCTCTTGTCTCTTCTAGAACATTTCAAGTATATGAAAAAGTTTTCAGTAAAGTCTCATGCTTTTGGAGAGTTTTTTCACTGGGAGTAAGTTGGAACTGGCTTGAAACAGTTTCAAAACTTTTCAGATCTGCTTTAGAAAAAAAATCATTTTTTTTGATAGTTCACACTCACTGCAGTTATGTTAAACATACTCAAACAGGGTTTAAATTGGGTTCATAGTTCAAAAGATAGCAGCGCCAGGCTGATCTTGTTAAGCAGAGTAGGTTTGGGTTAAGATTTGGTGGGGGAAATATCCGAGAAAAATAGAGTCATAGGTTACATTGGGGAGTCTAAAAGATATTCTGGAAGAAAGCAAAACAGACCACTTCTATATTATTGCAAATAAATTGCAAAAACTTGTTCATGAAATCAAGAAAAGTTGACCAACTTTTACACCAATACATTCTTGCTATGAAATGATGCAACTTGGACATATTTTCTCAGATATAAATTCCAACAAACTTAATCAACCCATTTGATCAATTTTCAAATTCCTCTTCTTTGAGGCATTGTGCTAAGCCATGATTAACAAATTCTGGTTTGTCGACAACTCCCAAATACTGGATTCACATAAAATGATGAGCCAGGCAGTAACTGTTTTGAATTGTGGATATATTTGGGGTTTTGAAAGTACATAGTGGGCATATTCATAATATAATTGCAATATAATATATTGTGACTTGTTTATTTGCAAGATAGCTGCCATAATCAGTCCCAGACAAGTAGCTTTCAGATTTTTTTCTATCATCACAGGAATCTTTATAAGTTTGAAAGTATTTTCATAAATAAGTAGGCTATAGGCTGGTACTTTGTTTTGCAGCCGGCTAATTTCTAATGTAAGGTAATATTTATTTGGAAAAAAATTTAAGAGGGATCAGACAGTTGGCACCAAACAGCACATGCATTGGTGACCAACAACACAATGCCTATCCTTTATCAAATTGTGGTTTATAAATCACTATTTGGATTCACATTTCAAGCTACAATATGCTAAACTGAATCATGCTATATTTAAATTAGTGCTTTTCAAACTCAACAAGATTAAGATATGTGGACTTCAATTCCCAGAATTCCCTAACTAGCAGGTTAATTGGAGAACTCTGGGAGTTGAAGTCCACACATCTTTTAAGTTGCCAAGTTTGAAAAACACCGATTTAAAGCGATGTGTTGCTGAGTGTATATAGTACGCGTAATTTATACCCGTAATTTTGCTTACTCAAAGGGAAACCTCACTGATTTCGATAGGAATTGTCCGCGTCAAGGATAAGCCGCTAGTTGCTGCGCCAAGAACATTCTTAGCTCCTTTTTCACTCGGCGTGAGAACGAGATAAAAGTAGACTGTCCTCTAGTGGGCGCCATACCAGATTGAAAGGGAATAGCAATGGCGCTGAGCTCGGAGCCGCTGTCAGATCGCTCTATAAAGCTAGCGGTGTTGCTAGCCTTCGCTTCGGGAGTGGTGGTGGGATGGCAGGCGAACAGAGCGCGGAGGTATTACCTCAAATGGCGGAAGCGACGGCTGCAGGACCAGCTAGCAGCAACTCAGAATAAGTTAGAACTCGCATGAAGCGGTGAGGAAGCGGCTGCAATAGCCCAAGAATGGTGACCGGGAGGGGGACATGCTGACTGAGAGGGCTCGTACTGACTGGCAGCGTTTTATGACAAAACGCTCGTTTGCCTTTGGCCTTTTAACCGTAGGCTGGGGTAATGAAAGGATCAAGCGGTGATTCCTGCGTTTTTCAAAGCTGGTATAAAGAGAAGTAGGCCACAAAATTAACATGCTTAAATTTTGCTGTTTTACTTTTTTTTTTTTTTTAAATAAGCAACTAACCATTTATGAATCTTTGTATCAAAATAAAGGCACAAAGCCGTAATTAATGTTTAAATTTGTACCCTTTTCCTTGAAGGGCTTTTGTGTTTTAATACTGGTTGTAGATCCTGAGGAATTCAAGCACACCTTATTTTAGGGAGAGAAGACCGGTTTCTGTATAATTTTTGCTTATTGAATGTTAGTGCTCTGGAAGACCTTTGGGAAGGGAAAAAGATAGTTACCTCAAACTACACATTTTGCAATAATTTAACAACAGTCTGGAAATTCATGCTGTTTTCAAAAGTGGTTGAAATTACTTTGTGTTACAAGTTTCAACCTTGTTTATTGGGTGACAATCATAGTTTTTTCAGAGCAGATGAACATATTACAGGCCGATTTTTAATTAAACAATACTTTTTGTTTTTCTATTGAAAATATGCTGATTTTTAAATTCAGGAATTTGTTTCTCAGTTTAAATACTTTATATATAGACATTTTGCCAGGGTTCCTGCAACATTTCAGTTGACAGTTGTACCAAAGTCAACAAACTTCTCAGTGGATGGAACTGTGCCTGATTTCCTTAATGCTGTTCTCATTCAAATACTAAAATTGCATCTTTTGCTATATATTTTAACTTGTACTTTTCTGTTTTATATTTTAAATTTTGAGAAAACTTTAACAATTATATGGAACTGATTTTCATTTTTTTCTACCTTTCAACAGCTGAATACAAATAGATGCCTCAAAATGAACTACAATCAAGTTTCCATATTTGATGGATATTAATGGACTTTTTAAAAAAAATCTTCATGCATAAACTTGGTTTGGCGATATCTATGGAATTACCATCTATTCCATGGGACTGATATTTACAAAACAGTTTAGCATCTGCAGAAAGATGTCATCTATCTGTTGAAACTTATCTGTATGAACAGCTTAACATTCCCTACTTGGACAGCTAATAACTTAAGGATGTTTTATGAAGTGGATCTTCCTAACATATTTTAAATATAAGAAAATAAACACCAAGTGCAATGCAATATATTCTGTGTTAGGTTTTTTTGAGTTCTTTATTTTGACTGTGAAAATGAAAACAACCATAATTATCTTATATCCTAATATGATCATTTATAAACATTAAAGGTTGGTCCTAAATTTATTGGCCTGATTCACACAACATGCTAAACTATAATGTGATTTTCCCAAAGGTGCTTTCTCAAGAGGCAACTGAACTTTGTTTTTCTTTGAAGATGTTTCACTTCTCATCCAAGAAACTTCTTAAGTTCTGACTGGATGGTGGGGAATGGAAAGATTTATATTTCTTGCAGACAACTGGTCATTTACATTTTTTTTAGAGAGTAATTGAAGCCACTTGGAAGTTTATCTGTGTCAAGGTCACCTGAGTAGTGCAAATGGGTGTGGAGCCTTCTTGGAACTGTTAAAAAGACTGTTGTAGACTGGAGATAAATGAAATCTTATCCCTCCCCTTCTATTTAGAGAGGGCTGTTCAATTTTGACATAGATGGCCTCTTTGACCCCTATTTCAAACCAGTGGTTCTTTCTGCCCAAAATGAACCATTTCTCACCATCCGGTCAGAGCTGAAGAAGCTTCTTGGATGAGAAGCAAACATCTTCAAAGAAAAACAAGTCCAGTTGCCTCTTGAAAAAGCTCCTTTGGGACAACCATGACCTGGATGACTGAGAATCTCCATAGACATAGTGTGGTTTGTTTGGGCTTACTGTATTATGTGAAGCCACACATGGCTTATTTAATAAATCATATTGAAGCCTAGAACATGTAAGCTAAACCTATATTGAATGTGATTTTAAATCTGAACTATTTATTTTGGTGTGATATTTTATAAGAAACAATCTGCCTAATCAACTATACAAAGCAGACATGTCAAACTTGTGATGTCATGTGATGTTGCACAACGTATCGGGACTGTTTTGCCATTGCCGGCAATGGGGTGGGCGCTGCTTCCGCATGACGCATCTGGCCCATGAGCCGGCAGTTTGACACCCCTGATATAAAGGAACAAAGGACTAGAAATGGTTCTTATGTATGGGAGTTGAGATGCAGTGCACCAGGGGTGTCAAACTGCCAGCCAGGAAGTAGGTTGCATCATGCAGAGGCTACACCCATCCCAGCTCCGGCAATGCGAAAAAAATCATGATACATCATGACACATCACGTGACGCAGTGAGTTTGACACCTGTGCAGTGTATGATGATGAATCCTTAATTTGCCTTAAATTCTTACAAACTGATTTTCTAGTGCAGCCATGAGAATTAATGTACCTACCAATTGACTCATACTGAAATTTTTATTAGTTTTAATAAGGTTAAAATCCAACTGAATTGAATGAGTACAGTAAACACCTATCTGGTGGCAAAAAGATAATTTAACTGCTCATATATTCAAGTTTGGTGAGCCCTTCATTATGGGATGTTTGTACCCAGGTTAAAATAATAAAGTAATTGTTTATTTTATCAAATTTATAATAGTTAAATTTTCTTTTTAGTTTCAATTTATTGTTAAGCACCTTGAGTATTCAAGTAAAAAGCTGGGGTATACATTTTTTGGATATGCAATTGCTTTTTGTCCTGCCTAAGTGACATGCGATTTGAATAAGTATTGGGCTAGAATTCCAGAGAATCAGATTCAAGTTCACTAAAGGTGATTTGGGGAATAAAACTGGAGGACGGAAGATTATATAGGCTGATGTGAACTACCAGGCATATATTTAATAAAACCGACCGTAAACTCATATTTTCGTATTTTCCGTATTCTTGGCGTCTATTCGGATGGGACTGTTAAGAATTCTTAAAACCATCGAATTACAAGAAATATAATGAACAATGGTATTTTATCGCCTATTCTTTTTCTTACTAGACCACAGCAAAATTGGGAATTGCCCCTCAGCTGTTCCCTTTAACCGGGAACATCCGGCTCCCTCAGCTTTGATACCTGAAGAAACGAGTAGCGCCGTTAGCGCGATTCTCTCCTAAATCGCGCTTTGGGTCTTCGGAACGCCGATTGATGACGTTGTTAGTTAAGCGCCACAGGGTTGGTCTCCTTAGCGACCGTGGCGGCCGCTGTATTTGCGCAAAGCAACCTCGGCAATGTCTATACAAATGCCCAGCCGTCGGAGCCGAAGGGGCCCACTGCAGAGCGCGTTGCGTCGGGGCCGAGAGCTGCGGGAACAGGTAAAATATCTTTTGGCGTTATCTTCCTCGGAGAGAGGGAGAGAGCGAGCTGGGATTGCAGAAGACAAATTTCCAATGCTTCGCAACGGTTGTGACCCACTAGACTAGAGGGTGGCGGTTCATTGAAAAAAAAAAAATCCCCCAAACCTCATTTGGTGGAGCTCATGTATGGGCTTGTTTCAGTGCAAATCTGACATGGCTTCCCAAATGTGATCCCTCCGTTTTCATTGTTGAATATGTGAATCCCTAGAAAACTACTCTGAAGTTAGAAGATGCACGTGTATCTTAAAGTGGCGAGGGAGAGGGAGATGTATGCTTAAGTCCTAGCGAGCCAAAATCCAAAATTTTACTGTCTTGACTGAACCGTCTTTCAATGTAATCCTAGATTGTAATCCTATTCTGCAAATAAGCATATGATTTTAGTAAGAATTATTTGGTAAAAGTTAGTAAGAGTTATTTGGTAAAAAAGAGTTGTTAGAGACAAGTAATTTCTCCCAGTGACATTCTCAGAAAAACTGTTAGCAACAATGAAAAAGCTAATCTAATAGGTTAAAGAAGTTTTCCATTTCTATTAAAATAAACTTGTGTTCAACAGGGAAAATTGAGTAAATGATAACACACACTCATACACACATTTCATATTTCTAAACCACCTAGCTCCCTCAATGAGGAGCTTTATCTTTATATGCTTTATATATGCTTTAACTATATATGCCAGTAAACTAGAGCAAGTAGATTAATCTATAAGCCTTAGTAGAAAGTTCATGAAATATAGAACAATGGAAAAATGTTGATATGCAAATGCTGACAGAAAAGTAATTGGTAGCCTGAGGCCAGGAATGGACGTTTGTAAAAAGAAGCTAATAGGGTTGTGTTTATCTTTTACTTTAAAAATATACAGTATTTCATTTTTATTTATAAAATGAAACTGAGTGAATACAGCAAGTAAAGGTTCCAATGTTCTGAAATAATTAGGAAAATGAGATTTGACTGTTTAGCAAAATAGACTTGATGGTTTACAACAGGGTTGTCAGAAACTCAATTTCATTGAGGGCCACATAAGCATTGTGGTTGCCCTGGGGAGGATGGGTGGGTGTGGCCAGGCAGGCATGGCATATTGGGTGGATGTGGCCTAATGGGTGGGTGTGGGCAGCTCGATGTTGCTCACATCAGGGGTGCCTGTGGGGGCCTAGGCAGGATTGGGGCAGATCCGAGGGTCTCTGGCAGAGGGGGGTAGGACTGGAGCGAGCGCCAGGACATGATCCACTGGAGGAGCCTCACCATCCTTCTCAGGCCATGCGGGGGGTGGGTGGGCTGGACGGTGGTGCAGGCTGCCTGGAGTCCTGGGCAGCAGAGGTCAAATGCCCAGCCTGGCTCTCAAGCTCCCGCAGCATCTGGCTCACCCTCACTTCCCCCAGCTGCCCTTACCCTCTCCTCAAGGCTGCTGCTGCTGTGCTTTCTCTCCTTAGGCAGGTTGCTCATGGTGGGTGCAGGAGGGCAAAGTGAGTGGGTCAGAGGAAGGCCCACTCTCTCTCCATGCATGGAGACTTTGTAACGAAAGCATCTTTAGCAATAGGAGGGGGATCCCCAGAATAGGCCAGGAGGAGGGGGCAAGGAGATAGTGAAAGGGCAGCAGGGCAGGACTAAGGCAGGATTTCCCTTAGACCAGTGGTTCTCAACCTTTCTAATGCCGTGACCCCATAATATAGTTCCCCATGTTGTGGTGACCCCCCAACCACTTATACATCACCGGGTGCCAGGGGCGTGGCCAAAGAAAAGGGGGGAAAAATGGCAGACAGCCTTGTTTGGCGACCCCCGTGAAATGGTCGTTCGACCCCAAATGGGGTCCCGACCCACAGGTTGAGAACCACTGCCTTAGACCTTCCCTCCCTCTCATTCCAATTTCCTTCCTTCCTTCCTTCCTTCCTTCCTTCCTTCCTTCCTTCCTTCCTTCCTTCCTTCCTTCCTTCCTTCCTTCAAAACAGAGTGGCGGGAAAATATTTGAAATGAGGGAGGGAGAAAAACAGGCAAAAAACGCAGCTGGGGAGGTGTCACCGTTCTTGAGGAATGAAGAAATGCACCATCGCCTGGAAGTGGCCAGCAAATGGCCCTTGCCTACTTCACATATCTGGCTTGGTGGGCTCCGGGGGAGGGGTGTTGCAAGCAGTATGAGAGTTGACGTTACCTGTGCAACGCCTCCCAGCCCTCAGCCTGCGCGGTTTCGGCAGGCAGCGGGACGCTCTCCTCACAGCACTGAGAGGCTGGGCTGGGTGGTGCGAAGCTAGCAAGCTTCTCGCCAGCTTTGCGCTGCCCGGCTCAGACTCTTGGAGCTGTGAGGAGAGCGCCCTGCTGCCTGCTGAAACGGCAGGCTGGGGGCTGGGTGGTGTTGCACTTCTCACCAGCTTTGTGTGTATATATATTTACAGTTAAATATCTAAGCTACTTCCCGCATGATAGTCCTCCCAATAATTACATTTCTCATATCATAAAAAAAATACAGTACTACTCAGAAAAGAAAAAAGAAAAGGAAAAACATGTCTCTCTCAAACTAAAATTCATTTATATCCCCCATTTTTTTCATTTTTTGACTCTATTCCATTTGATATTTATTAATTAGTTAATCCATGTTATATTTTAAACATATTCAAACAGATACTTAATCTTTAAAAATTGCATCTGATAACACAGTTACATTTCTCATATCATAAATTTCTCATATCATTAGTGCAACTGTTACATCTCACATAAAGTAGAACAAATGGGCCAGACTGATTAAAGCAGCAAGGTCCTGCAGAGGGCAGTATAGAAGAATTTACATATACATAGAACTTAATGAGATTTAGATAACTATGTTTAGTACAGATTTGTAAACTTAGTGAATTTCCTACTCTGAAGTTTATAATAAAGGGGAAGTTAGGAGTGTAATTGGTCTAGTGAACATTATTAATATTGGCCAGATGATGTGTGTATATGTGTGAATATTAGAGAATATGAGAAACTTGTTTTGGGAGTGTTGATTTTTATCCTAAATACAATATAGATAAAGGTCTTAAATGTATGTGCAAATGCTTTCTTTCAACAAATTATGTCTTAATTATAAAATATTTCAGGTGGGAACTTTGCTTCAAGAAAGCAAAACTGTGAAAGCTCTGGATTCTGAAAAAAAGAAAAGCCTTAATGAGAGGTAATGTACATTTTAGCTACAGTATTGTTTTGATAGAAGCAAATGTAATATTTTATATGGTACTAAAATGTAAACAGGTGATTTAAAAATAGTTGAGACTAAAACTTTTCTTCTTTATTTGAAAGAAAATTTATCAAAAATAAGAAGACTTGTTTTTACTTGTGTATTTTACTTCAAAGATGAAAGGTGATAGAATGTTATTTGTCTAGTCTCATTTTGTTGTTGTTAATTGCGAAGTCGTGTCCGACCCATTGCGACCCCATGGACAACATTCCTCCAGGTCTTCCTGTCCTCTACCATCTTCTGGAGTCCATTTAAGTTCACACCTACTGCTTCAGTGACTCCATTCAGCCATCTCATTCTCTGTCATCCCCTTCTTCTGTTACCCTCAATCTTTCCCAGCATTAAGCCCTTCTCCAGTGAGTCCTTCCTTCTCAAAATAAAAAACTGAAGAGTGCTCATGAATATAAATATTTGGAACTGCTCTTCAGTGGAGTATCAGTGAATTAATATGCAGCTTTTAATGTCATGATTTTTCACATTCAAATGCATTATATTTTAATGTTAGCATTCAGTATATACCATTCCTTTGCGGTGAGTTGGTTCACTTTAACTGCTATATGTTATCATTAATTTTTAAAACATTTTATATTGCTTTCACTATGAAAGTAGATTCAAGGCCAATTTACAAAATATTCAGGATTATTTGTTCATGATATGCTAGTTACTTCAAAGAATTCAGGTAGCTTATATTTTAGAATGATAAAAACCGTAAAACAAATATCCCCCTTTCCCTTGAACAAACTTGTTAGTATTTATCTACAGTACATGTTTCCAGGGGTATATTTTTATTTAAGAATTAATTTGTTTTTCTAGATAAGATCAAAGCCAAAGAACTATAGTATTTTTTTTCAAAAATGATAGCAGCCAGGATGTACCTGGTGGTTTTGCTTCATCTTTGGTTACCCTGAAGTAGATTTTTGTCATGGAGATTCTGCAGGAGAATGAGCAACTGAGGCATTTAATTATTCTTCAACTAGGCAAATGTAACAGGCTTTAATAGCTTTCAGCATCAATATTATTCCTTCTCTAGAGGTATGTATATATAAAGAATTTCTGATTATGGCAGTATGCTATTAACATACCTGCTCACCTTGGCATTATTAACTTGTTTATTAAATTTAAGCAGAGTATTATTTATAATATTTTGGGGTCAGTATATTTGATGGTTGGTAGACAGCATATTAAATATGGTCTTTCTGTTTATAGATGTTCGGCGCTGAAGAAATCTGTGGATGAAAATGCCTTAACTCTTCAGAATTTAAAGAAAGTAAATATTAGCGGTACAGTTGATTGATTGATTATGTTCCAGCAAGTGATTTTTGACTCCTACTAACCACACACATATTTTCTCCAGTGCAATCTATCTCTAACACGTTCTTTAAATCTCCCAATGATGCACTCAGTGCTACTGTACCTGAGTCTATCCACCTTGTTGCTGATCATCATCTTTTTCATTTCATCTTTTTCAGCATTAGAGCCTTTTGTAGTGAGTTTGGTCTTCACATAATGTGTACAAAGTCAGATAATTTGAGCCTGGTCATTTGTGCCTCGAGTGAGAACTCTGAGTTGATTTATTCAGTCATCGATTTGTTTGATTTTTTTGCTGTCCACAGAATTCTCCGGAATCTTCTTCATCACCAAAATTCAAAACATCCTACCATCTTTCAAAGTCCAGTTTTTGCTTCTATAAAGTATTACAGGAATACCATGGCTTTCATGATTTTGATCTTTATAGACATCACGGCACTGAATATATTTTCCAATAGAGGTAGAATACTTATCCAAAAATTAGAGAAGAAAGATTCCAAGATATTGTTTGCTAAAGTAGTATCAAAATTAGAAGCTACTTTTTTCCAGGTTCCAATATATATTAGCTATCTGAATTTCTGTCATTCTAAATTAAATCCATTTTTAAATAGAAATAATACTAATAACCTACACCAGAACAAATGTGTTCTTTTTCAGCATAAAGAACCATGTGAATGTTTACATTTAATAAATAACTAGCACATCTTTCCTAAATGTGATTTGGAAGCCAGTATCATGCAGAGGTTAACATTGGAAAAATTCAAGTTTAACTCCCTCTTGACCATGGCTCTCACATGGATGTTTTTGATCCTTCTATCTCAATGGATTGGTGCTCTGAGACTAAAATGAAGGGAAATGTTCATGTTTACTTTGAGCTTCCAGAGAAATGACAAGATATAAATATAAACAGATTATAAAATTTGGTAAATATTAATATGCATATGGATTTTCTCAAAATTCTGATGTGTTTTTTAATCTCACAGTCAGATGAGCCTGCACCAGTAGGAAATTATAATCAGAGAAAAGAAGAAGAAGAAAAGCAATTGTTCAAGCTTTCTCAGCAATTGGAAAAACTTGCTGCAGTCCTTAACCAGGACAATGTAGTCAAAGACTCCAACATGTAGGTAAATTTAAGAGATTTTTTTTTTTGTTATAGCCAACTATTACAAGTCTGCTTAAATTTAAATATAGGCATGTTTCAGAACCAGTATAAATGTTTCTTACAAAGATTGGAAGCAAATGCAGCATGGATTTCAAATATGGATATCTTCTTTCCTATAACATAAAATTAAGATATTTGACAGTTTAGAAATTTAAATGCATTCAAAATGCATTGTGCATATCTTTTTGATACCTGCTTCTATTTTGTGGAAGCTGCCTAACCTCATTTAATGCCAGATTTTATAGTTTTTAGGAATAGGGAAAAGCTATGCCTGTTTTCTTTTGGATTGCTGGCTTCATTTAGTTTATTTTCTAAATGTTGTATTATTTTTGATTTATACATTTTAAAAATAATACATTTTAATTTTTTTTAAATATGTTTATAAATTATATTTTTAATGATTTTTGTAATGCATTTGGTATTTTTAAGAAGAATAAGATAAAATTATGTTCAATAAATCAGTTTTGCTTTGGGCATTCACAATATAACCTGTTTTTTCCTAAAAATTCAGAAGCATTGATTATTTATTTCCTGTATTTGTGTACTGCCAATTCAAGCTATGTATTAATCAAACCAAGGACTGATTAAAATAAATGATTTTCAAAACACCAGTTAGTTCTGTTTTTATTTCTTTGTTGTTAGGAATTTGAAAAAGAAAGGCAGCCCAGAGGAACAGCAGAAGGATGAAGAGACAGAAAATGAGGAAGAAGGAGAAAGTACCCAAAATGATGATGAAGATGAAGAAGAGCAAGATAGCGAGGATGATGAGGATGATGAATACGATGATGAAAGTAAACTAGACACTTCATTTAATACAGAATTCATCGCTCTTGGTGATTTTGCTGCACAGCAAGAAGGGGATTTGACATTTAAAGCAAGTAAAATCTAGCATTTCTTGAGTCCACTAGTTCCATTTGTTTGCCTCTACTCCATCTTCTTTGTTGTGATCTGTGCCCCATACCATTTAATGCAGCATGGAGAATTGAGACCAACCCATCATTGCTATCCCTAACTTTGGCCTGGGCTGTATGCATTGTCTAAAGCGGATAGGCAACTTTGGCTCTTTTATGACTCGTGAACTTCAACTCCCAGAATTCCTGAGCCAGCATGGCTGGCTCAGGAATTCTGGGAGTTGAAGTCCACGAGTCATAAAAGAGCCAAGGTTGCCTATCCCTGGTCTAAAGTATGGTTTAGATTGCAGCAGAGGGGCCAAGTGGAACAGCAGGTTTGTATAGGTGCAGTGATATAAATCTATCAGTGTTCATGTGATTGAAATGTTTATTCTTAAAGAAAATAATTTATATCAAGCTGAATGGAACATACATTTTTAGACTTCAAATTAACTTTTAGATTTCCTGTTTCTTCAGAATATCTGCAAAACAATTTGGCTTTCTTTTTATGTCTGTTTCTAGCATCTTTAGTAACATTTTGCAACAGTTGGTAAAATGAGAATAATGACCACATTAGATACTAAACAAACATTTAAACATACACCATATGTTCTGTGCATTGTATTGGAGTGCTCAAACATTTTCAGTGTTAATATACTTACCTTCTTTTACTTTCTCTGTTTTCATTATTGAAGAAAGAAGAAGTTCTTCTTATCATTGAGAAAAAGCCTGATGGTTGGTGGTTGGCTAAAAATTCGAAAGGGGAGAAAGGTCTTGTCCCTAAAACCTATCTTACGGTTGGTGTGCGTTTTCCCTTTCTATTCAGTTTTAACTGTTTTAATTATTGTTGATATCTCTGCTCTTTTGTAAGATGGCAGAATGGTAGCATTGCACTGTATAAAAGTGAAATATTTTTCCTTAGCCTGCTGTAAAACCTATATTTTTTGATAGAAATAAAACTTGCCTATATTTGAATTTTACTGTTGATTGAACATGGCTATATGGAAGAAAGACAGTATTTCTGTAATCGGTCCATTTACAAAGATTTGCTGGAAATTGTTTACCTATAGTAGTTATTTATAGAAATATTTATGGCCTGAGTACTATTCTAAGAACCTTAGCCTGGGTTAAATAAATAAATGCCATCTTATCAGTTCAAAATCAGCAATTATCACAACACAGTAATAGAGAGTTGCAGATTTTTACAAGTAATAATAGGGCACTGTCTATTCTGGATGTTAGGTTTTGAGTGGACAAAGTGATGCATCAACCACTTTAGATAGAAAAGAAACAGTGATGATGAAGGTGAAAAATTTATTTAGTTCGGGTTGTCAGGTAGCAATCTATTCCTGATTTATCCGGGAATCTCTAGAACAGTTTGAAAAGTAGTGTGATGGGCTTTAGATGTGTGGGGAATTTGTGAAAAGTACTTCTTCCCACTTTGTCCATTAGAAGCTTCTGCTGTTTATGATGGAGTATTATTTTTTTAAATAAAGGTATCAGGCTCGTTATAGGCTAACACTCTGCATCATGCTGTCAGAACATCTATTCCGTTACAAAAATAAGGATGCAGTTTGGCTGATCAGTGTCTTTTGTAGGCAAAAGACAAGGAAGAAGAGCCAAGTGAAGAGGAAACAGAGGATGACATTGAGGTGGCAGATGAAACAGCAGGTGGAGCCAATATTCTGAAAAGGTAGACTGTAGGCTTTAATACAGACATACATCATCATCAACTGGTATATTATGAGAACTTACTCAGTTTGTAAACAATTTTATATGCAATGTGTAAGAAATTTTTTAAAAAATCATCCAAAATCATAGCTTCAATCTTATTCCCAAAGTTGTCTATAATATGGGACCCACCATAAAAAAATAATTAGTTCTTGGTTTTAGATGTATTCATGATGGGACTTACAAAAAAAGTCTTACTGAAGTGTGGAATGTGTGGAATAAACCTGTACAGAATTAGGAACTCCTTCAAGGGCTCTGGGCCCAAGCTGTTTAAGGCTTTAACACCATATTGAGCCTTCTGAATTGGGCCCATAACGCAATCTGATTTGAATGCTAACTTGCTTGTCTGTATATTTCCCATAAGCTCACGTATGATTGTACTTTTTTCCTGATGTTTGTACTGTCTGCAGAACAGACTCTCACTGGAGTGCTGTCAAAAAGGCCCTCACAGAGGTAAGTTTGTATTTTGCAAAGTTACGTTTATATGTCAGTAATGATTTGAAGCATCACCTTTGTTTTGTCAAAAGATTTTGACTGAGGAGCAAACATCTGACTTTATTCCTACTGTGGAATGCAGTGAGCAGGCTGAAAATATTTACACTGAAATAAATATTAGCAGCACAATCTTTTCTTTATTTACTCAGAGTAAATTACCATCCTAATTTCTAGCATGATCTTGGAACAGTATTGCTGAAACTTTCAGCAGCAGACATTTCATTAAATGTTTAAAAAAAATGAAAATGGGACAACTTCATTAATTACCTGGGAAAGTGAATGAAAATAGGATAATAAAGCAATCTGGAGGCTGGGCAGAATAAACAGAAGGATAGCACTAGAAAAAGAAAATGGGGCAGCAGGTGCAGAAAACACAGGCAGAATGGAAGAAGCTATCTCCTTAGCAGGCATCTCACTGAGTATCTTTTGCCATATCCACTGTTGGGAACAGAAGTAAATTGAAAATCAGCAAATCTTGGATAGATCTTGATATCTTCCCTGGAACTGCAGCAGAGTGGAGTGACATTGGTCAGGACATCGAGATAATTAATGCCACAATATAAAGTGGGTTGCCTTCTCCACATTTCCACGAGCAACCGTAGTTTGCTCATGAAGCTCTAAATACTTTTTTTTTTTTTTTGCTATCTTTTCCATTCTACTGACTCAGACAAGCCTTTCCTTAATAAAATATCTGTCTAAATGAACAGCATAATACCTTAGATGCCCTGACAAGTATGGGAGCCGTGCCTGCTGGATTTCGACCTTCAACTCTTGCACAGTTCTTGGATGAAGGTAGGTCTTCAAAATTATTCCACTAAATCTAAATCAGGTCTGATGCTTCTAAGGAGAACTGAAACTTGATAGGACAACATTAAATATTATATAACGATATTAAAGAATGTTATCACAGATTGTTGGCTTTAATGCTATTTGAATTGATTTATTATTATTCCCTTTAGACTTTGGACAGCCATAGTGATAGAAATTATATAACAGCATTTTAAATGCCTCCTTCCTATTAAAACAAGATAGTTTAAAGTGTCTATTTTACAGTATAAACTGAATGAAATAAAAACATCTTTGAAAATATATGTCAGTTAGCTAAATATGTTAAGTAATTGAGATATGAGATTCCTTCTCATAATTTGGTTCCAGATCTCAGCTTCATTGTTAAAAAAAGCTATTATCTGTGATTCAAGTCATGCTATTTAGTTTATAAATTAAAAAAAGCATAGCTTCACGTTTGAAAATTCTAACTATTAAACCCTATCAAATACTATGTACCCAGTAAGCATAAAAGGTGAAGGGAAATCAACCCAATTTAATGTGTTTATCTATTTTTTTTCCCTAGGAAATCAATTTCAGGCATCTTCATTCCTACAACCAGTGCTTACACCTTCCAACCTTTCTTTCCAAGATCTAGTTTGGAGCCCTGAAAAAGGCAGTGTAAGTACTTGTTCTTAAGAAGGCACCTAAAGGCTAGTGTCTTCAAGATAACATATGATGAAGAAATTGTGTGTAATGGTGCAAAAGTCTGGGTAGACTGTCATAAAGTATATAATAACATTACAAAGCAGTACTAAAGGACTCAGATGCTTTTACCTGAATTTACAGGGAGTGAGAACAAAGAGGGAGTTCTAGTACAAGCAGGCAAACATTGTTGATATTATGGAATCCTGGTGGAATGGAAGTCATAATTTGAATGTAGTACTGGAAGATTATATAAGGATATAAGTACTGGAAGGATATTGGAAGGACAAAAAAATCAGACCCAAGAAAAGGGAAAGGTGATGGCATATATAGAAATAACTATAGGGAAATTTGTGACACCAAAAATGAAAAGCCTGCCATAAATGTCTGAGTGAATATATGGAAAAAGAAACATTGATACTGTTGTACGTGTGTACTACGGATCACCCAATCAGCCAAACATATAGATGAACTCATCACAAATCAGGTGGCCATAATATGTCTATGAAACATAAACTGTGGTAATGGTGTGTGTCAACTACCTACCATCAATTGGGAATCAAACTCTGTAGCAAATGGGAGATCCAACAGGTTCTTTCAGATGACTTTATCATACAAAGGGTGGGGAAAGGAACCAAGGAATTAGCTGTACTGGATTTAACACTTATTAATGTGGATGTAAAGTTTGAGGAAGTGGAAGTTATAGGAACTTCGGGAGAGGTTGACCATGTGATCCTGCAATTCATCATACTGCAGACAGGGAGAACTGAAGGTAGTCACATTAGCATTCTAGACTTTAGGAAAGCTCATTTCCAGTAAGGGAATAAATATGAAAGATTCCATGCATGAAAATCCTAAAGGGGAAAACAGTTCAGGAAAATTGGGAGACTCTGAAAAATGAGATAATAAAGGCCCAAATACAAACACTACCAGATAGAAAGAAAAATGGGAGACAGTGGTGAAGCAATGTGCTTGCATAGAGAACTCTCTGATAAACACACAGAATAAGTTTAAAAAAATATAAACAAGGACATGTAGCAAAAACTGTATCAAGAAATAACCTAAATCTAAGGATGGTGTGAGGAAGTCTAAGTCTGAGTTAAGCTTGAAATGAATGCAAAAAATAACAAAAATAATTCTTTGGTATATAAGGTCTGAATTATAAGCTGCCCAAAGTCATTTACTGAGATGGGTGGCCATAGAAATTCAATGAACAAATGAATGAATGTGCAAAACAAGGTCCCAAAGATGCTTTTTCACAAGGCTACTGGACTTTCTTGGTTTTTTTTGAAGACGTTTCGCTTTCATCCAAGCGAAAGTCCAGTTGCCTTGTGAAAAAGCATCTTTGGGATAACTATGACCTGGATGACTGAGAATTTCCATAGACATCGTGCAAAACAAGGAGAAAGTCAAGGAAATGGTCAGTCTGCTGATAGAAAGAATGGCAACATGATGATGGACAACAGAGAGAAGGCTGGCCTGGTTAACTCCAATTTTGCCTCTGTCTTTTTTCAAAAGGAAAAAGTGACTCAATCTTTTAAAAGTTGCAACCGGAAGTTGCATCATGTTGGATAGAAGAGAAATGAAGGTCAAAACTAGGAAGTAGTGAAAAAACATCTGGTTGCTCTGAATAAATTCAGCTTGTCAGGGCCAGATGAAATATAGACCAGGGTTGTAAAGGAACGAGTGGATTGGTTCTCAGAGCCATAGACTGCAGCCTTTGAGGATTGGAGTACAGGGAAAGTGCCAAACTGAAGTATAGGGAAAGTGCCAGAAGATTGGAGAAGAGCTAACATTTCAGACCTTAAAAAAGAAAAAAAGTGAATCCAACAAACTACAGACCAATCAGTTTGACATTAATGTCTAGGAAAATCCTACAAAATATTGTCAAGTAGTGGGTTTGCATGCATTTAGAAAGTAAAAAGGTGATTAGTAAAAGCTAGTATAGGTTTGTAAACATAGATCCTGCTAGACAAATCTTACTCCTTTTTTTTTTTTTTTTTTTTGACAAAGTGATTAGACCAAGTGAGTGCTGGGGACATAGTGTACTCAGATAGTTTAATCTACTAGTCATGCATAGTGAGATGGGTGGCATTTAAATTTAATAAATAAATGCACAAATCTGTTAAGACTATATGTGCCCTAGGAAGAACGTATGTTTCTTTTTATGGATAACCATATGAATAAAATTAAGAATTAAACTTATCTTTCCAGTCAAAGAGGAAGCTTATCATCAAGTTGATAAGCAGTAGGAAAAACTCGAATGAATTTAGAGAAAGACCAAATTGGGATACAGATTGAAAATATTCAGAATTGGTGATTGGTACTTGAGAATCTTTGTCAGTTTGAAAAATCTGTTATGTAGCTCTTAAGTACACTCTCTCTTCATTTAACAACTGCAATCTAGTTCAGTGACTTTGTTATTAAGTGAAATAGTTGCTAAATGAATATGTGATACAAAGACCAGTGTGAAGATCACTGATTGCTGCTGTCTTGTACAGATAAAGTTCTTTTGAACAATGTTCTATGCATGACATGCTTTTTTCCAAATATTTTTAATGGTTGGTCCTATTTTATCTATTTCAGATTCAACCAAGACCAACTCGGATAGCCCTAGTTATGACTTTATGGAACTGCAAAGGCATTCCTTTTCCTGGTATTAGTATACAAGTCCTCAGTAGACATATCCGACTCTGCCTTTTTGATGGCAACCGGGTAAGTTGAACATGTTTACCAGTTTTTTTTCTGTACATGTTGCTGTTAGGATGTCACATTGAGTAGATTTAAGTCTTTCCTTCTATCAGAGTTTTCAGTGACTGATATGATGCTCTTTATGTAGCTAAATATCAATAAAGTGATTCACCTGACTATAAAAATAATTGAAAAGATCTTTCACCATTTTATGTTAAATGGGATCCATAATTTTAATTCACTTGAACTGATAGAGAAAGCTGATACTCTAAACCAGGCATGTCAAACTTGTGACATCACGTGACGTCGTGCAATGTATTGGGCCGGTTTTGCCATTGCTGGCAATGGGGTGGGTGCGGCTTCCACGTGACGTGTCCGGCCTGTGGGTCAGCAGTTTGACACCCCTGTTCTAAACCAATACTGAGTAATTGGAGTGTTTTCTTTACTATCATTTCATTATTATAAAGGTTTTTTAAAAAGGAAGATAAAAACTAGTACAAACTAATATAAAGTAAGAAAAAGCAATAGAAGAGCAAGCTAAAAGTGTAAGAAAGGAAAAAAAGTAAAAGAAAAATAGAAAAGAAAGAAAAAGGATATCCTAAGTAGCTTCCAAACTTCTTTACATCATAAATACAATTACAAATTTACTTCTTACTTTATGATTATAATGTAGCTTTCTTCTTTCTGTAATCTGTCCTGTCTAACCATCAAAACTATAAATCATAAATTATTATTTTTTCTGCTTAATGCAAATAGTTCATGAGGGGTTTCCAGTCAGCAATAAACACAGATGTTGTCTTTTCTTTGATTGAAGAAGTCAATTTAGCCATCTTAACAAATCACATCACCTTCACTAACTATTTCTCTATTGTGGGTGTGCTGAATCTTTCCATTGTCATGCATATAATAATCTTGCTGCTGTTATCAAATAGAAAAATAAAATTCCATGACTTTTTTCCAGTTGTTTGTTTATCAATCCCAAAAGAAAAGCCTTGGATTTCAACTATATATTAGTCTTTAAAATCCTTTGAATTAGTGAATGAATTCAGAATTTTCTTTTTCTTTTTGACATGGCCACCCAACACGATAAAGATGATATCCTTTGTTTTTCAAATTTCCAATATAAATTTGGCCTTTATAAATTGTAGACAGTTTCTCTGATGATATATACCAAGGTACATTATTTTTTAAAAGTTCTATTTAAGATTGTAACATAATGTAAAATTCAGTCCTTTCAATCACATGCTTTTCCATTGATTCATTTAACTAAAACTTTTAGCCTACTTTATCATACATTCTTTCACTTGTTCTTCTGTTTCAAATTTCAGTGAAAGTTCACACATTTAGCAATTATATGTTCATCATTTGAATATAATTGAACTTTCAAATTCATTCTTATAGTGTTCAAAACCATAAACTGTTGTCTACTTTAAATCTTTCTAATAACTGCCTATAACTATATCCTTTTGCCACCAGTTTTTTTCTTGATGTTATGTTGCATTCCCCTTATTACTTCATTATTTTAGATGCACTAGATGCAGTGGGCTTTCCCTTTGCTTTATGTTATTCTAGATTCTGAGCAACATTCATACTGTAAGAGCTACATGGCAATCAAAAAACCCCAAAACATGGACGTTTTCTCCAAGGGTATGTATAAAGTGTACTTTAGATAGATTTGGTATGGTGTATTTTACCTGCCGAGAAGATTTGGCGAATATGATAGTATTGTATCTGATATTTTTATTAGTTTTTAAGAATATAAAATACAAAGAAATATGAAAATAATGGGGAAAGAGAGGGAAAAAGGGGAAGAGGAAAAAGTGTAGGGAACGGGGAAAAGGGGAAAAAAAAAGCATTGATTTCTGACTCCTTTTGGCACAGTTGAATAAGGTACAGCCTCTACTTTTACATAATATATACTAGCCATTTCTATATGTTTGTTGTTGTTAGTTGCAAAGTTGTGTCCAACCCATCGCGATCCCACGGACAACATTCCTCCAGGACTTCCTGTCTATATGTTATGTTTCACTAAATATTATACAGTTAAACAGAGTTGTTTAAACTGTGTCCCATGGAACCCTAGGATTCTGTGATAGTTTGATGGGGCTCTTTGGGAGATTGTTTCTGTGCACCTTTACTGGGCAGCTGTGTAGAGAATGCCGTACAGATTTCTTGGCAACTTTTTGGGAAAATATTTGCTTTTGCCTTCTTCCTAGGCCAGAGAGAGTGACAGGCCCAAAGTTTCTAATCTAAATCTGGGCTGGAACTCTATTCCGATTTCTAGCCTGATACCTTAAAACAACCTGGCTCTTTTTATGAGAAACTAAGGGCAAATGTTTACAAGACAGATTTATACAGAATTTTAAAAGTATTTTAAAAAAATAGATCATTTTGTTTTGTTTGTTTGTAGGTTACTGGCATTTTGCCCTGTATTCTTGATGGTGATTGTTTCATTAGATCTAATAATCCATCTCCAGATATTGGACTATTGTTTGAACTTGGAATCACCTATCACAATGTAAGTTCAGAAAGATGACTCAGTATATGAAACTCTATTAGTAGACTGTGTTGGGTGGAAAAACAAAAGGATTAGCAAGAGGAGTGTTTGGCATGATAATCCATAGGAATGAAATAGGAGTAGATTTCAGTATTTTAAAAATCCACTTCTTTTGCAGCTGGCACAATTTAATATGTGCTCTTTGTAATTTTTTTCATGGAATGGTCAAGCAGCTTATTTTTTAGGTGCTTTGTCTTGAGATTAAACATCTTAGACATTAGGGCTTTTAGCAGATTAAATAAAAATGATACAATAAGAGTAAAAAGGGTCTAGTTATATAAACAAAAATTAAGCAATGATAATGGCCATCAAGATATCCTCATTGCCACCTTTGTTCTTGTTGGTCATGAAATATCAAAAACTGTTTATAGTATTATGTGAAACTCCCTGTACCTGATACTTTGTTATTTCTAGAATGACTAGTCACTTGGGATTGCAGTGAGGTTAGAAATAGGTTTGTGTTAAGTATCACAATCTACATTCTACATTCCGTACTAGTTTGCTTCACAAAACACACTATGCTAAAATGTAATGAATGAATGGTCTGTCCGAATATGTAGGCTTGATTATCTTCTTAATAGTAATAGCCAGTATTCTTCTGAGTAGTTTTTCTCTTGGTCATGATTTGTTTGCATAGTTAACAGTATTGAATAACAACCTGACATTGGTATGTAAATGAGAGGAAGGGAAGCCTATCATTTACAAGCTTTCTATTTAGGGAGATTGTGAATCTAATATTCAGTGTGGACATACTTTACATCTTTTGGGGGCAAAAAGATCAGGAAATCGCATTCCTACTTTTAGTGGGGTAATCTGAGAACACTTTAAGGGTTGCAAAATGGGGTTGGGGGTTGTAGCCATCAACAGACATAGTGCAAGTGTTGCAGATCTGAGATTGAATTGTGCCTAATTAAGTTACCTTCTAATTTCATTCTCATTCTTTTCTAGTCAACAGGTGAGAGAGGAGAATTAAGCTGTGGTTGGGCATTTCTAAAACTCTTTGACTCAAGTGGACTTCCAACTCCTTCCAAGTAAGTTTTTTTTGTGAAGAGTGAGAAAAGGTGGAGCCATAATAAGAAGACAATTCAGTTGATAAATGTTGTTGAATTTCCTTTTTGTAGTCTTGTACCAGATGTGAAAAAATATCGCATCAGTTAACCCAGAAATTCCAGTATTCAGAACTGCAAATGTTACAAGTATAAATCACATGTTTATTGCTCATAGGTTGGAGGAACTGACTTGTGCTTTATTTAGGTGCCCTGGAATCTCCTAACTAATATTATATGCGGAGATTTTTGCTCAAGAATGAAGAAAATCCTCAATTGTTTCCTGCTATTAGACTCTGAAATATTTGTAGACATGCAAATATCAGTGTAACAAATGCAATTTATGAGTAGCAAAAACCTTGGGTGTACAAAGTATATATTGATCTGAAATTCCCTCCTGCATTCCCTTTGAACTAAGCGTTGGACTAGATGACCTCCAAGGTCCCTCCATCATCATCATCATTAGAATTAGAATTAGAATTACTAATCATAGGGTCTCACATAGCTTCCCTAAGCTTTTTTTTAAAAATGTGTCTCTTTAAGACAAGTATGAATTGTATTGATTATGCTGACATTTCCTTTTCTGTAATATCTTGAAACTCAAGATCTTGGTCACTTCCTGTCATGGTTTCCAGTGCTTTTATCTCTTTGCCAGATGATCCCTGTAGATTAAGAACAAATCTAATTCCCTTATTTTTGTTTCAACTTTTTGGGAAATGAAGTGAACAAGATGACAGAGGAATTTTGGCTGAGGTGATTTTCCAGCAAATATATAGGTATTAGCCTTTTATGATAGACCAAATCAGGAAACATTTGCCACAAGAAATATTAGAATTCTATTGGTATGAATTATAAAAAAAGATTCTTCAAACCTGACAGCATTTCTCCTTTTTCCCCTCTTATACCAAAGAAAAGTTGAGTAATCAAGTTACTGCTTATACTCTTCAAGGCTATTTCCATACTTCTCTGCACTAGACCAGGGGTAGGCAACCCAAAACACTCAAAGAGCTACTTGGACCCGTTTCCCACCAAAAACAAAACACCGGGCGCCGCAAAACCCTTTTGATATATAAAATGAAGATAACACTGCATATATCCTTTTTTACCTTTATTATAGGTGTGTGTGTGTGTGTGTTTGTGTATGTGTGTGTGTGTGTGTACACACACACACACACACACACACACATTAAAAATAAAAGTAAAAATATGACTCTTGGGAATATCCATACTATTAAAACAATGATCACCAAGAGAATGCTTTAAGAGAATAAAATTACATACACACACAGGTAAAAAAAGGATATATGCAGTGTTATCTTCATTTTAGATGTCAAAAGGGTCTCTCTCTCTCTGTCTCTCTCCCTCCCTCCCTCTCTATCTGCCCTTGGTCTACCACTCCTCTTCCCCCCCACACACACACTCTCTCCCTCCCTCCCTCTCTCTTTCTCCCCCCTCTCCTATCTGCTGCTCACCTGGCAAGCTTCAAGCTGTTGTCCAACAAGCTCAGGGGTAGAAAACCTCGTCTCTTTTATGACTCATGGACTTCAACTCCCAGAATTCCTGAGTCAGCCTAGCTGGGCTAGCTAGCTCTCTCCTGCCCTTCCTGCTTCCTGCAGAGACGCAGCAAAGGGAGGAGTCCGCCCAGTAAGCTTTTTAGCTCGTCGGAGAACACTGTGAGTCCACTCTCTTTTTTACACACACACACACACACACACACACAGAGAGAGAGAGAGAGAGAGAGAGAGAGAGAGAGAGAGAGAGAGAGAGAGAGAGAGAGAGAAAGCAGGGAAGCGCAATTGCCTCTCTCTGTCTCTGTCTCTCTCTGCAAAGGCAGAGGAGGCTGGGAGCCACAGGGGAAGGCTCAAAGAGCCGCATGCAGCTCCGGAGCCGCAGGTTGCCGACCTGTGCACTAGACAGTTGAAATTTCCCATTATTACTGTGTGTCTCCTGGTTGAAACATGTATAATCTAGTCCAGGAGGACATCATTCAGATCTTTTGTTGGCATGACTCTAGCACACTCTGTCTTGATAGAAAATCAGGCCAACAGATTGGTGATTCAATCCACTGAGTTGCCGTCTGTCACTTCCTCTTGTTCAGTGCAGAACAGGAATTCATTTCTGGCAGAGCTTACTCAGTAATTTTCTTTAGACATTGCTGCTTATAGCAGCTGCTGTTTACCCAGAGGTCTAGAATCATCAGCAATGGGAGGTCTCTGACTTCTGTTCTGAAGCTCCAGAGAAAAGTTCTACTTGACAGGCTTGGTGCTTTGTGTTATGTTTTTCTATCCCCCTACACATACACATACACACACACACACACACAACTTTACCTTTTCTGTTTCCTGTGTAGTTTCTTGGTAATATTGTCCCGGTTCAGGTACTTTCTCTGCCCAATTTAGAAACAACTCATCTTCCCTGATAAGATGGATAATGGATATGTCTTTCCTAGCCCCTTCATCTTTCTTCCACAAAGATAGTCAGCCTCCATTTTCAGCATATGTATGTTTTGTCACCTTCAGGGAGGAAAACAAATATGACATATCCCCCCTGCGCTTGAGACCCGTTCCCTCCATTTCCATCTTCTTCTTTGACCTCTTCCACTGAACTCTTACCAAATCCTATTTGCTCTTTTTTGTCACTCACTCAGTGATGTTTTATATATTCAATTTTTTTCTGCCAAGAAGTATGAAGATACATCAGTATGCATTCTTATCTTTTCTTCTGACAAACTTTATTAAACCAGCTTCATTCAAATTGATTTAGTATTATTTTACATTCAATATAATTAAAGCACACGTTCGCACACCCCAAAACTGACTAATTCTTCTTCATTATTTCCTTTTCCCACCCAAATATGATGATGGTTTCTGCATTCCATGAACTCAGTCCAGGGAAATTGACATACCGAGATCTCTCAGCTAGGCTTGGCTATTGTCACAAAAAACATTTTTTTTCTAAGGCTTGTACTAAATATGTGTTGTATGGTCTAGTTTTAATAATGTCATGTGATAGGTATGCAGCCCTTTAATAGTTTCTAAGGGTGTTAATCTTGCTAATCAAGTCTTACTGCTTGAAAGATGTTAAAATAATATGGTCTGAGAATATGCCAGCTAGAAATAGATAATAAGTTCCTTTTTTTGAAGAGTTTACTGTATTATTGTGTTATTCCTAATTTGTAATATTATTGCCTGAAGTCATAAATAAAACTCCTTTGTGTTAAGCAATTTTTTTTAATATACACAGACAATCTATATTGTCAATTATTCTAATAAGGGAGGTCTGCCTTGAAGTCTGTAAACATGTTTGTTAATTTTTATTACATTCTTCAGTTTAAACATCTTTAAGTTACATTCCTGTGCTATAGGGATTACATTTTCCCATTGCAGGGAAAGGAAATTCTGTGTTCTTTGATCGTGCTTCTAGGTAATACACAATAGAAATTATATTTTTAATTACAGTTCATGGTATGAAAAAGCCTACATTGAAATCAAAAGATTTCAGATTATTTTTATGTATTTAGATAGTATGTGGCCTTCTCTGGGAGAAAGAATAATGTACAAATATAATAATATTTATTTTATGCTATATTGATAGTTTCTAAGAAAATGGCATGGTTATTTTTATTTAGAGTCTGAAAATAATGCTTGCCATGTGGTTCCTTGACAAAGAACTGAAGTCCTAGTCCAATATAAGTCCAGAATTCTGCATGTGGATTCTTTGATGCCCAGCACCTATGACAATAATTTACATTTGGAGCCATGTATTTTAATTTTTTAATTTTTGGAACATTATAATTAAAAATTACAGCCCTGAGCTTCACAGTCTTTTGATAATAGTTAAAGTTATACTTGATGTTAAATGAGTAGAAATCCACTCCTCCAATGAGACTTTATTTTTTTCACCATTTTATTTTGCAGATATATCCCAAATCTATTCCAGAAGGTTTTCATTCCCCCCCCCCCCAACAAATTTGAATCGGGATAGCTGGAGGAAATTCTGTCCCTCCAGCAAATACCATTGTTTAGAATCCTTAATCAGGAAGCAATCTTGTCTAGAAAAATGGGTTGCGCCAGAAGAAAAATACTGAACAGGAAAAGATTCCAAGAGCTTACCGTAGTAGAAGTAAAAGAGATATATTGCCTATAAAATACTTGGTTTGCAATAGTAGCAGCTTTTTGAGAAGCAGGCACATAGTGAATTTTTCTTGCTCCAAATCATGTGCTTCCTTGAAAAGCACTGCTATATAAGTGTTTGTGTATAGTTTTATACACCACTGAGTAACGGTGGCACATTGGTTAAAATGTAATATTGCAGGCTAACTCTGCCCATTGCCAGGAGTTCAATCCTGACTAGCTCAAGGTTGACTCAGCTATCCATCCTTCCAAGGTTGGTAAAATGAGGACCTAGATTGTTGGGGGCAATATGTTGACACTGTAAACAGCTCAGAGAGTGTTGTAAAAACACTATGGAGCAGTATGTACTGTAAGTCCATGTGCTATTGTTATTGTTATTTATAATTGATGAAGTTTTTTTCTGTACAGATTTTCTATAATCTGGAAATATTTTTCTTTTTTTATATCTGCCAGTTTTAATAATTTCACTTTTCTTATGCTTCTGGGTGGCTGGACTAGAAGACCTTCAAGGACCCTTCCAGCTCTATTCTATTCAGTTCTAAACCTAAAATCAGAATAATAATAATAATTACATCTGTAAAGAGCTTTTTTGTGAGGAGGAAACTTCTTTTTCTGATTGGCTTAATTTAGTGTTACCATATTTCCAGTGAAAACATTTTTGTGTGTGTAATAAAAGTGACCAAAATGTTCTCCTTGCTCTCAACTTAAAGATAAAATTCTAACTACTACAAAGTGACTAGTAGAAGCTGAAGTTTACAAACAAATTTCAGTTTGTAGCTCCCCTTAAATCCAAAAACAGGCTTGGGAGTACTAGAAAACGATTTCATTACCATTTACCACCAAGTCTGGAGCACTAATATAACAACAAGAATTTTTATAGCTGACATAATTCAGTCATTATTATTAGATTGGTGTTTATATATTAAATGTATTCATGTTACTTTTTAAAAAGTTACTTAAAAAACTTTTTAACTTAAAAATCATTTTGCAATATTTATAAAAAAATAGAATGAAATAGGATAAAAATAGATAATTCACTACTGATTGATTACCTAGCACAAATTTTCCTAAATTAGGACACTAATAAAATGAGAGCTTTCTTTTATACCTATGTACAAATTCAAAGTTACAGGTTTCCTTTGTCACAACCAATCTGATCCTTTCATTCCCAGTTTTTGTCATGTCAGACATGTTTTATAAAAAAGAAGTTAATAAGATAAATTAATAAATAAACTAGAATAGAACTAAAAACAAAAGTAAATTTAGTTCAAAAGAGCTTTGCTTTAAATGTCACCAATAAACGCACCTAAGGTGTATGTATGACATCAGAGATGTCTTTCAAGATTCAACTGGTGATTTAGGGCATAATTCAGAGAACTGTGCAGGTATTGCATGCCAAATAGAAATTCCAGCGTAAAAATTACTTTTGAAATGAAAAAATGGCTTAAATCCACATTTTAGAGTTCAGTGTGAATGTGACAGGCTTTAAAACACTGGAAGTTTTTAAGAAGAGACTGGACAGCCATTTGTCCAAAATGGTGTAGGGTTTCCTGCCTGAGCAGGGGGTTGGACTAGATGACCTCCAAAGTCCCTTCCAACTTTACTACTACTACTAGTATTATTATTATAAAAATAAATATTCCACTTGGGTATAGCCCAGTGGTTTTCAATCTTTTTAATGCCGTGACGCCCAAACGGTCGTAAGTTGAGGACTACTGAACTGGTGCAGCACCGTTTGTCGGGCTCAGCAGGGCAGAGACAGCCTGGACAATTCCTATTGGCTTTTGAAAGCCAATAGAATTAGACTCTATTCAAGAGAGTCTACTCTATTGGCTTTCAAAAGCCAATAGAATAAAAGGGAGTAGCACAACTAAGGAAAAGGGAAAAAAAATGGTGGACTGCGTTGTTTGGCGACCCCCGTGAAATGGTCGTTCGACCCCAAATGGGGTCCCGACCCACAGGTTGAGAATCACTGGTATAGCCTTTCCTAAACAGAGAAGAGAATGGGATGCAGAAGCTTGAGACATTTCTGAAAATCAAGTTCAGATAGCTTTTGTGAGTGAAAGCATTACCTAGATTTTAGGAATCTCCTTTTTTTTCTCTCATAGCCCCAAGGAACTCTGTCCTGCCAGGGGAAGAATGCAGTGAGGATATTGTTTAATTCAGTGTGCAATACAGCGTATCAGGAGGGGAATATTATATAAATATATAAATGAGATTTTAGTAGTAGTAGTAGTAGTAGTAGTAGTAGTAATAGTAAAGTTGGAAGGGACCTTGGAGGTCATCTAGTCCAACCCCCTGCTCAGGCAAGAAACCCTATACCATTTCGGACAAATGGCCATCCAGTCTCTTCTTAAAAACTTCCAGTGTTGGAGCATCTACCGCTTCTGGAAGCAGGTTGTTCCACTGGTTAATTGTTCTAACTGTCAGGAAGTTTCTCCTTAGTTCTAGGTTGCTTCTCTGCTTGATTAGTTTCCATCCATTGCTTCTTGTCCTGCCTTCAGGTGCTTTGGAGAATAGCCAGACTCCCTCTTCTTTGTGGCAACCCCTGAGACATTGGAACACTGCTATCATGTCCCCCTCGTCCTTCTCTTCATTAAAAAAATTAAAAATCTTTTACATGGTTATAGTAATTATGTTTATGGAATCGTCAAGAATATGCCAACCCACAAAAAAGAGGAAAAAGTTGTCAATTAAATTTATCATGTAGGATTCACCCTGGCTGGGTGCTGAAAGAAAAGAAAAAGCAATAAATTCTCCTCCCCTTTTACCTATATATAAGAAAGAAGAAAAAGCAATCAAAAGGTTGTGCTAAATATTACACTAATCTTCAAATCTCTCCGTTAAACATCTGTTATTATATTTAGCACATAGAAAGTCCACAAATGGTTTCCAATCTCTTGTAAAGCTGTCCAGTCCATTATCTCTAATCAAAAGTAGTTAATTTCACCATCTCTGCCTATTCAGTCAGTTTCAAAATCCATTCTTCAACAGTTGGCATCTCTTTTTCTTTCCAGTGTTTGGCAAGTAGAATCCTCACAGCTGTCACCATGTGAAGGAATAGCACCCCAAATTGTTTTCCAATTGACTTGTCTATCATTCCTAAAAGAAAAACTTCAGGTTTCATTGATATTTGTATCTTAAATATTTTTTGCATTGTCATTGTTATGTTTATCCAGTATGTTTTTACATATTTGCAAGACCACCACATACCACATATGATTGGATAACCTTTATTAGATTAGATAACTTTTATTGCCATTTTTTTTACTGTGGGCACAACGACGCACATTAAAAATGAAAACAAAACTTTTTAAATCAAGTTTAAAACTTTCAAAAATTCTATAATAATTAAACCAGATGAGCCGAGGTGGCGCAGCAGTTAGAGTGCAGTACTGCAGGCCACTTTAGCTGACTGTGTTCAACAGGTCAGCAGTTCAAATCTCACCGGCTCAAGGTTGACTCAGCCTTCCAACCTTCCGAGGTAGGTAAACTGAGGACCCAGATTGTTGGGGGCAATGTAAATATATATATACATTGCTTACTGGTGTACACCGCTTAGAGAGTGCTTGCACTTAAAGCGGTATATAAGTCTCATAAATAAATAAACCAATCGCAAGCAAATCCTTCACTTACTAGTTGTTCTCTTGTCTTCATCTTAAATCCCCCTTTTTCAAATATCAGTAAGTCTCGATATGTCACCCATTTACATTCCAAAATCATCTCTGTTCTACCGGTATGTAGTGCTTCATGAGATGATAGCCAAAGTAACACTTTACCAGCTAATCTTTTATATTCCACCATACACGTGCAATCGATTGCCTAATAGCATGAGTCTTAAAACCAGGGTTAACTTTTACTTTGTCATACCAGAGATAGGCATGCCACCCAAATCTCAAATCAAAACCTTTGAGATCTAACAGCCCTGAATTTTTTAAAGTTATCCAATCTTTTAATCATACCAAACAACAAGCATCATAATATAATCTAAGATTCAGCAAACTCAGACCTCCTCTATCTTTAGAATCTTGTAGCTACTTATATTTAATTATTGTTTTTTTTATTTTGCCAAATAAATTTAGATATATCTTTCTGCCACTGTTTGAAAGTGGAATCTCTAATCAATATAGTTATAGACTGAAATTCTAGGTAATATATTCATTTTAATTATTAAAATTCTTCCTATTAATGACAAATCTAATTTTGTCATCTATTTAAATCCAATTTTATCTCCTTCCATATTTTATTCTAATTATTTTTGTAAAACTTAGAATTTTCCTCAGTAAGAGGTACACCCAAGTACTGTACCTTTTTTGCAACTTTAAAACCAGTTTTAAATTCTAATTTCTTCTGATCTTCCATCTTTATGTTCTTAGTCAGTATTGTTGTCTTTGATTTATTTATTCTTAAACCCACCATTTCTCCAGACATTTTAATCTTCCTCATAACATGTTCAGTGTTCTCTAGCTAGTCTTGCACAATACCAAATTGTCGGCAAATACATATGCTTTGTAATTATGCACTTTAATTTGACCATTTTTCCTCTGTTTTTTGTACACTATTTTTTTCTTTTTTGTTATTAGGATTGAATGTATACTTTTGTTTCATTTCATTTGTTTTACTATTTTGTATTTTATTTCCTATGATAAACCAATACATTCATAAACAACAAAAGAATAAGTCAACACAATTCATTAAGTCTTCCTAGTGCAAGAAAAAAACACATTTTTCCTATATTTTCAATCCTCTGCTAATTCAGAAGAAATGTAAGTTACAGAAGAATTACTATTTTCCTGTATTATGTATCATTTAAATATTTTGCAGAACATATGAGCTGCTTTTGAATGGTGGGACTCCATATGAAAAAAGGGTGGAAGTGGACCCCTCAGTTTCAAGGAGAGGTATAATTTATTTTATATCAAAATAAAAAAGCAAATGAAAGTTCTCAGTTTACAAAGTCAGAAATCCTATTTGAATTTTATTGTTAGATTTGGAAACATCTAATGTGGCAGTAAGCTCAGATTAAATGGGAATTGAAAGCAAAACTCTCAGCTCTCTGTCATTTGTATATAATTTAAGAGCAACAAATATTGGTGATAGAAACAGAAAATTATTACTGAAATAAAACCATTTGTAAAGAGTAGATGAAAATGCAATGTTATATCAAGCAGCAAAAATCATCAAGAAAAGAGTGATTTAAAGAGTGATTTCTTAACAGAATAGCAGTATGTTTGTATTCTATCTATAGAGATAAAAGGGGCTGAAATATATGACTAGAATAATTTAAAACAAAACAAGCCTGAAGATAATGAAATCAGAATAAAATATCATATTAGGTTGAGAAATTGCTGACAACAGGAAAAAAAAACAATTTATGGGGATTCTTCTATCAGTATGTTTGACTGTATGTATTGCTTCTTTTACTAAAGCCAGCAGCAATGTTTTTCATCATATAATAACACTGAGGAAGCAGCCACAACTTCTATTAAAACTGAGGTCTATTAGCACAAGATCGAAAGGCATAATGAAGTAAGTGAACACTACTTACTAGTTACTAGTTATTTTGTGGCTTACCTTTTACTGTGTAAATAGATAATTTGTTATGCCTACAATTTCACACCATCAAAATCAGTTTTGAGATTTTTCAGATCATGTTGAAAGCCTCATAACTTGAAATAAAGCTCTGCAATAAATGTAACTGGCTCTATTATTACATATAAAATACTAAATGTCTTTTGTTATCAAATGTCAACTGTCTCAAGGTTACTAAATGTATAAAAGCAATTAAAATGTACAAATTAAACAATTAAAAATATTCAAAAATGATTCATGAATATAGTATCTCTCTCTGTTTCCTTAAAGTAACTTTTTTTTCTAACTTCTAACTCTGAAAAATGGTGCTACTGTTTTAATAGTTGTATTAACTTTTAGGAGTCAGGATATTTTAAAGCAGTATCAGCTATTCATATTCCTTTAATGAATAACAGAAAAGTGTTATGTTTTGACTAAGTATAAAATACTTCTTCCAAATTTCTTCTAAAGTGTGTCCAGCTGTAATAAATGGTGCCATCAAATAATAGTGGAAAAAGAATGAAGTATCTCAAATTGTGAACCAGAAGAAAAAATAGAGGAAGCTTCCATGATAAAATTAAGTCAAATCAGTATAATGCAAAAAGACAACAGTGTTTAATTAATCAATTGAATTGAACAATTAAAAACATTTTAATAAAAAATATTCTTAGTAAATAGGTTTGCATATTTAAAAGCAAATAAGTACAAGAACAAAATACTCTTCTTGGATTATGTGATATATGTTGCTCTGAGAGAGATAACTGGTCTCTAAATAAGTTAAATAAAATAAAATATAGAAATCTAATTCTTTTTAATAAATAGTACTAGCCTGATGAGATTTGATGACAGTTTTTTTCATGCACAAGAAATTAAACATGTTGAAAGAAAGAAAATTTTATATTATCTACCTTACTGGGAGCAGGGTGTTTATAGTTTTCAAAAGGTAATCTAGAAAAAAGCATTATAGTTAGATCTTGATTAATAGAAATGCTTTGGAATTTTCTGAATTAAATGTTTTTTTTTTAAAGTTGAATTATTTGTTTCTATGTTTAATGCCAAAATCACTAATTGATTGCCATAGCAATCATTCAGATCCGGTCAGAAAGAAAGTTTATATTATGATGTGTCCAAATATCACTTGAGATTATGCCTAAAATGCATGCTGTATTTTTTATTTTTTAATTAGCCTATTACCAGAAGTATTAATTGGCAGCATGTGCTATATGCATCTCATACTGTTTTATCGTCAGATCCTTGGTGATGTACTCTTGAAAAACAGACCAAATATGCAACATGCAGGTAAGAGTTGCAGCTTTGAAGAGCAGAAAATACAGCAAATACTTTCAATATTCAGGCTTGGATTGGAGATGCTTCCAAGATAAAAAGATGTTGTCCCAGTGATATTTCATGCAGTCTTATAAAACATATTTCTTTTGCTTTTGGTTGGCTATGGTCATTTATTTTTAATGTTGTAACAAAGATGTGACTGTAACAGCCTCTCAGTAAGCTATTTACAAAATACATTGTGACTTACAGTTTGGTTGAAAATGTGTTTCAAAGCATAATACAAATTGTGCCCTGGAGCTTTGATTGAATTGCTTGAAGTAGGTCTTGGCCTGGCTGAACTGAAACCCAGAACTTTTAAATTGTTCTGGGTTTCCTTTGAAAAATATTGGAGAGGGGGGGCGTCTTATGGCTGAACGTTGTGCCTCATTTCCCTTTCCACTTTTCTCTCTGCATGACCTGTGCAGCAACTCACCTGCTTGATCTACCCAGTGCCTTGCCACTCTGCTTGAATTCAAGCACATCATACCTGAATGGCCTCTCCATCCCATCTCAGTCTTCTGACCATCTCTGTTCCTTGCAGCTGCTATGGGTGACATCACATTTTCTCCACAGTCTCCCACCCCAGAACACATTTTTTTCCCCTGAAACATGAATGTTTTGAGTCTGCTGAAACCAAACATGTATTTCAAGTCTGTGCCTGGACCAAATAAGCATCTTGCAGTCTGGATGAGGACCACCTAGTAGTCATGGTCTTCTGTCTGGAAATCCCTTTCTTTCTTTTTTTTCTGATTCAAATCCATTTTTGGTATGATAATGATAATGTAAAATGAAATGCATTTATTTTTCTTTTATTTCTTTTATTACTTTTTTTTAAATAATACTCATCTATTAAGGTAAGTGCAGCTAGAAATGCTGTGACAAAAAAATTACCCGCCCTTTTTCTAAATTGTATAACTGGTCTTTCTTGCCCATGGATTCAGCAATGTGCCATTTCTTGCAGGGGAGGGAATTGTTTTTGCAGGTAGACAGTTTCTTATGATTCTATAGCAACTCATTTCTTTCCTCATCTTTTTTTTTACAGAACTGCACGTATTATATACCACATGTGTCAGTATTGTTCTAATTTTACCAGTTGCTGTTATTTTGGTGAATGATCTGGGGTTATATGGCAATAAAGTCAACTATAATGTATCACCAATTCTTTACATAGGGTCAGCATTTGGACAATGAGTTCTTTTGCTTAATGGGAAGGTGGGATGCACTAACACCTTGCAAGGAAGAAAAGCTCTGACAAATACTGCATTTTACAGCTCATTCTGGAAAATTAATTAAATCCATGAATAGGCACTTTTTATGTCACCTAAAGTTGCATAAAGTTATTCTAGAACAAACAAATAACATCCAGTAACTGCAGCTTAATAATAGAAATCACCCACTCAATTTACCTGCTTAGCCTGGTAAGAGTTGGCAATATTTGCTCTCTTTCATTTTTCATATTAGGAATGGGTGACTTTCTCTTTTTGTTCTTAGGTATCTCATATACAATATGTCTTCAGTTATGGGTCAATCCTATCTAATTTCCATCCATCTGCTTTTAATTTTTTAGATAATATTTCCCAACATACTCATTTTTATGCATATTTTCTTAATAGAATTATTTGAAAAAGTGCACAAATTAAAGGATAATAATTTTCCTGTTAGTCAAGAACTATAAATAAGATTATTCAAATGAAATTCATTCATTTGTAGAGCAAAAGAGAGTTAGGAAGCCCAGTTTATGACATAGAGGAAGTCTCTGGCTTACATCCATTTGTTCAGCAACTGTTCAATGTTATGTGGCACTGAAAAAAATGGGCATACAATTGGTCCCTGAAGTTCCAGCCCTCGTAGCACTCTTGTGGTCACGTGATCACGTTGCAGATGCTTGGCTGTCCATTTTATAATTGCATTGTTTCAGGGAGCTATAGTCAAATGATTGCCATTTATGATCTTCCCACAAGCAAAGTCAATGGGGAAGCTAGCAGGAAAGGTTACAAGTTGCTCTGGTAAGTCACTCCCCCTTACAGCACATCTCTCCCTCCATGTGCAACCTCTACTGACCCTCCCAGGTCCTCCCTGGTCTCCCTTATTTAGCCTGTGCTGGGCTATCTAAGCCATTCTCAGCCTCCCTCCCCTTTGCAGCATCTCCATGTTCCTTATTTGGGACTCCTGCCAACTTTTTACTTAACAACCTGCATGTCTTGGGGTTATGATGGTAGTTGGGGCTGCCAGAATTGCCATCACTAAACAATACAGTCATGTCATACTTTGCTTTATTACTACATTGCTCAGTGACAGCAATCCATTGCTGCCGTAACTGAGGTCTACTTGTACTATTTAATTATATACGTGCGTGTGTGTGTATTCCAAGAAATGGAAGTCAGCTCTTTTAAAATATAAGTAGTCCTTAATTTATGACCATAATGGAATGTGCACATTTGTAAATCATAACAGTTATAAATAGCAATAGCTACAGCACTTAGACTTATGTACCACTTCACAATGCTTTACAGCCCTCTCTAGGCGGTTTACAGAGTAAGCATATTGCCCCAACAATCTGGGCCCTCATTTTACTGACCTTGGAAGACTGAAAGGCTGAGTCAACCTTGAGCTGGTAAGAACTGAATGCTGTCAGTCAGCAGAATTAGCCTGCAATGCTGCATTCTAACCACTGCACCACCGAGACTCTGTGCCACCAAGCAGGTCATCTCATGATCAATCTGATTTTACAATCTTTTTTGTGGTGGTCATTAAGCCAACATGGATAAGAGCACAGTGGCTCACATGGTTAGGACACTAGGTTGGAGGTTAGCGAGCATGTGTTCAAGACCCGAGTGCTTCAGTATGGTGGGGTGAGCTCTTGTCATTTGCTTCAGCTCCTTGACGGGGACATGAAAGAAGCTCCCCCAGACGCCTTCCCCAGGCAGCGGTGATGTCACCAGCTAATCCTTTCAACCTAGAAATGTTTTGACACAAACAAAGGGAACAAACAGGATGGTTGTTAAGCACAATAGTTGTTCGCTGTGGGGCAATTTTGGCAAAAATGTTGCAAAACGCAGTCAAGGGATGCTGCAAGTGGCCATAAATCCGGGCTGTCAGAACTTTTGGGGTCCATTGTAACTTTGAACTGTTGCTGAGCAACTGATTGTAACTCGAGGACTACTTGTATAAGGGTAGTGCTTATAGTTTTCTTTAAATTGCTTCTGTCATACGTAAAATGTCACCAAAGCAGCCATAAGAATAGGTTATATGTTTTGATTCCCCTTACAGATTTGATCAGCAATCCAATTTTGGCAACTTTTCCTAAACTCATGGAACAGCCTGATATTATGGATGCACTCAGGGTGAGTAAAATGTATTGCATTGCTAAATATGAAAGTAGAGTTCAGATTAAATGTAACATTCAAGATGACAGGTTTCAGTTCCTTTACGTATTTCTATCAACAGTTCTTCTGAGACACTACTCCTATGGTATTAAATTTCAAGAAATAGCATAGAAGTAAAGTAAATAGAAGTTGAAGGAAAATGCTCCAAGTATTTACAAAGATTGGCTTAGGAGGGGTTGGAATTCAACTACAGGGTGTGGTGTGTTCAAACGAAAGCTCTGCAACTTATAAAATTTCTAGTAGTTCGTTATAGCAGGAATGATTTCTGGTAACTTCTCCACTGATGTAAATTGAATATAAATATTGGTTCCAGTGAGAAAAACCTGGAAAACGTGCATTTGCCTAGCTGGAGTAAGGCAAGTAGATTAAGAGGGTGTCTTTTGATAGCACTCAATTATTGGAAAGAGTGTGCTAAATGCGAAAATAATAATTTAATAATAATTTATGTATATGCTGCCCAACTCTCAGTGATTCAATTAGATTAAAAATGGTATACTTATTAATGAAAAGAAATGCAATCTAGGAAGATTACCACTAAAATAGAAATTTATTTATTTTTATTACTTTGAAGAGGATATCACAGTCCTGTAATGCAGTTTTTCAGGAGACATAGAGGGACAGGTAGAAATTATTTTCTATTGCTTATAACAGAAGTACGTAATAGATATTCCCCATTGATGGAATTTTGTTGATAAGAACTATAGATCCAACTCTTTTTTTTAAAAAAAGGAAAATATTAGTGGATTTAGGATTCAAAATATAGTTTTGAATTATATTTTGAGGAACTATACTCACCTCATATCTCTTATAGTAAACCAGAAACTAGGTCTTTTCTTTCTTTGAGCTTTTCAGAGGGTTTTGGAATAGTGTGTCTTTTTCAGGATTTGAAAATCCTGTTAGAACCCTCAACTTTCTGTTGGTGTAATATAAAAAACAACAAACCACAAAGAATTACAGTGTATAACCCCACAGTCCTTCTAATTCCTCTGTACCTATATAAAAGCACTTTGAAAATTGGACAACTGTCTGTAAAGTTTTGAAATTTATTATTTTTAGAGTTCCTGGGCAGAGAAAGAAAGTACATTGAAGAGATCAGAAAAGGTAAGCATTTTCAATTAGGAAAACAGTACTTTAAACATGTAATGAAATTGTGATCCTATGTCTCATTGCGCAGGAAACTTCCAAATGAAGAAGACTACAGCTTCAGTCCTGTCTTGTGCTCATTCAGGGAACCTAGCCTTCTCCCCCCACCCGCACCCTACAGCTTCTTGATAGAAAGAATCCTGCAGAAATTGTGCATTTTGTTGAAGAGTTTTTTCCCCCAAGAAGTCCTTAGTGTCTTGTCCAGCAAATCTTTATGTCTAGGTAGCTTTGACTTTAACTGGATGTAAAGGCTCTCTTTCCACAATATATTGCAGCACATGTCTAAATTGTTTTCAGTGATCACAGTAGCTAGAAAATTAGTTTGGCCATCTCATTCAGCTGTTTTTATTGCAAACTGTTTAGAGTAGAATCTATTCCGACATGACAAGCTGTGATGATGGAATTGCTGTTAAATTTTACATTGCATTTTTAAATTTCTCAGTTTCCTTCTCTCTCTTTCTTTTTCTGTATTTTTTGTCTTCTCTCCCTTTTAAAGTTAAATACAAGGTATGAAAAAGAAAAAGTTGCCTACTTTAGGGAGGAACATAGTTGACATGTGGGACCTGACCAAGAAGTTGAAGCTCAAGTTATGCCTTTTTTTTTCCAGCTGAACTGGAAGGCAAGCTGGTACAAAGCGGAAGTGTTACAAATGTTAAATTGATGGCTTAATTTGCTGTAATTTAGTATATGAATAAGAAGAACTCAGCTAATTTATAAGGATATCTACTGCTATAATTTTACTTTAAAGATAGAGCAGAGCATTACTCTGTTGTGATAGGAAGCATTAAAAATAAAGATAAGACTCATCATATGTGTCTACTTTGGGTTAGTTCCCTCCTCCTCCTCTTCCTTCTTTTTTCTTTTTGTTATTCTTTCTTATTTTTGAATTTGAAATTTGATTTAATGTTTTGAAAGAATTTAAGTAGAAAGAAATATAAAAAAAATATTGAGCATGTGAAAGACAGGAAATAAGATGTGGATAATTATTCCTGTTGGACTTTGAATTGAACATGTTTGATTAGCACAGTATTAATCATTGACAAAGCTATAAACAGTAACAGTACATCAGATCAACACTGAAAGTTATAAATCAGAATAATATATAATTCTATAGATAAGAAAACCCACATTTTGCATGTGTGACAGATCCAGATATAACATAATCCAAGAATCATTTCCAATTAGAATTAAATTCTGCATCAGATTTACTTTTTATGCAAGAAGCTAATCTGGACATCAAAGCAAACTTCCACAATTTAATCAGTCATTCTTCAAAGAGTAAGTCAAAGGTCTTTTGCAATAAAAAGGATATAACATTCTTCCGGCTATTAGCATATACAATACTGATTCTGTATATTTTGAAGGGACATATGGTCTAGTGAAATATAATAAGAATATCTCAGGTTGCAGTGGAATTATGACTTTATCTCTTAATGTGTTGCTTACAATTGTGATTTTCCATATTGTTCAGCTTTACAACACTGCAATAACATATAAAAAGAGACCCAGACTCTTGAGTACATTTCCAGCATTTTCTAGAAAAATAATTTCAGGTAGTCCTTGACTGAAGGACCATTTATTTAAACACTTCTCAAAGTTACTAAAAAGTGTAAAAGTGATTTAGTATCTGTCCTTGAAGTTATAACTGTTGCACAATCTCTACAGTCATGTGATTGCAATTCGGGCACTTGGTAAGTGGTTTGCATTTATAACCAATTGCAACATCTTGTGGCCCCCTGATTGCAATTTGTGATCTTACCAGCCAGTCTACAACAAACACTAATTGGGAAAGCCAGGTTTGCTTAACAACTGTTTGATTTCTTTAATGACTGCAGTAAAAATGGTTTTAAAATCAGGTTTGGTCACATGATGACTTACTTAACAACTGCATCTCTTAGTGATTAAAATTCTGGTCCCAACTGTGGTTATAAGTCAATGACCATTCGAATTCATTTTAGCAATCAAGAGTTGAATAATATCCAACACTAGAATGTACCAATTCTAAGTATAATGTTCCAAGTAAATTTAGTATTCTCCTTCTATTGAATTTCCCACTGTTGCATCTCTGTAACAATGTTCAAGTTTTTCATCCATTCATCATATTATCTTTAACTTGTTCAGATTCTGAATCATGTTTTTTTTTGTTATTGTGAGCCACTAGAGCTGTATTCTAAGATGAATAGCCATACAAATCTTTTAGATAAATAAATAAGAAAGTGGAGCTCAAACCCTTCAACAGGCAGTTCTTTCTTCCATCTGGTTAATGACCAAGGAGATTGCTTAATGACTGCAATCCAGAATGCCAGGATTGCTGTTGTTGAGCAAAACAGTCATGTGGGAGTCTCATTTAACAGCCATTTCTCTCAATGACCAAGATTTCAGTCTCAGTTGTGGTCATCAAGCAAGGACTACCTGTAAAAACTTTCAGTCTAAACAGGTTATTGTCTTTCGGCTGAACATATTCCTTAGTAAATTCAGCTTCATGAAAATAAATGTTTAATAATGGTGCAAGGAGAAGAAAGCCTGGTCTTACTCTTTTGCTGTATTTATCTCATATATTCAGTAGATTACTTAACATTACCTATCCTATTACAGAATTTTTATGCTGTTGGTATTAGTTCAGATATATCCATGCAGCCCATTTGGAATATCTACCTTTCTATAAGGGTTATAGAACTATATAAGACATGATCTGTTCTGAAATCCATATTAAATAGCTGTCATGATGATGTAGTCTGAAATTTGGGTTTGCAACACCACCTTGTTCTCCTAAATCCTGTAGGTTCTTAGTGTTTATAATTATGATTCATATCTATGCCAGTTATTTAGCAACTTATTCTCAATGACAACTAGAATCATATGAAAAGGGAAGTTAGCTTTTAATGGAATATTCATTTAATGGCTGTAGTAATTTCTAACTAGGATAACTTTAATTTCTTCCATCTAAGAATATCAGTTATATTTTTGCAAGTTGGCAAATAATTATTCTTGAATAAATCTTTATTGTTTCTTGTCAAGAAAAATCCTTAATGTTTTATCTTCTTATTATCAGTGTTAAATCTGGTTATTTGGCATGTACATTGTTTTTTTTCTTTTGTCCAATTCCATATAAGCAATTGACTTTTCTTTTTATTGATCCAATAACCTGATCCAAAACATATTGTTTATAACATCAGCAATGTTAAAGTGTCTCTATGCTGAGCAATTGTAAGAACAATATCAATATCTAATAATGTCAATGTTATTCTTGTGTAATTAGTTTAATTTGCAACATTCTATTATCTTGGTGAGTTGAATTTCCAGTGGTTCTAATGCTAGTAAAAGTGAAGGAGACGAAAAGGATTATTCTTGTCTTATTGTAATCTAATTTACTACAGTTTTGAATTCTTTGAGGCTCAGCTTCTTTACCATTCATATTTCAGAAACTGGGTAATTAAGGATAATTTATCTTTCCTTTTACTCAGTTTTTATAGATACAAACTTGAGATACAAACTTATAGATACAAACTTCAGAAAGCACAAGTCCTATTTCCCAGTGACTTGCAAACATTTATGTAACATATAATATAAAAATGGGTAATTTCTAATCAGTATCATCAGATAAAGAGTGACAGTTTTAATACAAAAAAGATAAAGTTTTAGGATGCTCTCAGGGCATAATACATTTTAAGTATTCTGCTTCCTCTTCCTCCTAATTAGAGAGACCGGGAATTTCTGAAATCAGTGTTTGTCCTGGTGTACCATGACACCGTCTATCCGCTTCTTCAGTCTGTGTTGCTCCCAGAGTATAAGTGGGCAGAAGAAGAATCTGAAGGCACTCGCTGGCGAATAATAGCTGAATTCCTGAAGAAAAATCAAGAAAGAGGTGGTAGTCTATCTTCTCTACTATCGTTGGAAAGCCCTCACAAAGCTTTTGATGTCATGGAAACTGCATATGATTTTTTAGGAGAGGCTAGAAAAAATAGTCCTCTAATATGAAAGACATTTGTGGCTATTCATCTACCAATTGCCAAGCCAACACGAACTAATTAAATAGAATTGATAATGTGTTCCAAAATGTATTTTTATCATTTGGCTAAAACTTTTATACCAGGTTCATAAATGCAAGGTATTGATAAACTTTTTAAAAATTTAACTATCATGTTGGTTATTGATTTGTATATTTATGAAGGAAGTAAATGCATACTAAAGATATTTTATCATGTTTTTGTCTTCATGGAGTTATTTTCCTATTTCATTTATATTTTTTTACATTAAGCAAATTTCATTTGATAAATGTTGGTATCTACTCAAATACTGAATATGAGACAAATTATACAGATAGTTCTAATTTAGTGATTGCCTCATATAGCAACCAGTTACAGTGGTAATGAAAAAGTGACTTTGTGGCCAATTCTTGTATTCATGATGTGTGTGTGTGTGTGTGTGTGTGTGTGTGTGTGTGTGTGCGCGCGTGCTAAACGAGAACTACATGTATTCCCACTGCCTTTTGATTGGTAGGATAGAAGTAGACTTGACAGATCTGTGTTGCTATGTTAGTATTTTAGTGGGGCTTATCAACATCTTTTCCTTTTTCAGTGTTGCCAGGCATTTTATCGCTCCAGAATGATAAGCAAAGATACTGATGTAGTTTTTTGAGAATGAAATGAGACTGGTTTGCAGAAAGTTTCCCAAATGGTGCTGAATTCAACTTTACGCAGATGGAATTTCCCTGTGCAGAGGGCTTTCTTCTTGTTTTGGCCTGAAGACTTAAAAGCAAATTCTGTGTCACAGAACTTGAAAGACCTGATGGAGTATATCTGAAAGCACATACTGGTTAAAAGGTTTAGAGAAGGGGAAATTGCTTTATTTTTATTATCTACCAACTATTTATTTCAGAAACTCACCATTGGATTTTGCCCTGATCTCTAGGTACACATCTCACTGAAATAAATGACAATTGCCTTAATTTGCATAATGATCCCAAAACAAAAATATAGCTGTAGAGAAGAAACTGGTTCAACAAGGCTAACTGGAACTAGTCATGTTTTTGGATGTGTTCCCAATCAATTAACAGCAAGACGATGGAATCTGTTCAACCAAACATGTCAGTGCTGCCCATAAAATGGTTAGAAAATAGTTAAGTTAATAGACTTAAATTCCTTGCCTTAAACTCCACAATTAAAATATGTATAAAATTAAACATACTTTAGGCTAAGTACCTTGCTGTGTATTTGTCTTCCTCTCAGATCAGAAACATGTAGAAAATGAGTAGGTAGGTTTATACGGTAATCCTCAACACTACAGTATTTCTTGGAGGTGCATGGTTTTTCCCCATATGGGTTTGTATGATGTATAATTTCTAATACATTAATACAAAACATCTATTCTAGATATATCTATGTATAGATTGATAGCGGCTTGCAAAACTGTTAGCAAAATAGATTTATAGAGTATAAATGAAGGACCTCTGTTCATTTTATTTCTATACCAGGGGTGGGGAACCTTGGCTCTCTTATGACTTGTGGACTTCAACTTGTGGAGTTGAAATCCACAAGTCATAAAAGAGTCAAGATTCCCCACCCCTGCTTTATACTATTCTCAAAAATATAGAAGAAGGGTACACAAACTAATGTGCCCCAGCCAATAAATAAATTTAAACAAGCCATCCTTGTTTAAAGAGCACAAACGTTCATAGTTAAAAAGTTGAGAATAATTCAGTATGTTGTTACTAGACTTTCGCTATGAACTAAAGTTTAATGAAGAGAAGGACTAAGGATGACAAGATAGCACTGTGCAATATTTCAGGGGCTGCCACAAACAAGAGGGAGTCATGCTATTCTCCAAGGGACCTGAAGGCAGGACAAGAAGCAACGGATGGAAACTAATCAAGGAGAGAAGCAATCTAGAACTAAGGAGAAATTTCCTAACAGTTAGAACAATTAATTGGGAATAACTTTCCTCCAGACGGTCCAACACTGGAAGTTTTTAAAAAGAGATTGGGATGACCATTTGTCTGAAATGATGTACGGTTTCCTGCCTGAGTATGGGGTTAGACTAGATGTTCTCCAAAGTCCCCCCCAACTCTGTTATTCTGTTATTCTATCCCAAGGAGAAAATGCTCAGAAAATGAAAGAATGTCTGAAACAAAGGGCACGGGATTCAATTTCAATTGCATTGGAATTAAAAACAAACTATGAGGACAGTAACTAGGGAAAAACAACAAAGTCCCCATTACCAAAGTACTATGGTTCAGTAATCAATTCAGTGATCATTTACCTACCCTTTGGGAAAGATTGTACAAGTGAAATTGTATGTTTCATAGTTCTTATACAATGCATTCCTGTGCCCACTGGGTGGCCTCTTATTATTTCGCATTAACTGAAGGATTGGCAAAAGATGCTCAAATACAGTAAAAATTAATTTGCCTGTTACTTCCTGCTCCCCATTAAAAAGAAAGGCCATGTAAGAACCAAAGACAAATTGCATTCTTTAGAAAGGTGAATAAATGAGTTCAAGGCTAGCATTGAGAGTTTCTGAAGCCATATGTATAACACCATGTATAACACCATGTATTGATTGCAGAACAAAACAACAAAACAGGCATTAATTCCACAAGCATGTTTTAGATTCTTCCTCTCTGTGCCTTTTGTTCTGTTAAATTATTGCTACCCCTCCCTGTTGGCTTTTCCTAGTAGCATGCTCACTTGTAAAGTAGCTCTTAAGCAGCAAAACCTTCCAAAATAAGCAGTTAAAAGAAACTTGAGTTTTTAATCCTTTCTGCTGTAGGATTGGTCACGTAGCGTCACTAATTCAGAGGTTTAAGATCGCAAGACACAGGCAAGAAAACAATAGTTCAATTTTATTCAGCTCTAGATAAATTACGCTCGTATGCTATGTATAGTACTCAGTACTGTACTTTAAAAGGGATGTGGAGAAATTGGAGGAAGTCAGAAAAGATATAGGATGAGATAAGGACTTGCAAGCATATTCTGCGAGCTAAGCATATTTAGGGTGCAGAATGTAAGTCTAAGGGAAAACAAAAAAGCTGTTCTCTTTTGAAGCAGCAGGACATTAGTGGGCAGAAATCAAGGAAAATTTGAGCTCAATATTAGGAGTAACTTCCTAAAATTAAACACACAACTTGCTCCATTGGAGATTTTGAAACAGAGGCTCAGCTGGATAATCATATATTGGGGATGACTTACCAAATTTCTCCATTTAGTTTGGACTAGAACAATGTTTCTCAACCTTGGAAACTGCTGGTTGGGGAATTCTGGGAGTTGAAGTTCACACATCTTAAAGGCGCCAAGACTGAGAGGCACCGGACTAGAGGATACGTAAGATTTCTAGCAAGAAACTTCCCAGTAGCAATGCTTCGGAATGGAACCAAAGGGGAACTCAATCCTCAAAAAAGAACCCTTTTAGAAAGAGTCAGAATCTGTAGGTTCATCTCCTTCTGCTACCAAAGGATATTTAATCACATACAAATATATCCACCAGGATACTTGACCTCTGATCTCTTATGGATGAGCTGCCTTAGTTTTGGTATAGTATGAAATTCTTCCACAATGATTACAGCTACCTGCAAGGCTGGAACTGATTTCACCTTTGACGTCCACATGGGTGTGCCACTGGATACTATTTTAAGCTTCACATGCCAACAGTTCTGCTGCAGAAGTAATTGTGGATAGCAGATCGTAACAACAGCTACATAGAGACAATAGAAATGGATTCCAAATCTTCAAGACCAACGCCTGGATGCCCAGCACCTGAAGACACTCCTTCAGGACTGGCCATTTTAAAAACAATACCATATGCTTTAATCTTGCCAGAGCTGGTAAGTCAGCTAACTTAATTCTGTTGTATTTTTTAAAATCCTATCTCCAATTTAAAATGGAACAGTTTTGTAAACTATGTAGTGTCCCTATAAGTCCAAAATAGTGTACAAAGTCATAGGGATGATTCCTGGTACTAGCTACTTATATGATATATGCAGATTTATGCACATATGTTTTATGTTAATTGTGGTCATAGTTAATGAATGGTTTATTTGAAGATTGGTAAACTTTCCCTACTTCATTTTATGGTTCAAGAATTGCATATGCTTTATATCTTCTTCCCATTGCTCTTAAAATGTGCACTTTAAGGAGCTAAAGCATCTATCCACAGTTAAGCAAACAGCACAAAGTTGTAGCTTTGTTAGAAGAGAGCTGTGTTAGTCCTTGACTTACAACCACAATGGAGACCAGAATTTCTATTGCTAAGTAAGGCATGTATTAAGTGAGTTGAACCTTGTTTTCTGACCTTTTTGTCATAGTGTTAAGTGAATCATGCAGTTGATAAACACATAAAACTTTCTCCATTAACTTTGCTTGTTGGAAATTAACTGGGAATGTCATAAACAATGATCATAAGACTCCAGGATGTTGCAACTATCATAAATACATGTTGGTTGCCAAGCATCAAAATTTTGATCACTTGACTATAGAGATGCAGTAATTGTCATAAGTGTGAGGACTTATGGATATGAGGACATAAGTACAAATTTATAGACTTCTTTATATATTCATATATGTAAAGCATATAATATCCTAACTATGAAGCTGATCATATGATAGTAGTTTGGATGTATATTAAGATTGACTCTTTGTTCCTAATTTTCAGAAAACTATAGCTAGAAACTATGTCAGCAATGGAATGGTTAGCTTGGAGATATTAATACTGCTTTACAGTATTCAACCTGGTTTACAAGGGTTTGTGGAATCTTTCTTCCACCCTCCCTAATTATTCTTCGATTATTCAACTGTGAGGCTGAGTAAGATGCTATGCTCACATAGGACTTGCTCTCTGAAGATATGAGTCAATATTTTCAAACAGTGAATTGTGGAGATATTCACAATTCATAATTAATAATCCAAAAAGGATTGATTTACAGGCTAGTTGTAGCTAGGCATGTGATTCTTTGGATAAAGGTTGATTCAACTAAAAGTGCTTCACAAAGGAGAAACAGCAGAGCTGATTAATTCAGGAACAGAAGGAAGGTCCATGTAGCAACTTAGAAAATTCATTAATGAATTTCAAGAGTTCATTTAAAAAGTCTCAGCAGCACTTTTTCGTGTGGCTGCTGATAAAAACAGGATCGCCAACATGATCGTCAACATCCAATAATGGATATGGCACAAGAAGAAGAATTTTAAAAACAGCCAAAAGAATAGCATATCTAAAGAAGAGAGATGGAAGCATTGTCACTTTCAGTCTAGTTCATTAAACAGGATCTCCCAGACTTGTACAGGGCTGTTTGTAGGGGAGAAGAAAAGGGGAAGAGAGAGGGATAGGACTTTCTGCCCTTTCACCCATTCCTACTCCTAATAAGTCTCTAGATTTGAGTCACAAAAAATAATTATGTCAGTCTCATCAAGGTTTGGGTAACAAAAGATACAGAACTATTATCTCTTGAGGATTCAGCTAGTATCTTGGATTTTATATGTCCAGTGTGTGTGTGGGGGGGAACCCTAATAGAATGTCCTTGTTTAAATGCAGTTGAATCCAGATTAAGTTGACAGTCTTGGAGATTCCCTATGGTTACATCCATCTGTGGAACTTGGCATTCAGGAATTTGTTCTATTTTTTAAGAAATAGCAGATCAAAGTAGCTGTCATCATTACATAGTGTGATAATGAAATTCACTGGGAAGTAGCAGCAGTGCAGTTTGTATTATGCTTCACTTCGAGAACTTTCAGGAAGTTATATTCAAGAATTATAAAACATGGCAGAGAGATTCTTTTCCTTATGTTAATTGCATTCTCATTGTACGAGGCATGGATTTTAACTCAACTGGAGTTGTGTGTGTGTGTTTCTGTGTGTGCACGCATGGGTGCTTGTGTATTTTTTATTTATATGAAAACTATTCAGCAAAGATTGTGTAAATAGTAAGGAAGATTACCTTGATGCAATCTCGGTTGCCAAGGCAACCAGTGGTAAAATATATTTTAAGTCCAAGCTACTCAGATAACATTTGAAAGCAGTACAGACAGAGACCTCCCTAATTCACTGAAGTATAAAAGTGGGAAGGGTACATTAAAACCAGACTTGAAGATTCTGTTATCATGGTGAATCTTAATAAAAACAGTTTTAGCCTTCTTGTGGAGTTGATGTTTTTGTCTGGTCTACCTTGTGGGGCTGACGGCTTATAATAAAAATGAAGCAAGCAAGAAAATAAAAGGCATGTTAGTTAATGCCTTCTTTGTAATATTGTTCCAGAAACCATTACTCAATGTGGGCAATGCATCTTCAAGTTCATGATAGAACAGAAGAACCCAATGACTATAGTAACAATGGTTGTGCTCAGGCAAAAAAAAAAAAAATAAAAATAAAAAAAAATGAAAAGAGGGTTTCTGTTTTTCATTATCATTTTCACAACTGACACAATGATTGACAGTTGCCATGAGAAAGCAACATGAAAGTTTGGTGAATTGCTACAAATAACAAGCTTATGGGAAGAGGTCAATTTAAAATTTATAATTCTGCATGATACATATATTTTAAATTAATATTTAGTTCTTTGAGTATTGGGCAAGGAAAGCTATTCATGAAGAATATCATGACAAAAACTAAATATAAAGTGAAATAAGGCTGCTTATGTGGTAAGTTAGGATGAAATGCAGGAACATACCTTTTGATTTTTGTTACCCTAAATCTTTATTATTTGTTCCTGTCCCTTAAAATATTCAAGCACATATGGGTCCCAGATGTTTATTTCCTTTTTGTGTGTGTGTGGCAGAAGCAACTTAGACAATGTCACTAAAGCAGCATATTCTGCACTCAAAACTAGCTTCAGCTCAATTAAATCACATTTTTTTCTTAATTGCATTTTTATCCTACCTTTCTTCTATCTAGGAGCTCAAAGCTACATACGCTAATATATTATAACAACTCTGTAAAGTAAAAATGATTCATACAAAATGTAATAACTTTAGCTAAGAATAGACTTGAACCTGCACCAGGCTGGTTCAGTTTAGAATGTAGTTTTGTACAACATGGTGTTTGTATATGTGAATTTTGCACCAGCTATTATTTTTTGAGAATTTGTAGAAACTACAATTATAATGTAGTTGGAAAGAACCTGCAGTTTAGAAACAAAATAACATAGATAACACTATGGCTTTTGAAATAATATGTGGAGTTTTTCATTTTGAATGCTTTGAATTTTCATTGCGCATTCCTACACTCTCCACCTTGAAGAACCTGTCTGATAATTTCTCAGCAAGGGGGAGCATTAGCTTTCTTGGCAGTGATCCTTGCTCACTGGCATTCCATGGGTGTGTGCCGGTTGGTGGGTAATAAAGAGTTCAACATCTTCAGATCAAGTTTTTTTCCCCTTTTTTTCTTGGAAATGAAGTGGGAGTGCTGGGTACCTCTGCATATACCATTACAAAGTATGCTGAAATAGGTATACAAGAACCTGACAGACGAAGAGAATTGCAGGGCAATCATGTTCTTTGGAATTAATGACTCTTAAGGGGCACAATCTGTTCATGCTGAAATATTTTTACAAATGATATATCTTCCAAATGTAATCATAGGTGTTTTTCCTTGTCTGTTTCATAATCTTTTCCCTGAATAATAACTAGTTTTATACATATAATATTTCAGGAAGTCCTATTTAAGGATTTCTGATTCTAAATTGACATTTTGTGCAAAACAGATCAGAATCAGATATCAGATCACTGCTCCTGTTCAGCCCAGAATTTTGCTTACATTGACTTCTTCAAGATTTTGAGTGAGTTGTTTCTTCTTGTTATACCTACAGATGCCAGAGACAAGTCTTGGGATATTATCAATACCAAGAATTTGCTTTATTAGGATCTAGTATTAGGGAGATAATCACATTTGCTTTCAATTCATTATTAATATAGCCTGGAATTGGAGAAGATTGGGTAAAATAGTGGCCAGATCTATTTATGTCCTGTTCTACAATCAGTTTAGATCGTCACATATTGCTATAATTCTTGGAGAAGCCTTCTTAGGCTTAACCTTTATCCTACACTTTCTCTCCCTCTCTATCCAATGAATAGCAACATGTTTCTTAATACTTGTTGCTGGAAATAACAAAGAAGATGTTAATATGTCCTATTTCCCATGGGAATGTTGGACTAGAAAAAGAATGTTGGACTAGGCAGGCTTGTGGTCTGGTTGATCATGATTGCAATTGGCTATTATTTTAATGCGTATTTGTTGAAATGGCTTATTGATGACACACAGGGAAAACAGGTAGTCAATATCACTCAAGGGTGGCATCCACCAAAACAAATGTAACACTGAACCTGGCTAGGTTTGTGGTACTGGTGCCTATGTAACACAATTCTTTGCATGAGAGCTTAGAAACATGTGTCTTTAGCAGGGAAAAATAGGTAGGTGCATCTGCAACATAACTTTATGCATGTTTACATAGAGCTTGCACATAAAAGCAAGTATACATGCAACTGTTGTCTGGAAAGATAGAATTGCAATCTTAAGCCAGCCAGAGGTCTTGTATAAGCAGAATGATGTCATAGTATCATTTGCACTGTCATAATGATGCATATGATGTCATTTGTCCACCCTTCCCTTTGAGGACAATCACAGTCAAGATGAGTGAGAAATGGATAAGAATAAAGCAGGCTGTTTGTGAGACAGGAATTCAAATTTATGTTGATCCTAATATAATATTATACTTTTAAAGTATATATGATGATTATTTAGATCACAATTCTAAAAGGAGAAACCTCGCTGAATACAATAAATATGCACAAAACTGAACTATAAATGTACTATTATTCCACTGCTCAGAATATGGTGACAGATGGTGGTGATGAGGATGAGGGATTTTGTTGTTTAAAGTGCTAAGATCACCCTTTGTTTAGCACAATTATTTATATACTTGCAAGGCTGCTTTATTCTCTATGGAATAAGTCATTTTAAATATTTATAATTATGCACATTGCTTTTTTAAATAAAAGATTTGTAATGTCTGAACATTTTTAGAAAAAAAATAGACTAAACTATGTTACCATTTTAAGCAAATTTTAATACATTTTTGACACACAGTTTTTTTCATAATTGTCCTGCTGTTCATAACCAAGGAGATAGATCAAGTCAAACATTTTGGCCATTAGTCATGGAGCTAACCTTCTACCAAATTCACAAAGAACAAATGTGATTGGAATATGAAGCCAACTTCATATTCTAATCATATATTCTATATTCTGCCAATACACACCTTTGCTGTTAAATTAGTGTAGAACCTTGCAGGTTCTGGTTTCTATATTCCAGTGTCAAGATAAGATAAATAAATTAAGTAATCAGATGATTGAATTCCTGAACATGAATGTGAAAGGGTGTGGTTGATCTTGGATGAGTAATTGTATCATTAATTGATTGCATCAGCCCTGGGAGGTAGCTTTAACATAAACCTGTAAACCTATGAGAAAAAATGATGTACTCTTTTTCAACTACAAAATACTATTCCATGTCAAACTGTATAGATATTTTACTGCTTCAAATAGAACAGCAAATAGCTCCCTTTTTATTGCATAAGGCCAGTTAGGCATAGTGGTTAAATCACTGGGCTAGAAAGTGGGAGACCCTGAATTCTAGTTCTGCCTTAGCCATGAAAACCAGCTGGGTGGCTTTGGGCCAGTTACATTATCTCTCAGTCCAATTTTCCTCAGAGGGTTGTTTTTGTGGGGAAAATAGAAGGAAGTTGTGTTGGAAATGTTCACTCCCTTAAGTTATTTGTAAAAATAATAAAGGCGGGATATAAATAAATAATAGACAAAAAAGATCAAGCTTTCAAATAAACGAACGAACGAATGAACAAACGAATGAATGAATGAACGTCCTAGTTCCTTCCATCTGCTATTTTCAAAAATGCTCTGGTGGCAGCAGCAGCAGCAGCAGCAAAAACAACATTAAAGTAGATAACTTGTCATTTACTGATTTTTCAAAATACTTCAATAATAAGATTGACCCTCTTTGGAAATTGTTTTGGCAGATAACGTAGCAGTGATATGTTATCATTGATAAAACCTTGCAATGAAGAATAATTATAGTCCAGTTTGGTCACCAGCTATTAGCTATAGGGTGAATTCCTCAGACTTCCATTTAGTGAACTTTGAATGCAATTGACAAAATTTTACTTTGCACTTTTCTTCAGATTTTGGTTTTATTTCACATTTTAATTTCCAAAGCAGACTGGACAATTGATACTGTAACACCATAATTGGTGTTTCAATGGAATATGCATCCATTTATGTCATTTGTGCAAATGATGACTCAGTGGTGCAAGTGACATTAATTACTTCATTTACTTAAAATTGGATTTAATAGACATTAACTGACAACCCCTTTCCCCCAGTTGGCATCTTCAGTTTTTATTTTTTTAACAACAGTTTTCTTAACGAATTACCTTGGTTTGTACCATATGTTGTTCAGGATGGAAATATTGAATATAAATGTTTAAAATATTAGTATTTCTCCTTAGGATTCAATGTACATTCTTATAATATAAACACTCTATTGCCATTCTCTAGTTCATTTTTCTCTCTCTTATACATTTGTTTACATGTTGTTCTTGATTTAACCTTTTAAAAAAGTTTTTGCTCTGTCATTTTTTTGTTCAAAGAAAAAATAAAGAAAGAGATGAGGGACTGGTTCTCTTTTGTGCCCTCTTTGAAAAAAATTATTGGTGGTTTTGAACTTTGTCTGCTTCATATTAACCACAATATATGCATATATTATTTATCCAGGGGAAATATTTTTAATTTGGACTAGACGTTTCTTAGGAAAAAAATCCTGCTGATATTGCGTATTATCATAACAGCATGTTACAAAGATATTTACAATCCATTATTTAAATAATACAAATACTTATTTTTGCTGAGGGTCATTCTTTATATAGCCAATATAATCCTGGACAAGGAAGAGCTAGAACTGGTTTCACACACATTCAGTTTTTAGAGCCTGAGATACACTGCAATGGTCCAACAATGATTGGTGCAGTGGCCTGCTAACTTTTAAGATTACATATAAAAGAATTCTTGTCCAACTAAGCTTCAGGTGGACTTTTTGTGCATCAATGTGTTGCTGTCAGTGTGTTTACTGTGCTGTTTTAAGATAGATCATTTTATATGATGGTGTTATTTGTACTTTAGCTGTCTGCTCCAGAGTTACACTTTAATGAAATGTATAAATCAACCAATCAACCAAATAAATAAATAAAGGCATAAACCAGAGACTAAACCAATGGAAATGAAATGGAAAAAAGTTTAGTGATAATCATTTGTATTTCAACTTTTTTCACCCTGATAGATCTTTGGTTGCTGGGTTTGGATCCTTGTAGCAGCCACCAATGTATATTTCCCTTTGCTGCAAGGATGGGTCATGTACGTCTCGGTCAGCTCCTTTGTCATCTCCTTCCTGCTCCTCCTGAGTTATCTGTTTGGCTTCCATAAAAACTTTGAATCCTGGAAAATTCTGGTAAGTGACAACAACTCCTGCAGCTTAAAGAGATTTGAAGTGGGTATCTCAGATGATGAATGGGCTGCTTACCAGGATGACTTTCGTCTGTACTTAATGGGCAATTCTGCATAATGACCTTTACAGGCTGAAGAATTCCACATTTCCTTAATGTTTTTTTTTAACACTGTCCACATCTACTTCTCTCTTCTTTTAGGATAGCCTTTACCATGGAGCCACAGGCATTTTTTACTTGAGTGCTGCTGTGTTGCAGGCAAATGCAACAATCCGTTCAGAGACTGAAGTGCCAACAGTACATATCCCTCGCTACTATCAGCTCAATACTGCAGCCACAGTAAGAATCTCACATCACCTGAGCATCTATCTGTTCTGTTCGAAACCTCCCATTTCAGTGTTTGCTGGTGACATTTTATTGCTGGAACCAGAATGAAAATAGCAGGGCAGCCCCTGCTAGGCTCAACATTTCAAAAAGTGTTCTTTCTTTCTTTCTTTCTTTCTTTCTTTCTTTCTTTCTTTCTTTCTTTCTTTCTTTCTTTCTTTCTTTCTTCCTTCCTTCCTTCCTTCCTTCCTTCCTTCCTTTCTTTCTTCTTTCTTTCTTTTCATCTGTTTTTGTTGATTTTAAAAACATTTTTGTTATACTGTGAGCCCCCTTATCAGGTGGCACCTAATATGAGTAAATTAAATTAAACTACATTACAAATTTGTAAATTTAGTTTTGGTTTGGCTGCAACTGTTACCTTTTGGAATACAGCCCCCCCCATCAAAGGCCAAATGTGACTCTTAATGGCTCAAGTATGAACAAAGCCCTGTTGTAAAGCAGTATTTTTTTTAATTAAAATTTTTTATAAATTTTTACAGAAAAACAAAATAATAATACAAAAAACAACATATACAAAAGAAAAAAAACTAAACATGACATAACAAAACTCCCCTTCCCCAACCCCCCCCCAAACCCCCCCCCCTCTGAGCTTCCCAGAGCAGAATATAGGCTTTATTAAGAAAGAATTTTTTAAAAAAATTATATATATATATAAAAAAAGAAAAATATAACACTGAAATATATGTATATATATATGAAAATAAAAATTATAGAAAAGCTATATAGTATTTTTAATATCCAATCTAAATTGTATAAATTTTATCCATTTATCCCAAACAGCAAGAAAATTCTCTTGCGTTTGTTCCTTTAAAAAAGCCGAAATCTTTGCCATTTCTGCCAAATAAGACACTTTAAGAAACCATTCCTGCATTGTAGGCAAAGATTCCTTCTTCCAATATTGTCCTACTAACAGCCTTGCGGCTGTAATCAAATTTAACATCAATGTAACCTCCTTTGTGTCACAATCAGTAACTATACCTAACAAGAATAGTTGTGGAGTAAATTTTACCCTCCTACTAAAAATTCTCTGAATATTCCACCATACCTTAATCCAGAAGGCTTTTATCTCTCTACACGACCACCAAATATGATAATAGGTGGCATCCAAACAACCACATCTCCAACATTTAGGCTGTAGGTCAGGGTACATGAAAGACATTTTTTGTGGATCAAGGTGCCATCTATAAAACATTTTATAAAAATTCTCCCTTAAATTCTGTGCTTGTGTAAATTTGACATTTCTCACCCAAATAATTTCCCAAGTATCCAGTGGAACTGATTCACCAAAATTCTGCACCCATCTAATCATACAGTCTTTAATTAATTCCGTTTCTGAGTCCAATTCAACTAGAACCTCATAAATTCTCTTAATATGAGTTTGTCTTTGATCCTTCACTTGCCTAATAAAATTTTCATCTTCTCTGAGAAAACCTACCTTACAATCCACCTTCCATCTATCTACTAATTGCCTATATTGAAACCAAGAATAAATAATATTTTCTTGTGCTAACTCTTCCCGTGATTTTAACTGCCAATTTTGTCCATCCCAACTAAGTAGGTGTCTATAAGACACCATATCTATTTTAATACCTCTTTTTATTCCTTCTATCGCATGCCAAGGTATAGCCCATAATGGTACTTTAAAATCACTTTTATAATATTTTCTCCAAATCCTAAGTAAGGAAATTCTTAAAATGTGAGATTTGAAAGCCCAATCCACTTTTTTATTAAATATTAAATAGGCATGCCACCCAAAAAGTAAGTCCCATCCCTCTAGATGGAGTACCTCAAGATTTGTCAAATTTACCCAGTCGCTAATTAATGTTAAAACCACCGCATCATAATATAATTTCAAATTCGGTACCTTTAATCCACCGTTGTAAAGCAGTATTAACTTTCACGTAGGACATGGCGTGCTTTGGCTCAAGCATGTCTATCCCTACCTATTTAATATTGGATTTATAATGAAGAACACTTTTCTATGGAAGAAGTCTTCTTTTTCCTTTGGCATACAGTTGTAGCCAAACAAGACATGAAAATACAGAGCTAGAGTTGATAAAATATATTGACTTGTCAATTGTTCTATATTTAACTTCTCCAATTAATAAATAAAGTAATTAATTCAGGATGTGGATGAGTGTAAACAATGAAAGGGACTTGAATACTAAACTACTCCATCAGACTGTAGGAGTTTAACTCAACAAGGAGCCTGAGTGCTGGGGAAGACAAAGCCCTGAGCATCAGAGAAGCATTGCTGGCGTAAGATGGTTTGTTCATCCCATATGTTCCTTTTGATTAATGGTAAATTTAATCTGCTTTCCAGGCCACAGCTATACAAAGAAACTCATGGTTCATTAGGAAGGCCTGCTCTTTGTCACCTGGATTTTTTTTCGGTGGGGGGAGGGACTACAGCTAACACCTTTAGAGGCCAGGAGCCTGGAAAGTTAAAAACTATGTGACAAAACTGGTTTCTACTGTGTTCTGTCAGATTTTCTTCACCTCCATTTTATCCTTCAACAACCCAGCAAGTTGGGTAGCTGAGAGAGAAACAGGTGTAAGGTTAGTTTTTGCCTCATTTTGAAACTGAATTTGAAACTGAATTTAAAACTATTCCTAGTCTGATATGCTAACTTGCTTTGGGAATGGGGAAATTGTAGGTAATAACGTTGCCATTTTTTCCTTTTTCAGTTCTTTGCGTTTATCACTACCCTGCTGTATATTTTGCATGCCTTCAGCAACTACTACCACTGAAATGACATGAGCTGGAGTTTGTACACCCAGACAAACAGTTAACATTTAAGAAGATAATTCAACTGCAACTGAATTCACCCATCAGCTGGGGCCATCACACATGTGTTTGCTAAAACCTGTATTTTAGCATGCTACTGAGTTCTGTATGTAAAACTACTCCAATTACTGTAATGTGATTCCTGATTTCTCATGCCTGTAATTATCCCAAATCACTATTTTTCCCCCTCAGATCAAAGCCTCCATAAATAATGTACATAAAATAGGGGGGATTTTTGAACTTTCTGTCTTCAGTGAACTATCTTCACATTTCCTCTTCTGTGAAGGAATTCTTGTTGGTTTGCTATGGAATCTTGCACATAGTCAAAGATTCTGGGTCATATTCTGAGGTGGTCAGTTTCTGGTTGACACGAACCATAAATGAAATAGTGTATAGCAGTGTTTCTCAACTTCAAAGTTGAAGTCCACGCAATCTTCAAGCTGCCAAGACTGAGAAACACTGCTGTATAGTATATATTATAATGCTACATGACTCAGTGTGTGTGTCTTAAAATTCATCATCCAATCTCTTGCAAGTCACAGGAAAGGTTGTGTAGTGGTTGGCAACCCTGGAAATTGTGTCTGTTTTCTAATTGGTAAAGCTTCCAGAGAATTTCGGATTCCTCTGCAACACTGCTTGAAAACTATTTCCCATTTGGATGCAACAAATTAATATTTAGGCTACAGCAAATAATCTGTTGCCTCCAAATGGCCTGGGAAATAATTACCAAGATGTCTGGGAAGAGAAATTCACACACATTATGGTAGCTGTGATATAAATGATTTTTATCTCATTAACTTTATGTGTGATTTCTATCTTAAGTAAGTACAAAGCTAAAATGGCAACATAATACAAAAAACCATCTGTTTACCTACCTGTGTGTGTGTTCGCGTGCGCGCGCGCACGCGCGCACACACACACACACACACACACACACACAAAGCAAGATTCCTCCTGTGAACTGAAGAACACTCGTCCTGATGTTAACTAAATCTGAAAATGCTGTACAAATAGTATCCCTTTTGGTAATGTTGATATATGTAAAAGTATTCTGCTCTTTGTTATTACAGTATATTGAATGTTTGTTTTGATGTAGAAACATGAAGTAACTTATTGGTAAACTTGTGTTTTTTAGTTCTGTTTTATAATTGATGTTTCAGTTAACCATCTTTTGCCAATGAATATAACTGACTTTCTCCCTTTTCTCAACTCATGTGAGTGTTTAAATTGCTGCTTTGTGAGTGAGGTTGTGACATTGCAGATGCAAAAAAATGTATTAATTTAGCGCATAATTTTATCAACAATTTTAGGCATCTTTAAACTATTATGTGTGTGACTGTTAGTCACTACAGCATATATAGGCCATAATTTATTTTTAAATTCACCCATCTTTCTCTGAACTCAAAGTAGCAGTGCCCATAGTGGCTTCCAGCTTCTGTCAGAAGGATAAAACAGCACTGGGCCACAAACTCTACTCCTTTGAGGTATATGATGATGTGTTGGGGATGTGACTTGTTTTGCAATGTGTCAAGATGCTGCTGACTTAAGTTGGAACCCTCTTGGACCCATCTGCTGGTGCCACTGCTTCAAAAACCTTGCTACTCCCTTACAAGTAAGGCTAACACCAATCTTGAGAGGTACTACATGGCCCTTCTATTTAGTTTGATAGTGCAGTCAAAGTCTTCATTTCAATTTGGGCTTCCTTCTTTTCATGGGATTTGTTTATCAAGCACACCAAGACAAAACATTTATGCCCAGGGCTTTTTTTGTCACCTCAGAATTATTTGGAAGTATTCTTGTTTTCATAATTGCAACAGCTTAAATCCCATGGAGTTGGGATGTGGAGGTAATTTTAATTCATTACCCTTCAAAACAAAAGGGCACAAACCTCAGTTCAGTCCATATATACCAGGGGTCCCAAACCCCAGGGCTGCAGCCCAGTAGTGGGCTGCAACTTGTTCAAAACTGGAGCGCAAGAGCGATGGGGAAGCGTGCTTATGCAAAGCTCCACACGGGTGAGTGGAGGACCCTTGCACTCGCACATGGAGCTCCACTGGTGCGAGTGGAGAGTGTTCACGTGCAAAGCTCCATTCTCACAAATGGAGCTTCACGCATGAGCACCGTCCACTCATATGAATGAGGTTCGTGTGTGAGCACAAGCTCCCTCTGCTCAAGCACCCTCCTCTCGCGTGAGTGGAGCTACATGCAAGTGCCTGCTGCTCGCACCAACAGAGCCACCAAGGTGGAAAGGTTGAGAACCACTGATATACACTGTCCAGAGTCCCTCTGTGTGAAAGATGGATGATTTCAAAATTTGATAAAGTAAATAAATAAAAACCTGCTTATTAAATAATAGGTAAAATGTTTGAAAAATTGCAAACCCTTAAAATGCAACCATAAGAAAATAGTTCTTTATTGAGTATTTCAATAGATCGTGAACTACATATTTCTTTATGTATCTTTGGAAAAAACCAAAATCAGAGAACTCTTTAAAAAAAGGAAGTTAAATTTAGAGAAGGGGCCCTGATTGCTCTTGTAGTAGGAATTGGCACTTCAACAATTGGCAGGAAATCTGCATAGCTCCAGCCATGAAGAATATCATCTGTTGATTTCCTTAAAGCTATGTTCTGGTCTAGAAGTGGAGATCAGTTTGGACCCTTTTTGTTTAGCTAGGTGCCAACCTTGCTATCTTTGGGAGACCTAACCCACCCGTTTTAATATAACAATTAATTCAAAATATAGATGAATATGAATATGAAATAGTTTAATTCTGCCATATGTAATTGTCTAAATAGCCACCAGGTGTCTGCAATGCTCTACTGGAAGACTACATAATACAGCATACTCTTTCTTCTCTGCTCAGCTGTAAAACTCCCTCTTGATGCAGTTCTTATGAAAAGTCAAACCTCTCCTTCCAACCCACCTGCCTACGATTTCGAGCTGTTCCTGGATATCTAGCAGAAATGTCTCTAGAAAGAAGTTGGGTTGAAGGGGGTAAAGTAGTCTTTGCCAAAAACCAAGCTCATCTATTTACATACATATTTCAGATTAACTGTACTGTTTCTTGAATAACCACCTAGAAGCTCCTTTCTTGGATTACTTCTGGACTGAGACAGTTATCTGGTAGCCACGGACGTACCTGGAGCACTTGATCCATATGTCTTTTGATAACATGCCTCTGTGTCCTTCTGATTAGGCTTTTGACAGTGCAATCCAAAAGAAGAACCTGTCGGCTAAGGCGACAGGCTAGAAAGCGAGAAACGGTGAGTTCAAGTCTCCCCTTAGTCATGAATGCCAGCTGGGTGACTGTGGGCCAGTCATTCTCTCTCAGCCCAACCCCCAACAGGGTTGATGTTGTGGGGAAAATAGAAAGAGGAAGGTGTGTTGGATATGTTCTCCGCCTTGAGTTATTTGTAAAAATATTAAAAGCGGGATATAAATAATCAGATAATGAAATAAAGTAATTCATTTGTCAAAGCAGCTCTTGAGAAATCTATGTTGATTACTACTTAAGAGAAACAAGCTTTTTGACTGACAAAAGGGTTGCTTTCACCAACACAACGCCTTCCATATTTTGCAGTGCAGTACAGAATAATAAGGGACCTAAAAGGAATAGGACAGAAAATTGAAGTTAGGTACTGCTTCCAAGCTGATGGCTCTTTGTACTGGCAACTATTTACTTCCTTATGCTATTTTTGGGGTGAAAGAAAAGGCCAATATCTTGATGGAAAAAACATGGCACGTAACAAATGTACGAGAAAATTGTCTAAGCTCTGTATAAAGGTTTGTATACAAGGAAAGGCAATTGAGTAATACATTATTTCTCCAGAAGTATTCCAGGTTTCTCCAACCTAAGGGCAGTTCTCTTTAAGCTGTGCCATACTGACCCATTTATCTTACAGTATTTTGAAAAATAATGTATTTTGTAAACTAGACAAGAAAATACAGAATTACAACATCTTAATATGACCTTTGGTCTCTTAGTGACAAATGACCATTTTTTCATAAGATTGCATGACAGTTATTTCATCAGATGTAGAAAATGTGTTTCAGTGTCTATTTGGTAGATATAAGAAAGAGAAAGAGCCCCTTATTTAAACAAATCTAAATCTAACATTGGTTTCTGCCTTAAAACAATTTATAAAATATATAGGAAATTGTAAATTTGGGCCAGTGGATCAAGACCATGGCTTTAAAATCTTCTCCATATGATTCCTCCCATTTGAATTCTTCCAGCGGTCTTCTGTTATTCCCATGGTTATCTATTCTTTTAAATATATACTGTAGAATAGATTTCTATGTTGCCTTTCTTACAGAAGCTCAAGGAGCTATTCATAATTCTCCCTTCTCCAATTTTTCTCCACAAGAATAACCCCATGAGTTGTTTGGGTTGGATTGAAAGCTGGTGGCCCTGTCCCATCCACATGCTTAACCTAGTCACATCTTCTTACCAGCAGTTCTGATAGTCTACAATCACAGTAACTGGGTCAAAAGTTTTTGTTTAGGAAATGCAAATTCCCCACTTACTTCTTCAGGAACTTCCTGCTATCCCATAAGCACTTGTGTCAGGAAACTATTAGCAAAGTTCACTTTAGCTGACTGTGTTCAGCAGGTCAGCGGTTCAAATCTCACCGGCTCAAGGTTGACTCAGCCTTCCATCCTTCCGAGGTAGGTAAAATGAGGACCCAGATTGTTGGGGGCAATGTAAATATATATATACATTGCTTACTGGTGTACACCGCTTAGAGAGTGCTTGCACTTAAAACGGTGTATAAGTCTCATAAATAAATAAGTCTCATAAATAAATTATATCACTAGGTTCTTCACTACTGGCCAGGTAGGCAGTTCAGTAATAGATGTGGCTTAGGTTCTGTTCTGTGCTACCAAGCCTTAGCAATGGGTAATGAGAAATATTATTTTAATCGGCTCTTCTTTCTTTCCAGCTCTTTTTCTTGAAGACTAGTAGCAAAAAACAGATTAGGTAGAGTTTAGTTTAGCTTGCCCTATCCCAGATAGGTTTTGAGCTAAAAAATGTCTAGAACAACATATCTATATCATTGGCCCACTAAGTATGCACTGGGGCCAGTCCAGTAGCTGTCCGAGAATCACCCCATGTTTGTCTCTGGTTGAGGATGGAGTTTCTGTTTTAAATCCTGGTTAACTCCTATACCACATTGGCTCTCACATTGGCTCTACCTTTCTTGGTCCTGCAGCAAAACATGTTTAACTGAATAATGGGTGTAGACGATGGGGTTGTCCTGGTTGTCATACAAATGCACATAGATTTGGGAAGGGGTTAAACACCCAGAAGGAGCCAGTGTGCAAACTGTGGATTCTCCTAGACCAGGGATAGGCAACCTTGGCTCTTTTATGACTCATGGACTTCAACTCCCATACTGGCTCAGGAATTCTGGGAGTTGAAGTCCACGAGTCATAAAAGAGCCAAGGTTGCCTACCCCTGTCCTAGACTCATGACTCCTGCTCAAATAGCAGGTGGAATTTGTGGCTACAAAAGTTTTCACACAATTTCATGTGGTGTACCAATTGAACCTCACATGCGCTCAGTCACTCACATCCTGGTCATCCCACAGTTGGATTATTACAACATGTTCTATATGGGGCTACTAGTAGTGCCACCCATCCAAAAACTAAAGACGACAAGCCTCCAGATCCCAAGGCTCTGCATACCCACATCACTTTGTCTTACCAGGGTTCAGTTGAGGCTTGTTGTCCCCCATCCAGGTCCCCATAGCCTCCAGGAACAATGAAAGGGCAGTTACAGCATCATTGGGTCACCAGGATGGAAATGTAAAGCTGAGTATCATCAACATATTGACGATATCTTATCCCATGGGGTTGGGATTACAATTAACTAAAATAGTAATTGATAGTTAAATTAAGTACATGAATAATTGAAACACATGTTTTATTTTTGGAAATGGCAAGTCAAAGACCTTCTAGAATGTAGAAGAGAGGCATTGGAAGATAGGACAATTTATTTCAATGTAAAATGGTTTCTTTATAGTTCATTTTTTCTAAAAATTAAAAATAAATGTTTCAAAGCAAAACAAAGCTATGCATGTGTATGGGCATGGTTATATAATAAAGAAAACAAGCATCGATCCATTTTGCTATCATGTGAAATATCTAATAGTTTTCATGCATTGATGTTGTTTTTCCTATACTACCATTCAGTCTATTACAGTGGTTCTCAACCTTTTTAATGCCGCGACCCCCAACCGGTCGTAAGTCAAGGACTACTCAACTGGTCGTAAGTCGAGGACTACTCAACTGGTGCAGCACCGTTTGCAGAATGGGACTTTTGGTGGGCTCAGCAGGGCAGAGACAGCCTGGACAATTCCTATTGGCTTTTGAAAGCCAATAGAATTAGACTCTATTCAAGAGAGTCTATTCTATTGGCTTTCAAAAGCCAATAGAATAAAAGGGAGTAGCACAGCTAAGGAAAAGGGGGAAAAATGGTGGACTGTGTTGTTTGGCGACCCCCATGAAATGGTCATTTGACCCCAAATGGGGTCCTGACCCACAGGTTGAGAACCACTTGTCTATTAAATAAGTAATTCACCAATTCTAAACATTATAGAAAGTATTTCCCAGTGGTTTGTTGCTGAAATCCAAATCACTGCTAATGTTCAACTGCAATTAGGCAGGGTTTTCCGGCAGTCTGCGCAAAGTTCAAGTAGAGTATGGCATTAACACATTTCTCACCCCTGGTATATGTCTTTATATGGAAATGTCAACATTTGACTTTAGCTATAGCTCAGATAAACAAATCTGTCTCATATGATTTTAGTTGCCCCTCCATAATACACCTCAGAATTTTTTTTGTACTGGCTGTACTTCTAGCAATCTTACGGCAATGTATATTAGCCATAAATAATTAAATATAATTAAAACCATGGATAACTAAAACCCTGGCCCAGGAAGAAATATATCTAGCAAATAAACTGGCAGATACAAGCCTTGCTACACACTGAACCTCTGCTTTGAATCAAGTAAGAACTTAAAATCCCATATATGTTCCTGCAGGGGATGCAGTCTGAAGGCTGGTGAATACTACCAGTATGAACTGCCAAGAAAACAAATAGATGCCCCATTGAAGATAAGATATAAGATAAGATAATCTTTATTGTTACTTTTCTGTGTACACAATGACACACATTAAAATGAAATTCCAATGCTCGCTGTCAAAAGAATACACATGCACACACACAAACAAATATACAATGCATTCAGAAAGTATTCAGACCCCCTTCACTTTTGTCAGTTTTGTTGTGCTGCAGCCTGATTCTACGCTTATTGAAATTCATTTATTTTCTCATTAATCTATACTCAGTACCCCATAATGACAAAGTGAAAACAGAATTTTAGAAATCTCTGTAAATTTATTAAAAAGGAAAAAAAAATGAAATATCACATTGGCATAAGTATTCAGACCCTTTGCAACAACACTTGGAATTTAGCTCAGGTGCCTCCCATTTCTCTTAATTGTTGCTAACATGTTTCTACACCTTGATTGGAGTCTACCTGTGATAAATTAAATTGATTGGACATGATTTGGAAAGGCACACACCTCTCTATAGAAGGCCTCACAGCTGACAATGCATACTGTAGCAGAGCAAAAGTCATGAGGTCACAGGAACTGCCTGCAGAGCTCAGAGACAGAATTATTGCAAGGCACAGATCTGGGGAAAGTTACAATAAAATTTCTGCTGTACTGAAGGTTCCTAAGCACACAGTGGCCTCCATAATTCTCAAATAGAAAAAGTTTGGCACAACCAGGACTCTTCCAAGAGCAGGTAACCCAGTCAAACTGAGCAATTGGGGGAGAAGGCCCTTAATAAGAGAGGTGACCAAGAACCTGATAGTCACTCTGACTGAGCTGCAGAGATCCTGTGTGGGACATGGTTCCAGAAGAACAACTAACACTGCAGCCCTCCACCGATCTGGGCTTTATGGCAGAGTGGCTAGACGGAAGCCTCTCAGGGCAAAACACAGACTGTGAGGAACACTTTATCATTATGAAGTACTGAATGTAGATTGAGAAAAAATGAATTTTTAACTGTAGAATCAGGCTGCAGCATAACAAAATTGACAAAAATGAAGGGGATCTGAATATTTTCTGAATGCAATACACATACATACATATGTGTATGCATGTATGCATGTATGCATATATTAATCACAGTCCATTTTGAACATATAGTGTAAAAAAGTGCCTTGAGAATTAAGGTTATTATATGGTATAAAGTTATTACAGAATCTAGTTGTTATGGTTCACATACCACGAAATCTCCACCCAGAAGGTAACAAAGAACACTCATCATGGAGAGGTTGTGTAGCATCCTTGACAATACTGAGGACGCTATCAAGCAGTGCTTATATGCCATGTCTTGGATAGAAGGAAGTGAATTTCCAATAATCTTTTCTACCATCCTCACCACTCTGCACAGCCTTCCTATCTGAAACAGTAATACTTCCAACCAAACAGTAATATGACAAGATGCTTTCAAACTTTCTTTCTATAGAAAGTGGTAAGGACTGGGGAAGGAAGATGTGTTCATCTCATAAAACTCAGAAAATGCAGCTGCTGCTGTGCCCACTTCACAAGTGTCTCACTGTTGAGGTACCAAGCCAACCTACTTGTTAGCTGCACAGCCAGAAACGTAATACCACTAACCACCTTCATAATAGAATCATTAATACACAGAGGTGTATGGCTTTCTTTTCTGAAATTGGCAATGATCTCTCTTGTTTTTCCTACATTTAGAATCAAGTTGTTCTTATTACACCAATCCAGCAAACCCTCTATCTCCTCCCTGTAAGCACCCTCATTGTCATCCTGAATAAGGCCCACTACAGATATTGTATCATCCGTATACTTCATCATATGGTTGGTAGCAAACCTTGCACAACAGAATGAACAACAGTGGATTTAGGACACTGTCCTGAGGAGAACCTGTGCTCAAGAAAATGGTGAAACAGTAGTTCTAACTTGCATATAATGGGGTCTATCAGTGAGAAAATCAAGAGTCCAAAGGAGTATTAAAGCCTAAAAGGGTCCAGTTTGTCTACTAAATGGTGAGGAACAATTGGATCCTCTGTGGAGCGATTCACCCAGTAAGCAAACTGTAGTGAATCAAGTGCCGGAGGGAACCTAGATACAATAAAATCCTTTATCAGCCTTTCAAAACAGTTCATAATGACAGACATAAGTGCAACCAGACGATAATCATTAAGAATCATGATCAATTTTTTTAGTCACTAGCAAAACAATTGCAGTCTTAAAACATGAAGGGACCACTGCCTCCTGCAATGAAAGATTGAAAATATCTGTAAGAACACAAGCCAACTCATCTACACACTCCTCGCCCAGGGATATTATCTGGGCCTGCTGCTTTCTGAATGTTAACTTTCTGCAATGTCCTCCAGACAGAAGTATCATCAAAGCTAAGCACTTGCTTATCAGGATGAGGCACAATTTTCCTCATAGGGATGCTATTTGATGCCTTGAATCTTCCCCCCAAAAATGTGTTCAGCTCATTTAAAAAGTACTGTCGCCCTTACAAGACAATGGAACCACTTTATATTCTGTAATGGTCTGGATGTTTTACCACATATGCCTGGTGTTTGTAAGGTCCTGAAAAAAATTCTGAATTTTCTGACAATGGGCTTGCTGTGCTGTTTTTATGGTGCTTTTCAAATTGGCTTAGGCTGTTCTAAGCACCAGCATATCATCAGATTTAAAAGCCACATTCTGTGATTTCAACATCTTTGCAAACCTCATGTGTCATCCAAGGTTTTTCATTGGCCCACACAACAATGTTTTTAAGGATACAGACAACCTCAATGCATTTCTGAATATATGCAGACACAGTGGTGGCATACTTCTCTACATTAATATGTAGGTTATCCTTTGCAGCTTCTTTAAACATGTCCCAAAGCAATCTTGTAATGCTTCTACAGTTCCCTGTGCCCAAACCCTCACCTGCTTCACAGTTGGTTTTTCTTTAAGTTACAGAGGTTTATATGTTGGGATAAGCAGCACAGAGAGATGGTCAGAAAATCCCAGGTGAGGGCAGAGAATAGCTTTAAATGCATTCTTAATGAATAAATCAACCTGGGGTCTCACTCAAGTCATAAATTACCAGGCTCAAATTATCCTGCTTTGGACACATTATATGACCACCTGGTTCTCTGGAGAAGGCTCTAGTGGTGGAAAAAGTGGAAGGAAAGAGAAAAAGAGGATGATCAATAGCAAGGTAGATAGACAAACTTAGTTACAGTGGTGAGGGTGCATTTTTGGAAGGCCTGAAGGACCAAAATAGGACAGATCATCAAGGAGGAAATCTATTTACTGTATGTGTTTATTAAGAGTCCAAATTAACTTAATGCCATATACAGTAATAAATCAGTGTAGGCTGCCGTTTAGCCTCCAATGATTTAAGCTAAATTCCCTGCACCTACATAGTTCCTCTGATTCAGGAAGAGCAAAATGACAATGCACTGTTGAAACTATCATCTACATTTCCAGGACAGCAGTCCCATTGTTTTATTTATACATATGTTGAGCAACAGAAGGAAAACAATACACTCCAATTGCCATGGGGTGATCAGAAATCCTGCAATATTTTTCTGCAACTTTTTATGTAGAAAGGAAATTACTTCATCACAGTGTCTTCAATATCTAACTCACATAGTTGATCTAGAATGACACTATGCCCTTTGGTGCTAAATGATATAGGAAGATCAAGAAGAATTTAAAAAGTTGTCTTCCTTCATCTCTTATCTCAGAAAGAAGAGCAATCAAAGTTATTTTAGTGCTGTACTTTTCTATGTCTTTTGAACTCATTCTTGGTCTCTGCTTTCTGATAAATTTGGTGTTTGGTTATTTGTGTGACAGCATTTAATCAACACACTGACTCTCTAAATCCAGTGCAGAATTCTTCCATTTCCAAATCAAATGCTTGAAAAATTGAAATAAACCACCATAAGCATAAAGCTCTCAATTTAAAAAGATCAATAGCAATTGTGATATCTACTTTAAATTAGTC